CAAGTCTTTGTGGCAGATGTAGTTAATGTTTCATTGATTGCATCATTTCCATTTGCACTTGCATGCTTCTGATATAGACTAGTTTACATCTGCATGATGATACGTTTAAATAACACAACACATTGAATACTCCGTTTTAAAAGCTTTAAGCTGTGTTCAGAAATAGACACCTATAGTTCAACCTTTTAAAATGAGTAGGTTAAGGGAGAGAAGAAAGCGGGTGGAACCGGTCTTCTTTCATGCAAGCAGTTTCTAAATGCCCTTAACTTCTTTTTCTTCAATTCAAAATTTTTAAATTGTAATCTTCCTATTATTAATAAGACCCCAGTGCTATGCATGGTAACTATCTGAGTAGATGAACCCAGTGCTAAATGTAGCAAGAGAACCTATAGCTGTAAGAAAACACAAAGCAGAGTGAGATTTTACTGTGAATACTTCATGAACCAAACTTTACTGGAGTGCCTTACTGTGAAAACAGTCAAACAGACACACAAGGCTCTTTGTTGTTTAAAGCACAGCAGTGTTTTACAAATCATTATTATTGGAAGAATATATGTTGAAATGAAAGGATTGTCACTTAAAGGAAGAATGTGCAACATTTTACAACAGAAATTAAGTATATCCATATATCTAACGATCTCTTAGATTCATGTCTGTCTACAATGAGTGAGAAGCGAGAGTCTTGCTAGCTGTGTTGATGTCGGAGCCATGTTTACATCGTGTTTACATTTACGGGACAGCTGGTTCCTCAGCTGGTGTATAAAAATTGTTTTAGTCAAAGACAAGAGAAAAGAAAAATAACATACTCGATGCTTATTTGAATGTCACCGAGGCGTTTTTAGATCACAGTCATTCTGTGTTCATTTTACATGCAATGTGGGGTTATGTCTTGCACCCCATGTACAGAGGCTACATGGGTTGCACAACAGTCCTCATCGCATCATCCGTTGGTTCGAATTTGACCTCAGCCGTTTACTACATGTCATCCCCCATTCTCTCCTACCAACATTTCCTGTCTCCAAATAGCAACCTCTGCCATCAGTGTGTGAATGGATATGAGTGAGTAGGTGTGACATGATGTGTAAAAGCGCTTTGAGTAGTCAGAAGACTAGAAAAGTCCATTTACCACTTACCATTTACAACAGTGCAGGCCACAGGCCACTGCAGCTCGAGTCAAGGACAATTTTGTCCACTGTTAAGAGATAATGGTGCTCAATTATGGTGCGTTCCATTTGATTACTCCTTGGTGCGAACGCGATTGGAGGGGGGTTGGAGGTGTGCCGCTGGAGGAGAGAGGAGGCTTCAGAATGGACGGAGGTGTCGCCAAACAGCAGTTTGTTTTGGTTTCATGCTGGTGCTCAAGGGCGATGTCTACACTGGATCAAAAAGTTGCACGTTCGTCCTTTAAGCTGATGAAATTCACAACTTTTTATTTACATTCAACACAAACAAAGTGCTATCAATAACTTTCAAAAAATCCATCTGTCAAACTCAGATCAATCCATCAGTTCGATTTATATATACTCAGCTTCAGACCTGATACATTGTACTTTCATTTGGTGTGACATGTACAGGCTCCTATACTGCGTAGTTCAAATCAAATCAAAGTCAAACAGCTCTGAATTTGTGGTTAGTGTGTTGCTATGGTCTTGTCAAGTCAAAATGACTTTTAAAGTACTTACACTGAGCAAGTGTATTTCATGCCTTGCAGTGCACTGTGACAAGCAGACGAGTGCTGACAGAGAAACCTGTGTCAAAGCAAACATTGTGGATGGTTGCTAATAATGTACACACACACACATATGGAAAATCCAGAGGGAATGACTACCAGATAAACTACAACCGCATATTCTGAATCCAAAATTAGTTTTGCAATGGCCTTCTGCCTTAATAAATATCCTATCTAAGTACCTTACACTGTGACTAATGGTGGTAAATCTCTGAAAGCGCACTCTATACGAGTCCCTTTGTTATGTTACTAACATGATTGGTGGATAACTATTTCACTCCAACACTCTGGAGTCAATCTGGTCATTTCTGAAGCTGCCCTTTAACAATTCTCCAAAAATTGAAAGTATTTTGCGCTAATCAAAATTGTGAAATCTGAATATTTGCATGAATCTATTGAATTAAGGAAAAAGTCAGATTTTATGAATGTTCATGTAATCATTGAATGCCCATTCATGCTTTGGGAGGGACAGGAAAACATGTTTAAACATTCAGTTATTAAATTGGTTCCAATTATTCACATGAGAATGAGAAACCAGATTTATTTTCCTGTTTATGTATACTTTTGCAATCAATAAAGCCTTGAAGAAAAGTCTTGTCTGTTTATGAATGAAGTGGCTAACTTTTACAAATATGATATTGTATAATTTATTCATTTATGTAAAACAAAAGGTGGCTAGTTTGTTTTTTGTGTGTTTGAAACGCTTTTGAGGTTCTTAAAAATTTGCATAAATCTGTGCATCTTTTATATTTCCCATAAGACAATTGATTTATTTATATCATACTTTGCTTTTGTGTAAGTTTCTGAGATAGAAATGACCAAACTGCTGTCAAAAACATCGAGAGGTTCCAGTAAAATAAATCAATCAGAGATGTGACCTACTTTCAATGGCTTTCACTGCAAGGCTGACTCATAATACTGACATGTTATTGTCAACTGCAGGCATGCATTTTCTTGTCAACTGTCTCAATGATGAAACAAGTCTGAGCAACCGAGTCTAGAGACAAGAGCAACCGGTTATATGAAAGGTTGCACTGGCTTAATAGTTTATGAAGTTCCTTTTTCTTTCACAAACACACACCACTTCCTGGTACACACAAAAGCTATGTATCATCATTGCTTTGGCATATTGTGAAAAAAAGTATATAAAAAAAAAACAAGATAAAGAAGATCAAGGCAGTTCAACAAACACTATACATTTTACCTGATATGTGTCTGGATCCTAAACTTTTGGGGGAAAATATACAGCTTTCTGCTGTAATTTATACAGACAGAACGTTGTCAAGGCAACCTGTGTTTGTGTGGAGAGTTTGTTGGTTTGGTGGGTTGCATGCATAACAGAAATATCATAGCAATGACCTGTTTCAGACTTTTTCCAACAAGCCAAGATTAAATGACGCACAAGTTTTTAGTGTAAGTCGTGACAGCAAATGACAAAAATAACTATACCGTTACCCCAACCAATAAGTAGCCATCTGGTGGCTAAACCGTACTATCTATCCCTCTCTCTTTATACTACTATCAAGATCATTGCGACAAGCAAACACCCTACACCCTGAGGACACAGTAAATACACTCATGACCGACAGTATCCGCTGACAACACCACAGTGGGAACACCATACACCAACTCCTCTATCTAGACTCATTAGCAATAGCAAATTAAAGAAAACAATGCTGCTGTGTGCAAACATGATTCATGAAGAGGAAAAATGAAGTTTGATGCAACTATTTGAAACAGCCACAGATTTGTTTAACCAGAAACAAACATTTTCCACATTCATTGACGCTTTCACAACAACAGGAAAATAAATCATGTCCTAAACCTGTAAGGTTTGTGAATCAAAGAAATGTTTAATGTCAAAGAGGTGACAATGATGAATACACTTAGCTGACCAAACTATGCAGCTCTACAGCAACTGGCTGCTATTTTTGCCACAAAAAAAGAAAAGAAAACAAAGATACAAATAAAGCTCCAACAAAAACAAAATACACATTTTGCTCAACCGTTAATGCCAGGCAAAGTAAGCTAATAGTTTATTAACATTCTAGCTAGCTGGCTAAAACCCCCACTTACTATTCTTGGAGTTAAAGGCCAAAATAAACATAAGATTGAGTATTGGACTTCCGTTAGTTTGTTTTATGGTCAGAAACACGTCTCAAGAAAGAGCTTATGTTGCACTACTTCCCCGGAAAACATACCTTTCTAACTGCTGCTTTCTAACAACTTAGCTAGCTGACAAATCGAAAGAAAAAGTTACACTTCTGCTTAAATTCTGCCCTTTAGTGACCTAAAAATGACTTATTCAGCTTTTAAGGCTGTGTCCACACAGGTGTTTTTAATTATATGAGTAGCACTCTGCTTGGGTTGAGGTTGGATGTAGCTAGCATATCTTGGAATAACAGTAGGCTAAACAAAATCAAAGTTTGAAAGGAAACGAGTGCCCTGACCTAACTGATCAACAAAACTATCAAAAAAAAAAAAAAGGTCAGGGAGATGTAGGTATAAGTCATTTTGACATGTTACTGAAGGTAAAGAATGTGTACGAATTATATTAAGAATGTTAGCTAGCTTTTTGACTTAGAACCCACCAGTGTTAATGCTATTAGACATCACATTTTCATCTGTTGCTGTGACTGCACGTAAATACCAGAATAAGTAATTAAATACTTAAAAACGAAAGACTTTGCAATTTGGTAACTACCTTTTAAAAATAATTCTGTAACCAAAATCTTTGCTCAGTGAAAAGCAGTTACAGCAAAGATTAACAACAACAACAACAACAACAACAACAACAACAACACCAGAAACATTGTTGTTCCATGGCCCACCTTCTTTTCAGTTATTTACATATACAGTCAAATCATATTCAAAAGCCTAATGGAAATAGTATTGCCAGGTAACTTGATATAGAACCACATTTGTTTGCAAGTTTGATGGTACAGGAAACCACTCATGGTAGTCCTGCTTTCTGGAAATACTAACATGTTGACCATGGTCATAGTATGCTACTTTTAGCTTTATGTAGATGATGTAATGCTTTTTGCATCATCTTGATCTCACTGATGAGCAGTCGTTAATATACTATGTCACCTAATGTGTTTGGTAAATGAGAGGCAATAACATTAAGATTAAAAAGAGAGGGACAGCATGTACATTATCGGGCACACTCCATCTTAAATGTATAGTCATTTTTGCTTAAAGTGGTGTATCTCCTGAAAAGAAAGAGTTTAGATCAGACAAAACTGTTCCCAAGGATTTTCTTCCAAAGCTAAACATTGAAGTTATTTTTAACACTCTTCTTAGTAAAACTAGTTTGTTGTGTATCCTCCAACATAGCTGTGTTCAGAGTGTGGGCCTTCTGGTATAGCCATTGCTTCATGCTAAACTTCAGAGTCTTGGAGAGCTCTTTATACGTCCTGGGAGAGCAGTTGAGCCCTTTGTAGCATTGACAGGTAAACATTTTATTAAAAGTCTTCAGGTCTGTCAAGGTTGGTCTCCCAAGGACCAGGTAGCGGTTCTGAACATACATGACCCTGAAATTCTCAGGGTTTAGGTGGAGGTAGTGGTTGGAGTTGGATTTTTTTCGGACACATCGGCCGTTCCCTCGACACAGGAAATTGCTGCAGAGCTGGGCGGCCAAAGTCACATTAGTGATGTAGGGGTTGAGGGTGGAGGAGAGGTAGGAAGAGAGCATTTCACAAGATGTCTGGGAAGTGAAGGGAAGAGAGTAGTTAAAGTTTCAAGAATAATATACTATGTATATTGATAGGCTATAAATTTATTGTATGGAAGACTGAATGTCTGGAACTGAACATTTCGTCAAGTTCACAGCAGTTAAATATGTTGATATAACTACGTTATATAACGATAACACTAATGGTTTGACATCCTTAATAAAAACAATTTCTCTTTAGCATTCTTGTCCAGAGTAGTCTGAAGAGATCAAATATTTTTCATATCTGTCAGCCCAATATGAAGCAGAAGCCAGGATGATTGATAGTTTAGCTTAAAGACTGGGAACAGGGAAAAACTTCCAGGCTAGCCTGGATAGCCATGTCATATCTCAATTATTTGTCCTGTGCAAAAACAACAAGTTGAGGCTTGATAGATTGTGCTCCTCCAAACGTATTCTTCAAGAAGTCACCAGACAAGAAAAGGTCCTGTGCAAGCTAAACCCAACTAAGCAACAGTTTGTTGTACAGCTTAAACAAACAAATGACTTGTTAAGTCAAGAACTTAAAAGTTGTTTGCAGAGTTTGCTATTTTTTAGACATGGGATGGGGGGTATTTTCTCCCTGGCTTCTAGTACAATGCTTATTGATTCAAAATTAGCTTCATATCAAACTGACACTTCAGTGGTATCAATTGTGTATTCAAACTATTTGGAAGAGAGTGAATAAGCTTATTTTCTGAAAACTTTTTATTTCTTGAGGGTCTTGTGAAGTTCATAGCAATATGTTTAGTAAAGAGGGGCTCTGCTCCCAGCCTGGCAAAATTTAACTGTAGAAATTATAACTTGTATTCCAGTGAAAGTCCCTATCATCAAGCTAATCTTGATTAAAGTGCTGTGGATTACTGATCCACAATCAACACAATCCATCAGTACTTGTTCTGCCCCATGTGTTGTCAATCTAACTGAACACAATGTCTCTGGTCAGACCCCTTGCTATCAGTTCTATGTCATGTCCTTCAGCAGTCCACTGGAGGTCTGCTGTTTTATGTTACCTGGTCATTGAAGTCAGCGCTGGCCCCCCACATCACAGCTCCAGAGGCTCCCACTGCTGCACTCTCACCGATAGTTCTGACTAAGTCTACCTGGGGTCAAAGAGTACAATATTCATTCTTTTTTTTTTGTAAACACACGAAAACTTCCAGAGATATTTACACTAAGACAAACAACAGTGAGACAAACGCAGCACAGACATCTGCACTGTTCCCATTTTCCTAGAAAAACATTTTACAAGGTGACAAAAGAGGATCAGGATTACCACATTAGCAGTGTGTTATTACACCAAGAAACCAGACTCCTCTTCAAACTTGACCTGAGGCTGAAAACACCTCACTGCTGGGATGAAGAAGTAACCTAAGATGTATCTAATTTAGTGTTTGGAGTGGTTGCTGGGTAATGAGCCATTTCTAAAGGGTAGTCTTTATTGCAGATTTAATAATTGATCAAACAGTGAAGGGGTTCTGAATTGGAACTAATGGTTTCCCAAGGAAGTGTCTCTATGGCATAATACATCTGAGAATGCATCATAAATTTAAAAACAAATTAACATTTGAATTCCTCTCGTTTACCTGGCTAAGGAAGCGTTTGTTCTGGTCCGCAAAGACAGGTCGCATGTAAACAAATACAGGTGCGGTGGCATTCCCTCTGGGCAGGGCAGAAACTCTCAGAGCTTCCTGGATATTGTATCTCACCATCAGGGCGGCTTTGGGATTGTCTGCCAGAGAGACCTGAAACAGTGCAAGGATGCGGGGAAAGGATATACAATTTCAATATCATACAACATAAAATCAGGGGTAACTTTTGCTCCACAATGTTAGCCCAACCTGCAGGTAGACAGAAGGGAAGAGGGCGGTGCTTGACTCCCACAGCCAGAGCAGCTCATCATTCTGCCTCTTCACCTTCTCAGAGCATTGGCCTGTGTAGTCTGGATGCTCCCAGCCATTATTGTAACAGTTAGGAAAGAGGTAGAAGCCCCAGAGATAGTTGGGTCTCATTGCTCTGCCCAAGGCCAATGTCCCTGACATGAAACTCTTTGCTGCCACCTAAAATAGAATGAAAATGAGAATAGAGGACTAATCCCTAATTATGTAATATCTTCTCAGAATTTAATCTTCACTGTCAGTTCTGACCTGAAATTGCTGTTTGGATATCTCTATGGCCTGCTCTTCTGTAAAGCACAGGTTTTTCTGTGATATATGGGCCACGGATAAAGTCTGGTAGATTCTCTTAGTGCCCCAGTTTCTGTCCCATAGAGGGCGCCATTCCTCCCAGTCTATCACAGCCAAGCCCTGGCTTGTCCTGGAGGATGAGGAAGAGGTAAAAAGATCAGCGTCTAATGTTTTTCTCTATTTAAAAAAAAAAGAAGTGAAATTACATTATAAAGGCTCACTTGAATGGGATGTAGTAGTTAATGTCTTCCTTGGCCTTCGTCAAACTGGCTTTCAGGTTACCTCTCTGAGGGATGCCTCCATTGTACAGTTTTTTCCTTTTGAGGTCTACATGTGGGTAAAGACCCAATCGGTCTGTGTAGAACAGAGACAGGAACTGATCTGGGACCTGCAGCAGAACCAGAAGCAGGGAGTGAGTCAACCTTAGAATATATTTTAAATAAGTACATTTTCAAGAGGGAGAACAGCTTTAAACCTCCATTTAAAGATGTCCTTTCAGTAAAGACATAAACCAGTAGTCATTAATTCTATTTCTGTGTTAGCATCACGGAGAACAGTTTTTTTTTTTCATGTGTACATATTTGTTCACTTGCCTTAGCAGGTGTGGTGACTCCGTGAAAGGGTGATGTGTCCAGTGAGATGTTGTACCTCCTGCACACTTGATCAGGGATGTTCCAAGTAACAAAAAATGGCTGGTGCTCAAACAGCGGACTCTGATTGGCTCCTGATTGGAGGACAGAGATGGGCAGTGAGAGAAGCAGCAGCACACAGCTTCTGCCCTTCCACACGACTGAAACCATCCTTTCTCCTGGCTGAAAAGAGCAGAAGACAACAAACAGAACTCACCAAACCTCATATATGTCTGATATGCTGATATTATGTGCAATGGAACACAAGCTAGTGAAGCATGCAAGATAATAGTGGAAAGAAGCCTGGAGCAACCTACTGCTGAAGTCAAGTCACTTCCTGTGTTAACACAACACATTATTTGCTTATGATGTGTAACTTTATGGTGTTAAGACTTTGCTGACTTCTATGCTGCACATTTCAAAATAACAACGCATACTTAAGTCCACATGTTTGATTTGGCTTACACATATAACCTAATTGATATTTTTCACAAAAATAACACGTTTTAAAGTATGTGTTGGCACATCCAACTATCTCCTTAAGTAGGTGGGTAGGATATAAAACTGTCACGATGGAAAGAAAAAATCCTGCACACTACTCTTGCATGGCATCACTAAATTATTACATACAATTATAATGGTCCCTCTGAACCTTGGTCAAAGGGTGCTCTGACACAGTTGACAACAGTTCTGACCCAAAAATAACCCAGAACCTAACCAAACATTACCCTTGGACAATTTTTACTTCAGCCTTGCTTGTGACATCATTACCTTTCGAGGTGATGTGTGGTTTTTGTTTGCATTGGCTTTACACAAACGTTCATGGTAAGTATGGTGCACACACAATTGAACTCTTACATTTATACTATATCAGATTCACTATTTGTATGCAAATTGACAGGAGAATGTTGCAATGCACAAACTAATACCAACTTATCTGAAGTCATTTTATCTTCATCTGCTTAGCTTTCAACTCTAACCTTTTGGGGCGGCAGTAGCTCAGTCTGTAGGGACTTGGGTTGGGAACCGGCGGATCAAATATGGAAGTTGGTCTGGTAGCTGGAGAGGTGCCAGATCGCTTCCTGAGCACTGCCGAGGTACCAAGGCACCAAACCCCCTGCCCACCACCAGCTCAGGAGCGCCTGCTGTGGGCAGCTCCGTCACTCTGACATCTCTCCATTATGCATGTCCATAGGATCCTGTTTGTGCATGTGTGTATATTTCAGCCTATGTGTGTGTTGCATGACTTACAGAGTGTAAAAACAGCATTTCAATAATATATATATATCAATATCAATAAAAGTAAATCTTAATCTTAATTAAATTTAGTCTACAGTAATTCAGCGTTCAGGATACTAATGCAATGTTACCTGCTGCAGAGTTCACACTCCTATCTTATTAGGTCTTTTTTTTAAATCAAAAACCACAACTCATCAACTCATACCCTAAAAGATGATGTAAAAAGACTCATTACCTGGACATGCCTTCAGTGAACCTGTCCCACCATCAGATGTGTTGACTGTTGCACACAGAGTGTCCTCAGAGAAATGACACTGATATAGGTGGGACAGGGGAGGCATGGTGGGCAGAGCTGTGTATGAGGATGCACTCGACTTGTTTTGATCGCTCAGTGCCAAGTTTAGGTTGGAGCCGGGGAGGACGGCACACCTGGGTGTGAGGTCATGGGGCGACCACAGTCCTTATATTGACACACAATGTTGTGGGGGCATCAGTAAATCATGAGCAGGGCATCAGCATGGAGCTGAGGCTGTAATTGCCCTGGGGTTGATGATGGTATTTGTCACCTGGGGTGGGATTTACTACATGCTCGGATGATGTCATCAGCCTAAGACAGCTTGTACAGTAATAGCATACAATTAGATTTTGATACTCAAGGTTGTGGGCTCAACATTTTCTTGAGTTGAAGTGCATTTAAACTTTCCTTTTCGTATAAAACAAGGTTAGCTCAGATGGAAAATGATTACATAACATGCTACCATGTTACCAATCAGCAGAAAATCTTTACACATACCCCCCTCCCCATGCAGCAGTAGGAGACAGGGAGATTTGACAACTAGGTGGCGAGAGATAACTTGTATACAGAAAGAATCAAAAACATCCCATCTCTTTTTTAATTTGAATAAGAATGTTTAAAAAAAGGAAATCCAACACACATACTGAGATTTAAAGTCACAAATATACAAAGTACATCTGTTAGTTGCTCTTTTTATGTCAAATTAATCGTGCCCCGTGTTATTTATACCACAGACTGTTTACTCTGCTTGTGTTTATAGTGTCTGGTCAGAGGCCTGTCATACCAAATGGTGGTGGTTATTTCACAGGTTAGTGATACAGTGTGAGCAGCAGGACAGTGATCTTTGACCCTAATTGGTGTTTTAGGAAGGTAGTTTGAGGGCGCAGATGGCCTAGCGGTAAGGTGGTACCCCATGTAGGAAGCTATACTCCTCAGAGCAAGCGGACTGGGTTCAAGTCCGGCATGTCATGCCTCTCTCTCTATCCACTGTCCTGTCAAATAAAGGTAAAAAGCCCCCCCCCCCCAAAAAAATGAAGGTAGTTTGTAAAGCTTTGCTATAGTAAAACAAACTAAATTTCTATTTTTTATTTAAGTAAGTGGTACATAGTAAGTCCAAAGAAAATGTCTGATCTTTATTTTAACCAATTCAAACACTGTTAAACACAAATCAGAAGACCTAACATGACTACATGACAAAGCCCTTTGTATATAATCAATATATTGTATCTCCAGACTAATAAAAGCAATACGGCTGCTTTGAAACTCTTTGAAAAGTCATGTTAATCTCCAGCCATTAAAGATTAGATTAGATTTGACTTTAGATACAACATTTTTCACTTGCTAAAAAAGTACACAGTTTTAAAGGGAAGCTGAAGCCAATAAGTCAAAAGTACATATCTTCTGCTTTGAATGAGCTGCGTTGTTTTTCTACCAAACACTGACACTGCAACACCTCAACTGTAATTCTTCAAGTGGAGGAACATCTCTAATCTAAGTTTTAGTATGTTGTAAATATTTGTAGCATTATGCACTGTAGCACTTGTATTTTGGCATACATGCTTGCCAAGTGTAACTTGATACAGTAACCAATGTGCTGAGTGCTTGCAGCAGCAGATACAGTATAATGTGTTGTGAAATGCTTCCATCTTGTGGTTAAAGTAACACTTGCAGATTGATAGCCATGTCCCAGGCTGCGTTCACACCGCAAGCCTTAATGCTCAGATTCTGTGCTCAGATCAGATTTTTTTGGGCCTGTTCACATAGCTATTTAATTGTGGCCTTTGTCAAACTCCTGTGGGACTCCACCAATAAAAGTGGCCCCCAATCTGATGATTTGAAAAGCTCTGAGACCTCAATGCACTTGTGCTGTTCATACTGACTTAAAATAAAAGTCAGGTCTTTAGTCTCGTAGTAGAAAAACAAAATCAGATTTAGGTCACTTTTACCAGCAGTGTAAACGCAGCCTGGGACCCTGTTACACTCACATGTTTATCAATGCACAGATTAACCCAATTCATTTAGGAATGTTTTTATAATACTACAAATTCAATTATATCTGAAACTTTTATTTGGCTATGTTTCCATTTAGACCAAGTGTTTTTTTTTGGTTTTTTTAAATGTATATCATTTAATTCTAACACTCTTAAGAAGCATGGAAACATTTGAAAAAATAACGTCCACTGTTTTACACAGAATCATCAAATACTGGACTAAAAAAAGAACAGTGAACCTGTGCAAGGTACGTCATTATTTTTCACATGGGGGCTAAAGTGACCCCTTCATGATATTTCCAAAACGCCACATTTTAAAACAAGCTGAGGAAATATGGAAAGGCCAGATGTATGAAATATTCATAGAGGAGCCTTAAGGGGATGTCTTCCTCTAGAATTCAAAATATAATATTCATGTTGTCCTCGTCCTCCCCTCACTCATAACCTCAATTTTCCTTTTGTTGTTGAAAATAGGTCAAATGAATGTTTCACAAGGGTTAGTCCCAGACGGTGTGTCTTCACCCCTGAAACACTTTCACATTCAGACAATGCTGAATAATTTGTACCTTCAACACACATGAAACAATTCAAACGCATAAACACATATTTAAATACGCATTTAGATGCATTCAAAAGACTTCCCCGCACATGCTCTCACCTCACACATTCCTGTCCGGAAATGTCAGTAAGGTATCTGTTCCCAGTACAGTTGTCTTTGTCGCTGTGTGAGTGCTTGCATACCAAGCTATAGCTGTCAGAGACATGGGATTTCTATGAATAGAGCATTTGTATGCTTCTCAATTCATCGATTGATGAAGAACTTCCTTATTGACGCAATTCTTTACTTATATTATGACAACTGCTCGGAATTTTCAGTTTCATGCCGGTAATGTATTGAGAAAGTCACAGGTATCTTCATATGTCTATTTTGTGATAAGAAAGGGAGGCTATGGATGGTGTTGGAATAAAAAAAAACTTGTGTAAGGAAAAACACTTCTGCTTTATTTCGTTTATGTCCTCTTCTCTAAAGCCCATTTGCCCTCTCTATAATTTCAAGTTCTCCTCTTTCCCATACTTCCTTCTCTCATTCCCTGCTGCAAAATGCCAAATGTGATCAAGTTTGTGCATGAACATCAACATACTGTAGGTGTAAGTCTTGTAACTGCTTCTTCAGGTTGAGTCATCTCTAAGTATTCCGTGACTCCCTCAACCAAAGCTAGGTGGAGCAGTGCAGAGTTAACCCAGGTGCTTCTCTGCTTGACTGTCAGGTTTTTCAAGTCCAACAAGACTCTGTTCGTGAGCCTGCAGGGAACTTGGTTGACGCAGGTGGAAGTGCATGGAGAAAGTAGTTGAGGGTTTTTTTTTTTTTCTTTACAAGTTGAGGTCTTTGATGAGCAGTGACAGATTGAAACAGGAAATGTACTCTTTCATTTATGTCTACGAATTTCCCCTTAAATACAATTGAATGAACACAACCCTTTAGTGAGGAACTAAAGGCTTGAATTGGACTGAAGACATTTTTCACACTTAATTAGATTGCCAAAGCTCTTGTTTTGCAAATAAGCAAATGCTTAATCAAATCATTTGTCCCCTTACATCTATAAGTAAAACTGGGGCATAATAAAGTAATCAGGACTTTAATGTTGTAGTTGATGAGGAAATGATTAAGACTTGACTCCATACAGTAAGACTCAGTTGACTCAGTTGACAGTTGACATGATTCAACATCACACTTCTGTACTCGTGTCTTGCTCAATCACATCTGCAGAACTTTTCGAAAGGGCATCGCATATATCCAAAAAGACATTACCATTATCAGGGTCACCTAGACTAAACTGTGATGTCTGTAACACTGGAGCAGACAATACGTCTACCTAACATCCTTGCAGATATCAGGAAGAACAGTTGACACTCTCTAAGCTGTACTTGGTGTTCTAATAACAGCCGAACTCTGTCAGGTCTGACTGACACTAGAGAACAGTGAATAAACCTAATGACTTCTGTACATTATAATCTAAATAACTACAGAAATTCCACCACAGATCCTCCCTGTTTGAGTGAGAGTGCTTCACTTCCGGGTGCGCTGTCTGTCTATGTGATTAACTCCACCTCTTTCTTTCTGAGTGTGTGTGCTGCTGATCACAATGTCTGTGACTGTCAGCCTGTCCTGTTCTCTCTAATTCTCTCTTTTCTGACGAATAATCCCAGTTTGGATTACCGTGAAATTGATTGACATTAACAACCGCTAACCTAATATTTTCTCGTTCAAAAGACCCGTGATATGGTCATTCTAACTTTGTCCATTCACACACGAGAGACGAAAACGAAGAAACGTACTTCCAACCTTTCTCTTTTCCTACAACTCCTGCAGGCATATCAGCAGGGGATATCTGACTGAAATGAGATGTTTCATGTGTGCTAAAATCATCTCTTCTTCGTCTGTATGTTGGAGAGTGTTCCACCTAAGGGTGATGTGCTTTGATCTGGAGCAGCATTATGCGTTCATGAATGCTGTTTTCATTTATCGTTAGCTGTTGTGGACTGATGATTCCCCATCACGCATAAAGCAATTGTAGCGTTCAACAAAACCAGCAGCAACAGGCACAAACAATCAAACATTTAGAACATTGCATAAACATTTGAACTGCATCTGAGTCCATTTAATCAACCTTTTATCATTTATTCCAGCTTTGCATATTCAGAATAATGTATACGTTCTTATAATCGTGTTGGGTCTGTTAATAACGAAGGACTACCAAAAGTAATCAGCTCAGTGTGCACACAAATCTTATCGCTCTGACGTCCCTATGACTACAGAGTCTTACGTCCCGCCGGACAACAGATTCACCTACTGGTCTTACCTATATCGAAATGAATTCTTAATAATCCACCCCAGGACGTCTCCCCTAGGATATAAGTTCACAGTTTGATCTTATCTGTGTCGGGTCACAGCACATAAAGCTGGCTCAGACCTCCGAGACATCCCCGCAGGATGCTCGACAGCCCAACTCTCACCAATTTGCAAATACAAGCAATTAATGATTCTCAATCATTGACAATTTATTCAATTTCTGTTATATGCAAATATTATTCAACAGCATGTTGTCAAGCTTACAATCATTTCAGCCGAATTACAGTTTCTTTAGATATCGTCAAACTCAGACATGGCAGTAGCAAAGAATAAAAATGATTTGCACTTACCAGTCTTTGTTTGTAGATATCCTGTTTCGTGACTCCAAAATGTTGAGGAAATTACTAAGACTTGACTCTATACGATAAGACTCAGTTGACTTAGATGGCTTACATTGATGAAAGTTTATACATAAGAAGAATACTCATGAGGAGACTTGATTCAACATCACACTTCTGTACTCGTGTCTTGCTCAATCACATCTGCCGAACTTTTCGAAAGGACATCGCATATATCCAAAAAGACATTACCATTATCAGGGTCGTGTCACCCACCTAGACTAAACTGTGATGTCTATAACACTGGAGCAGACAACACATCTACCTAACATCCTTGCAGATATCAGGAAAAACAGTTGACACTCTCCAAGCTGTACTTGGTGTTCTAATAACAGCCGAACTCTGTCAGGTCTGACTGACACTAGAGAACAGTGAATAAACCTAATGACTTCTGTACATTATAATCTAAATAACTACAGAAATTCCACCACAGTAGTCATCAAAGCATCCTCACGTTTTCCCCATGTTTTGGTTGATAGACTAATGCAAAAAGAACAAGATAACAAGGCAAAGCAAGATGCAATGCTGTTCCTGAGGAAATATGATCTGTCATCTACGGCTTTCCTGATTCACATCAAAAGTCAGACGAATCATGCTGAGAGTGTATTTTAGTGACAAAACTGTGAATTTTGTTTATGTTCCAATCAGGTATTTTGTGAAACATTTAAGACTGTTCAACAGGTATTTTTTTTTACCCTTGTACTGAAGCAGCAAAGGGATACACACACAAAGATGTACCACCAGTATCCTGTGCATTTATTTTAAGGTTTCCATGGGAACAGACTCAACAGACGCATGCAGGGATATTTGCAGCCAGGTCTAAAACTTAAACAGGAAGGAAAATGAAATTTTCTCAACAGTCCAAAAGAAAGAAATGGCTATTTTACAAGCTGAATGACAGCTTAGATATCATTTTAAAGGCGAATAACTCAATGCCGTTGACAATTCCCACCAGATTGATGGTTTACATTGTGTCAGTGGATATAATCCTGACAATATAAGTTACATTTCAATATGGGGTCTACATGGAGGAAGAACATGGTGTAACGTATGAGTTTCATTTTGACAAACTGAGCCAACTTTGAATATATCGGAGTCAAGACAAAGCTAATCATTTGGGTCATGAAGATTATGGGAGAGCTTATTTCAAGTCCGGCTCTGCATGAATCTATGCAAATCAAAATCCCTTTATTCATCGGCTACTTCAAAACCATGGAGAGAAGATTTAACTTTAAAAAGTCTGCTGCATCATTTGCATATAATATCATTCAAACGGACCCTTTCTGACTGTATCGTGGCACATATCTTATCTATAGAGCACCGCCAAATTTCTTACATGATGTACTTTGCCTGTCAAGGAATGGGTTATGTGCTTTTGTCGGATTGATGTGAAGTGTAACGTGATTATGGTCGATGGTTAAACCAGTTCTGCAGCAGGTTTTTCACAAAAATAATCTTTTTATATCATCTTATAGAACATCATCGTGCAAACAACAGCTCTCAATGGGCCTAATGGAGCATGTTGCAGGTGTTACAAACACCCTTAGGTCATTATTCAAATAAGTATGATTCATGGAGCCGCCCTTGTTATAGGAGACTAAGAGAGGCCTCTCAATATTTTGTGTTATTGCCAAGTGCCATTTGAAGAGTAAAATGTCTGTTGTGACTGGAGCAAACTTAATTCTACTTTTCTACTTTAGTTTAGTTTAATAAAATGAAAGAGATGTGTCTGTCATCTCTCTTTCCTTTTTTTTTTACCTAAAAAAGACTCAATTTATCATATTTCAAGGGAAATTGCAGTATATCTGATTCTATTGTAATCACTTCTTCAGCCTTCAAGTGTTTTTTAAAGTGTACGCGTAGCTTGGCATTAATTTTCAGTTCAATAATCACTCTCAGAAGAAGCATTGTATGCTATTATCTTGGCAACTTGCACCTTATTTCTTATCTCCTCCCATTGTGCTGCGCTCTCGCTCACAACATTCCTGTCATAAAAGCCACGGGCGGACTGGACCAAACCACCTGCGTGGATAGCGTTATGATGACAGCCATTTCATTCATCATAGTTCCTCCACCAGATTGAATCAAATTACAGTTTCATTTCAAACTGCTGATATAAAAAAACGTTGCATGATTGCAGTGTCAAAATGATGGCTCGTTGATCAAGTGATGGGACACGGCTTGGAAACGTGTCTCCCCCTCCCCACTCCAGGATAGTGGACTCGTCCTGACACTGCCATATTGGATGGAACTGGCTCCGGGCTCTCTGGCGGTCGGACTTCCCAGGAAAGTTTTTGCCATTTTCCCTCTTCGCCCTCTCGCTGCAGTTTTGACCTTATTTTAAAGAGAGGCGGTCTTATCGCAGTCATAAACGGGGGTACATTTGTTGGCACCCCAGTTTTGAGGAACCCCGGGATACACTGATCCGGTGTGAGGAGGTCGGAGGAAGGCCACGGATGACCAAGGGATTGTTTATGTATCTTTCTGGATCACATCAAACGAGTTACAGTCGGTGCATACTTTATAAATTGACCAATTATGAGTGGACATCCGCCACCACGGCGGATAGTAAACAGCGGCTCCTTACTACTGACACCGCAGGAAAATGAAGCCCTTTTCAACCTCCTCGGCAGGAAATGCATCGTAAGTTTCTTCCCATCAAATAATTGCATGATAGCTACGAAACAGCTAATAAAGCTAACTTGAACTGTGTTTCCTGTCTGGAGATAGCAGTGTAGGTATGAGGTGTTTGTGGCCTGTCAGCCTTTTTTCTTTTTTTTTAATGTTGGTACGTGTTGTGTAAGAAACATTTCAGACTTCGGAGAGGCCGGTTTGTTTTGACAGCACAAGCAGCACAGTGACCCGGTTCAGACGGTGACACTTCGGTAAACGCCTTAAACTTAAAGACACACCTGAATCCTCCAGGAACCCTCAAGTTGCTCTCCCACACAGCATAACCTCACCGAGCTTAGCAACACCACAGTGGCTTTAACAGTCAGGGGTGGATGGAGGGGTGGAGGGGTGGAGGGGTGGGGGGGCTGTTCAAGCCATTAGTGGAGAGCAGGGTAAAGCAATGATTTTTTTTTTGTACTGGCATTATATAACATAGCTTTGCTGAACCTAGGTTGTTTTCAGGAAGTGTGTCCACAGAGAAGAATGTGCCGAGCAGACTTGTGTGTGTGTGTGTGTGTGTGTGTGTGTGTGTGTGTGTGTGAGGAGCTACAAAGTCCTCCCTAATGCAAGACATGCCAGTCATGCAGTCTGATCAGAAAGCAGCGCTGTCGTTTCACTTGTGATTGCAGACTAAATCTGTAGTGCAATGTCACGACTCAATATTGTGAGATAGTCAAGTCTTACGTAACACTTTGAGCGTTCAGCTGACTCATTTTTTTTTTTTTTTGTGTGTCCTACATGTGCAAGCCCCATGTAGGCCATGCAGCACATCTCAACTACATTTGAAGTTTTGCATGTGCAGCAACATTAGATACTCTAATATTTTCTCTATATTTGCTTTTCCCTCTCTACAATCTTGCATGGCAGGTTCCCATATTAGTTTAACCCCCTCCCCCCCTCCCCTGGTATCTAAAAGCTCAGAGATGCATTGATCTTTGTAATAATTTTTTAAAAATTGTGTAGAGCACATTTTTATAAAGAGGAAGAAGTTTAAGATGTTTTACCTCACATTGCAGGAGAAAAACCCCAATAATGGTGAATTAAACCAAATGCAAAAAAAAAAAAAAAAACAGGAATATATGCTGAGAGCGATCAAATTGTCAAATTTGCGAGTACAAAAGGATGCATTAATACATATAAAATGATGCAAATTACAACAACAAAAAAAGGAAAGGTGACAGTTAAAGGCAATGTAAAGTAAATACAATTTTTATTGCCATTTAACAATGGAGAGTTTGCATCATGTTTAGCGGTATAGTTTGTTGCTGGTTATCTTATTTGTAGTTTGTATAGAAAACTGGCTGCAGAGGAAATAGCCTTATACAATAAAAAAAACATTGAAATCAATTCTGAAATGCACATTTGAGCCAGTAAAGGTGCACTTACACTGTCATGTTCTCTCTGTTGTGTTTCAGCCCAAAGCCTACCAGCAGAGACCTGAACTAATTGTGGTTTTTACAATGACTTGTTTTGGAACATCAGTGAAAATATCACATGTTTCAAGACTGTTTAAGATCAGTATTGGCCGTTGTGTTAAAAGTGCAAAAGTCACTTGCACTCCTCTGGCTGTAAAATATTATTCTATTCTGTTGTTGTCTACAAGGGGTGTGTTCGTTCGTTTGTTTGTTTGTTTGTGTGTCATGCTTAGTTTCCATCAGAAACTCTTGCTTTGAAAATGTATTTTTTTTCCTGACTATATGACTTAGGGGTCAGAGTTCGGAGATTGTGTCTTGTAAATGTCACCAAAGCTGGAAAACACGTTGCACAATCACCTGTTATCTGTCGCCTGTCTAGGTAAGACACATCCTAAAGTCAATGTGTCCGTTTATTATTAACTGGGTTGTGTTTTCTGGGTGGCATGATCAAGTTAGCTTTCCACACATATGGGCCATGCAGCCGACACAAACGTGTACAAATCTGCAATTTTGTCACATTGCCCGTTCACAGGCTACTTCCTCGTAGTGATCATAACTTCCTTTAATCGTTGTAAATTCAAGTTGATTGCATGATCGATCTAAATATGTTATTACCATGAGTCTGCCATGCTCCTGGTGTGAAAGGGTATACTTCCTGTCCCATGACACGGTATGACAAGCCAGAAATGGCTGGTGTGTCACATAGTAGGATGTCCCGCCTCTTCCTTTTTTTTCTTTTTTTTTTTCTTTTCCACATGAGCACACAGGTTTCAGAGGCACACCTTCCTACACCTATTGTATCCTGTTTGAGAAAACATCCAGTGACGACGTTCCTCTGGCATTCTGGCGATCATGTCAGTCAGCATGTGACCAGGAACATTCCTCACAGTCCTACGCTCTTGTGTGTGTCTACACGTATTTGCATTCAGGAAGAGTGTGAGAGGAAGCGACTAGAAGACACTGACATTGTGTGTGTCTCTCTGACCAATCTAATTAGGATGCCCACCAGTGCTGTAGTGGCCCTTTCTTGCTTGTAGTCCTGGCAGTATAGACTGAGATTTTACGTCCAACAATGATGGAACAGGATTCCTTCGTCGGAGCGTCCTCCTATTGCTTTAATGACATGGAAAGAAAATTGGTCAGAAACGTTTTTAGAGGCTGTGTATTGCAAAAGAAAGCCCACATAATGAGGCAAGTGTTCATAGAAATAATGAAGAATGTAAATGATTAGTAGTTCTGTTCTTTTTGTGATGAACTGTCTGCATCCAATATTTCCTATTTTAGAAGTCTGACATGAATATTATTTTTACAACAGAAATATGTGAAGAAATTGCATCATTAAATGCATAAATCCATGGCGTGTTTGAGAATTCAATCGGCGTTCATTGACATGGAGACGTCCAGGTACATGCACAGTAGCCTCACTCATTGGTTTTCCGCATTAGTATTCCTTCTGCTGTTTTCACCATCAGCAACACTGTCTGACTGGGCGAAAGGTGGAAGGAGTCCAATACACACTGCGTCTGTGTGAGAGATTGTGTGTGTGTACACAGACTGCCTGATCAGCAGTCCTATCCTACAGGAAGTCCCGTGGTCGGCCTCCTCTGGTGATTTGTGCTGGAGAAGTGGAACATGACTCCTCTTTTTTTTTTTCTCCACTTCACCCCTTTTTTTCCAATTTTGCCATCCTTTCTTTTTTCCCGTCGCAGCCGACCCCCTTTAAGTTCCCCGTTCGTATCATGCCCTCCTCGATCGTTCATACATTTCTCATGTTCACTCAGTCGCTCTGTAAGCATGTTTTGAACCCTCTCCTTGTAAATCTTTATTTTTGTACATGTCTTTACTCTGATATCGGCACTCTACTTTCTCCCTCATCTTCAGTCATGCTGCTAGGTACACGCCCCCTGTGTCTCTAGAAGATCTCTGGAAGGACGTCATTATCCATGCGTCCTAGGGATGCTCCTCATCTTCCCTATAAAGAACGATACATTTTGAACAACAAACTTGAGTTAAAATCATGACATCAGCGGTATGCTATTGCATACGAGATCCTGTGTGCACAGTCTGGTGACATGCTAGTTCAGCTGCACAACAACAACTGGCCTGTCTCCATGGATCTCATTTCCATACTCAAGGAAAATAACTTCCTAGTGGTTAATAAACTGTTGCCACCGCTCATGCTGAGTCCACATAATGTTGTGTCCACTCATGTTGATTGTGTGTTATTGCTTAGGGGACCTGCTGTAGTGAAAGAAACAAAAACAGCCTTCAATGACTGTGGGGAAAAAAGAAACTTTTTAGTGGCGGCCCCCTTGTCTTATAACATCTATGAATCCCGTTACCAGGGAGATCCCATTTTTCCCAAGTCAGCGCCAGTCAGAGGAAAGGTTTTAAAGATGCCACAGAATAAAAATATGTATTCAGTCAGTGTTTTGCACAGAAAGACGCTAAACCTGGGCAGTGGAGTTGGGGGGACGGGGGAGTTGTGCATACAATCTTGTGATAATGCAAAGCTTAACTGCTTTATCCACTCATCTTTAATTGAAGAGGAATACATTTTTGCAGTCCTTGAGTTTGACAGTTATTTTTCTTTATCAATAAGCAGAAAGACGTAGTTTGTTTTTAAGAACAATGGGAAAATCGACCCCTTTTTTAACGTCGGTACGTTTGTCGTGTTATGATGACGTAATAGACAGAGCTCCGCTTCCTGCAGCCCTTTCGGCCTTGTCAGGAATAATCAGTGCTACACAGGCAGATGAAACCCTGAGGGCCTCGGAGCATTGACCCTATTACAGTCAGTCGCTGCACAGATAAGCCAAATTCATATTATTCTTGTGATCCTCCTAGGTATGACTGATCCAAATCCAAACAATCAAGAGCTCTAATGCTGCCAAGGCACTGAGTGTTTGTATGAATATGATTAAAAATCACCCTGGACAACATACAGTCATGCAGAGAGTGAAGCAGAATTGGAAGAAAAATATACATTTTGCATGCTTGTTAAGCGAAAAAAAACCCAATCACAATTAAAGCAACCAAACAAAGAGCTAACTTGTTCCACAGCGTCATTCAAACCTCTAGGTTAGAAATGTGCTTCAAAACCACTGTGATGTAACAGGTGCTCTGCATGTACTATTGTTCTATCATCTAAGGCTCGGTGCACAGTTTGGCAATATTTATGTAACCTTGCCACATACGCCATTATGACTTCTCTGACAACATTGCTATCTCCTACAATGGCAACAAGCAGGAACATTTGGCAAGGATGTGAGAGACTTTGACAAGGGCCAGATTGTTATGAGAACATCTCCAAAACTGTTTTCAGTCAGCAGTGTTCAGTACGTACCAAAAGTAGTTCGAGGAAGGACAACCTGTGACCCAGTGACAGGGTCATCATTGGTGGCCAAGGCTCACAGATGTGCATGTCTAACAGAGAAAGTCTATTCTGGTTCTGATGGAAAGTTGTCAGAGGTACGGGCCCGACCGATATCGGATTAATGGGACCGATCCTGATAGTAATATTAAGGGTGGAAAAAATCAGATACCAATACATTGGCCGTTACTTTCTGGGTTCTATCTTTGATCAGTTGAGATTGGTAGATAATAGATGTACAAATGTATTGCCTTGATTCATCCAATGCAGTTATCAAACACTTGTGGAACAGATAATGAAGACAACATGATCACTCAACTGGAATGTATGCTATTGCTATTGGACTGGTAGTAAATCTTGTAATATCGGTGCTTATCTGCTTTAAAAGTAGCCGGAACCCATAGTCATTTGATAAGCTAATACTGGCCGATATTATCTGCTGGCTGATTAATCGGTGGGCTCTAGTCAGAACACAGTGCGTGGTAGTTTGTTGTGTATCAGGCTGTATAGCAGCAGACCTGTCAGGGTCCCAATGTTGACCCTGTCCACCACCAAAAGCGGCATCAAGCTGGTTTAGCTTCGTTGGCAGTGTCGTCCCCCAGTCTCTCCCGTCATTTCCTGTCTATTTCAAGCTTTCCACTCAAATACCACACCTACACCTACAATGGGCATGTGCGCATCTGAACTGGACTACAATGGAAGAAGGTTGCCTGGGGGTTTCGAGGTTGTTGACTTTGCCTCAAAATTCCCAAGTTGAGCGTCTGTGGGATGTGTTAGCCATCTCGAAACGTACGAGTCTTAAAGGATCAGCTGTTGTTTACATCTTGGTGCCAGATACCACAGCAAACCCTCAGAGGTTTAATGGAGGGCAAGGCTTGTCAGGTCAGGACTGTTTTGGCCCTGACCTGTCGAGAGGGGGTGCCTGCCCGCCCTCCACAGTATTAGGCAGGTGGTCATGATGTCATGGATGATCAGTGTAGGCCAATACAACCAGCCTTTCAGCATCTTTATGATCCATACAGGGAGATGTGGGACTGTCTCTCTAGATGTCTCTGCCCGTGCCTTCTATTCAGTCTGAAGCAATGTCTCGACTCTTAAGGGAGTCTATTCTGAGGAATCAGAGAATTAGACCCAAATGTTTTCCTTTTAAGCAAGAGATGTTTTTGCTGTTTTGTACAAGTTTCCATTTTGGTTTCTGTGTACTGTTCCTTCACTCAGAGAGCTCCTTACTCTGAAGTACTGTTATACTCTAAGGAAATATCAGCTATTTAATGATCACATTACGACACTAGACAGATCCCTTCATGTAGAAATACAGATGTACTTTAAATTTGAAAAACTAAAAACGTGTAGACCGGTTAAAACCAAAATGTATGTTAAAAAAAAGAAAAAAGTCTGTATTTAAAATACCCCTTGACTGCCTCTGCATATGTGCTACAAAGAGCAACATAAAGCCTTGGTATGTTGTCTTGAAGTTTGCAATAATGAATGGAACAACTGAATGAAAAGGCCTCAAACATCAGCAGGCATTTCCCTCGTTTGATGCTCTTTGCTTTCATGTGTGCAGTAATGATGACTGGGAACTTGGACCCCCTTACGGAGAGAAAATCCCTGCAGCCATCTGTAAAAACCTGCGGGAGTCTTATCTGCTCTTATGATCGTGGATGTTTCGGTGTGTGTGTGTGCGCGCCACAGGTGTGCTGACTGGCAGCTTTTCTTTGCCTTTTAAACGCATTTCAGAAACACTCCAAACTTCTTTAAAGTTGGGGTTTGAAATAAACATCTTGAATTGTTTTAAATAGTATAAATGGGCTAAAATATTGGAATGCAGTATGGAAGATTTTCACGAGAGAGGTGCTTGAACAAATTTGACCCATTAAGCAAAGCACTGTGTGTGTGTGTGTTACTGCGCGTGTGCGTGCGTGCGTGCGTGCGTGCGTGCGTGCGTGTGTGTGAGCGTGTGTGTGAGTAGGCTCAGTCACACTACAGCATATTTGTAGTTTTAAAGATCCCTCACAGAGTTCAGTCTTCTGGAGATGTTGTGTCCTATGTTTCAAACAAGAGGACATCTGGCATCGCTCAAAACACATATTTTTACACTACATAAATCAATCGAACTCATTGTTCTTACCGCGCTAAGATCACTTGATGTCTCTGTCGTATATCTGAGCCGCTTGTCAGACACTTTGAGTTGATGTGCTATATTCTGACAACTGCAGGACAGAACTATTTAACCCCACGACGTTCCTGTCACTCTTGTCAGTCAGTCTGTGGTTATGTCATAATACATTTAAGCAGCCCTTCAACACCTACATGAAAGGCGTTTAACAGCAGATGTGTATTAGCTTTTAATCAGTACAGACGGGGTATCGTAAGAAACTGGCATATGATTTGATGCTGCAGTAAAAGTATATGTTCTGTTGAGATGATAACATGTGCTCTTAAGCCTTTGCCTTGTTCGTTTTTAAAAGAGAAGAAAGCATGATTTTTTTTTTTTTACTGGTTTGTGGCTGTGTGCAGCATTGCATGCAAACCTTCTAGCTTTTTCACTCCTCCAAAACCCATTTCACCATTTGGATCATCCTTAAAGATGGCTTCTCTTAATATCTGACTTTTGGATTTTAGGACATAACACAGAGGAGGCAAAGAAGGAAGATCCATAGTGAATTCAAATTGGAAAGACCTCATGGTCACCTCCCATATCGAGGACTTTAATCTTTGCTGGTGTTCGTGCTGTTCTGTATTGTACTGTACTTTGTAGACTGACGCAGTGCTGCTGTATCTTCAACATCACAGCTAACATCTGTTGAGATTTGCAACATGAACTTTATGGATTAAGATGGTTGATAAGTTCTCAGGGACACTGAAGTGCACATAACTTTAATCAAGTCACCAGTTTTTTGTGTTATAGATATTAATCTGTTATTTGAACTACCTGCAAGATGCATTTATCTGGCTTCAGAAAACACACCACTTATGTGTTATCCATTTAGCAACACAGAATAAGTTTGGCTCTCCCTTTCTCCCTCCAGTCGCTGGCTTCAGCAGTGGTCCAGGTGTTTACAGCAGACAGGAACTCCAGCTGGAACAAGAGATGCTGCGGTGTGGCCTGTCTGGTCAAAGACAACCCCCTACGATCCTACTTCATCAGGGTCTTTGACATCAAGGTGAGGCAAACACAGCTCTGCACATTAATGATTACACCACTGGTTTCATTTGGGAGGTAATAGAACTCATCTCGATTCATGTCACAGTGAATACCATATATACCTGCCTTTTGTATTTCATAATAAATCTAATTTTACCCGGTTCTGTGCTTTTCTTTTCACAGGACGGTAAGGTGACATTTGAACAGGAGCTCTACAACAACTTCAGCATCTACCTCTCCAAACCGTACTTCATCACATTTCCTGGAGATGTGAGTTTCCCTCCTCTTCTTTCACTCATTGTCCTGCATTATTTCAGATCCCTGGTATTTAAAGGGCCCATATTATGCTTTTTCTGGTTTTATATGCTCTTTAGTGTGTTTTGCAAGTGTCCTGTGCATGTTTAAGCACATCTATTTGCAAAAATTCAAATTCTGCGAAAACGCGGCTTCTCCCACTCCTCCTGTTAGCTGCAGCATTAGCTGCATGTAACGCTCGGTTCTAGCACCCCTCAATAAAAATTTGTCAATGTGACGTCTTGTCAGTGTGATATCACTGATCTAAGCCCATTGGCTCGTTGTGGCAAGCCCAGCAGCTCATGTAGCACGCCCGTTAACTTCTGTAGCACGCCCACGATATGCCGTAGCCTGCGGTAGCACAGTAGTGCTAAGGTGCTAATGTTTATGCTCCCCGGCCCTCAGAGCCAGAGTGGCTGAGCGACTGACCAATTACAGCAGAGCCGACAGGCCGACCAATCAGATCAGACTTGGCACATGTGGGGACTCTGAACGTGGGCACTTCAGAGCCTTAGAGAGAGAAAGTCAGAAGCGAGCCGGTGCATGGAGCGGCAGAACATGAAAACAGACACTTTTTTTTTTACTTTAGCTATTGTGAACATACTTTAGGAGGTACATAGATTAAATATATGAACCCCAAAAAGGGCATAATATGGACTCTTTAAAGTCCCTGCCCCGATTTATTCACAGGCCAAAATAGCCTTTATTATTATTAATGAGTGATAATGATTTAATTCTTTAATTTGTTGAATGCAGCTGGAGAGGAAAAATAGGGGGAAAACAGTTTCTTTCTCTGCAAATAAGCTCAGAGACACTTTAATTACTTATTACATGTAGTCATTGGAACATTGCACTGCTTCTCTCAAGTATCCTAATATTAGAATGAAATCCTAGAATTTCTATGAACAACATTTGACATGTTTTTAGGGCGCGGTCTCACTGGCCATCCGTACCGTGCCCAAGCACGCTTCAATGCTTTAAGTCCAGTTCATTTGACCAGTGTGACCGCTCCGTATCGTGCTCAGGCACAGTACACTTCCTTGGCTTTGGCACACTTCAGAGAGGTACACTTCATGCACGAGCACGAGCACAAGCACGCGGGTACACAACGCTGACAGCCTTCATTATGGAGAAATCCAGAGTTTCATGGTTGTATCTGACTAACATGACACAATTTAAGGCACAAAGTAGCTGTCATGTTCTCTGTGTTGTTCGCTGATGTGCAGGTGTCCGCGTGTCTATTTTATTTTTAAATGTATTTATTGCCGTGTCTGATTAAAATGGCTTAAAAATAGCTGCAAAGTCAGTAAAGTAGCTGTCATGTTCTCCGATGTGCGGCCGCGGCCGAGCGTATACTTTATTTTTTTATTTATTTATTGCTGTGTCTGATTAAAATGGCTTAAAATAAGCCTCAAAGTCAGTAAAGTAGCTGTCATGCTCTGTGTTTTTCTCTGATGTGCAGACACGGTCTCGACTGCACGTCTCTTTTTTTCCTCTCTCTCTCTCTCTCTCTCTCTCTCTCTCTCTCTCTCTCTCTCTCTCTCGTCCGCCTGTTTGGAAACTGAGCACGCTTCATAATAAAATAAAGCGTGCATGTGTTGTATTACGATGTTATGTACAAGAGGTCATCGTGCTTTTAGGCACGGTTAGACCTGGCCAGCAAGACCGTGCCGGCCAGCGTGGGTATGGCGCAGCGGGGGGAGCAATCGTGCTTGAGTACAGCACGGTACAGATGGCCAGTGTGACCGCGCCCTTAAACACTCTTCTGTCATTATGATGCAAATGTTTTGAACCTGTTTCACAAGCTGTGAAAGCTAACCCAACGCTCCTGTCTGCTGTACTGTAAACACTTCACACAAACTAAATCTTGGGTCTTATCAAGTTTGAGCAGATTTGAATTCAGAAAGAGTTTGCAAGTCCCACTTTGCAGAAACTGCTGTGGCTCAGTTGGTAGAGTCATCGTCGTCGCTCAACCGGAAGGTCGAGGGTTCGTTCCCAAGCACCTGCAGCAACATGTCCAATGCGTCCTTGCTCCTGCTCCTTGTCAGCGGCATATGAATGAGTATGAATGGGATTAGTTTCTTCTGATGGTCTCATTACATAGCAACAACTGCCATCAGTGTGTGAATCTGTGTGAATGTGTGGGTGTAACCCCAAGTAGTCAGAAGACTAGAAAAGCGCTTTCCAAGCTCAAGTCCATTTACCATTCTGGGGAAAATTCTGTACAACAAAACGGGTACACACAAGTCTTAGGTTACCATAGAGATAATTATCTTCTTTGACATTTTATTCCAGACATTATATTTAACTCTTTCTCAGTTTTGTCCTATCAAAGACATACTGATGTCTATTCCCGTTGTGAAAAACGACATTGTGTGTTGAAGTCCTAGCTTTCTGTGAAGTCTTAAGCCCTTGATATGACGAGATGTCTGTATTTATGGAGCAAACACCTGAGCTGGCTTAGACTGCAGCATGTGGGAAAGCTGACGGTGATGATAAGGATGATCATGGTGGGGGGGGGGGGGTGTAGGTTCAGCAATCCAAATTAAGTTGGTTAAAAAGTTAGTTGGCACTTGAGAAAGAGTTCAATTGACCTTACAAATGTTTGATCTCTTTTGTGTGTGTTTGTGTGTTCACAGACATGCCAAGTGGGTCTCAACTTTGCCAACGAGGAGGAGTCGAAGCGTTTCCGCGCCCAAGTTCATGAGCTAATGGGCAGACGACAGAGGAAAACTGGTACCACCTTAATGCTGCTGCTGCTGCTGCTACTAACTAATATCAAATCTTACTTGCTCCCTGAACTCACTGAAAAAATTGCCACGTTCAGCACATTTTTATCCTCATACTCGTTTAACTCTGCTTTTTAATATGATCGTCAGGCAAATTATTAAAGCACAAGGATGCAGAAAGTTTTCAAAATAATGAAATGGCAACAAAAGTGATTTAAATGTGACCGTTTCAGTCTTTACTTTAGTCTGTGATGTTGCAATATTTGGCTTGAAATGATCCCACTTGGTCTGACTGTAGGATTTTAAAAAATCATACGAATGTTGTTACTTGACATTTTTTACGGTGCTGAACTAGTAAAAACAAACTTGCCCTAAAAAATGTCTTAAATGAGTTCAGAGGCCAAGACAGTTAACCTTACAGATTTCTTTTACTGTTTTTTTTGCCTTGGTCTGTTAACATAACCACCTGATTTTCTTTTTCTTCTAATCAGCTGCTACCTCTTCCCTGTTGATACAACCTTTGATAACCCCACCACTGTTTTAACGCCACCTTCTACATTAACAAAACAAAAAAAAAAAAACATTGATAGTGAAGAACATAAAAAATAAAATGCACGTCCAGATGAGAAGCATCTGAAATCAAATGACAGAAATTAACAGACAGATTCATCAATTCTACCTCTCCATTTATTGAATAACATCATCTTTTGTTTTGGTGCCGCAAGAAAACCTTTGAGTCATTGTCTCTTTTAAGAGTCAAAGAGATCACTCTGGATCTGTTTATTTTCCACACAAAAAATATGCTGACTGGCCCAAAGTGGGAGAGGGGGTGTAACAGTTTCATGTTGAAATCTGCAAAATGAAAAATCAGCTGTGATATGACTCTTTGACTCGCAATTTTGCCCTTCTGATCTTTTTCATTCAAATAATGCATGAAGAGCAACAACAATTCTACTTTGACACTTCAACTTCTTTGAAGGCGACTTAACAATCTTTTGCCGTCTATCATCACTTCAGTCTTTTTCAGCCAAATAAGCCATTCATATTCCTATTGTTTCTGCAAAACCTCAATATTGTGCACTCCAGTTTTTAACCTTTATCATCACATCCTTGATTAAGACCGTCCAGTTTCCTTGTTCCTCCTGCGGATCATTCCTTGAACCTCGTAATGGATCCTTTTTTCATCTTTTCCTCTTAATCCCTCTGTATCGGGGTCTTAATTTCATCTTCTCTGCTTCTTCTGTTGACCATCAACCTTGGAAAACTCAAACATCCGTTTATGGAAGTGTGTGTGTGTGTGTGTATGGGTGTTATCCATTATTTGCTATAGTTTATTATTAATAATAAAGAGAAAAAATTCAGATACCGATATATTGGCCGATTTCTTTCTTAGATCTATCTTCGATATGTAGAGATAGATGGATATATATGTGCATCTCGGCTCGACAGTCTGGAGAGTGATAATGCTTGTTGTAGTCCATATAGCACCCTCTGCTGGTGATAGCCAGAAAAAGTGAAATACAAAGGTACTCAAGGTACGAATATCTGAGATCAAATTAGCTGATACTGATAGTCGTGTGTGTGTGTGTGTGTGTGTGTGTGTGTGTGTGTGTGTGTGTGTGTGTGTGTGTGTGTGTGTGTGTGTGTGTGTGTGTGTGTGTGTGTGTGTGTGTGTGTGTGTGTGTGTGTGTGTGTGTGTGTGTGTGTGTGTGTGTGTGTGTGTGTGTGTGTGTGTGTGTGTGTGTGTGTGTGTGTGTGTGTGTGTGTGTGTGTGTCCATGAGTCCTCTCCCAAACATCCTAACAGAACACTTGGCTTGGCAACTTTTTTTCAACTTTCCATTAAGTACAGTCTCGTCGGGCCCATTCTGAAGAAGCCACTCACTTCTCTTCTCTTTGTACATCTTCCCTTTGACTTACTCACAACGATTCGCTTCTCACTAACACAAGCCACCGCTGAGCGCAAGGATTGTAATGATTTCATTTGTCTGTGTCCACAGAGAAGAGACGCGACCCTCCAAATGGTACGTTCTCCCCTGTTTCCTGTCAATCACTTCAGAAATATATAAAAGGGGGTGGTGTCAGAACAGAGACCGACGTGTGTCTGATGGCTTGGCAACTTCTCGTGCCCTTCAGTTTGTTATGTCAGATGGGTGGAGTAGAAGGATCATTCAGATACTTGTGTAACTTGGCAACAACCTCAAGGCCACATTTTTCTTTCCCTTACATTGTGGAAAAAAGCCTGGCTAAAGAGATTGAGACCCAGCGGACTGATTGCAAAAAAAATCTTAGCAACTAAATCAACAACTGTCATCAAACTATGTGTTTACAATGTATAGAAAAAACAGAAGCAGTTTCACATTTCCTCCCTTTAACATTCACACTGAGCAGGTTTGGATCATAACAGGTGTTAAAAAGTATGTCTTCAATCAAACCTTTTTAAAAAATATAAACACATGACCCCCCCCTGCGTGGTCTGTTGGATACTCTTTTGTTCAACTATACTGGAGGAGCTGCTCCTAGCTGTAATAACCAATTCTTAAAGGTGGTAAAACAGCCCTTAAAAGCCCCCCCCCCCTATATAGGACATCAAGAAATGAGTGCATACTCTGTCTAGGATATAGAGATTTTTTTCGGTATAATTTTCTGTAAGTCAGAATGAATTTAATTGTGTATGATCGAGAAAGAAAGTCAAGCACATAAGCGCAGTACTTTAACATATTAATGTAGAATAGCTCTGCCTTTCCTGCCGTGGAGTCTCAATCTGCAGAGATCATGACCTTCATTCAGTGTGGCCTGCTGATAAAACAGATGGGACACATTTGTGAATATGCACACTTCTGTTTTGTGGACATACGGCATTAGACACGCAGCCTACTTCTGCACAGGAGGGAGCCAGTTTTTGGGGCCGCACGACTTGACCCTGCTGGTGTGTGCGTGCTTGACATGCGTGTGTGTGTGTGTATGTGTGTTCATATCTTTACCACAAAAATGACACATTTACTCAATCAACTGATGCTCATGTTCGGAGCAGCTTAACAAAATTCTGCCCTTGGATGTTTCGCTTTGGATGACATGCTGTCAGATACCTTATATGGTGCATACATGATGTTCATTGAGCTACATGGTTACCCGTTTTTGACTTTTTTGCCTTTTGTTTGAAGGCAGATTTTCAGATTTGTGAATCAAAGTGTGTATTCTTTGATGCAGCTTTCATCACCTGCTGGAAAGGAGATTTAAAAAGACGTGTTTTCTTAAAGCAACGTGTTCCATGTACCTCGGCCAAATTCTGCTGCGATGTATGACTGTAAATACGAGTTTCTATCTTAGATTTGTCGTACATGGTTCGACTTTGAATGTCGTTAATCTTGTGTGGGATTTGGTTCAGCTCCAAAGGAGTCATACATGTTCTCCCACAAGAATATATTCTTCTTCTTCCGATGGTCTCATTCCCACTTCCCATCATCATGTCACATTTTCATTACTCTCTCTAATCCTCAGTCTGACTTTTTCTCCCACTGCCCTTTCCAGCTCCCCTCTTCACCCTCTTTTGTACTCCCCTCATCAGTCTTCCTCTCTTGCCTTTCTTGCTTTCTCTCCCAAGCCGCAGCTTCATCATGTCGTAGAGACCCCTGAGATTAACGTGGGATTAGGCACGGATGGGGTTTTAATGGTTATGTAAAAATCCAGCTCTAAATCCAGAATGATTTGCTGGGATTAGATCCATTTGTGTGTTTTGCCGGCGTGGGGGGAGGAGCCAGGAGAGGAGGTGGGTGGAGGAACGATCACAGCGGACCAATCCGAGCGTGTTGATCTACGAGTGCACCCTGCTGAGGTGGAAAGTCGAACGGATAAAGAAAGAAACGATGGAAAATAGATGCAAAATATGCAGAGCTCAGGCGGACAGAAGCAGGGAAACTGGAATTTGGTGACAATTGCATGTAGAAGAAAGCTGTTACTGTGACGGAAGGAATGTAAGAGGAAGAGCAAATTTGGCCAGCGAAGTGTTGGCTGCTCCGTCTCCCTTCTGATGGCATTGTTGGACGCCTGCCTCGCAGCTCAGACAGTTTGTGGAGTGAGCCCCACCAGATGTCTGATGAGGATATTAAGTCAGTAAATACAGACTGTTGCGTCAAATCGGAGACAAGTGGGCTTTTTTTTTTCTCTCTCTGCTGTCCTTTTTTTTTTGGGGGGGGGGGTGTCGAGTTTTAGAAACTTTTTCCTTGAGAATCCTGGAATCTTCTAACAAAAGACAACAAGTTGAAGTTCTTTTGTTGCTGCATCTGGTTCATGAAAATGAAAACCTCCTTGGATGATCATAGCTTTGTGTCTTGACTGAGAAAAAGCACCTCAGACCTGTCAGGCATTTGAAATCGAACCAGGAATCCTCCCTGGCGTCTCCGTCTGTGACCTTATTGCTCGTGCCAAAGCAGCCGCTGCGATGATGTTCTGCACCACCTTCCTCTCCGCTCCCTCTGAGGACATGAACTGCGAGGGCAGTGCAGGAGGGGGAGTAGGAGCGGCTGCTTCTGGAGGTGGAGGTTTGAGCCCAGGGAGCTGTCTGTCTTCTTTACACTGCCTGGTTCTCCCGCAGGACGAACTGTACCCGTCCCTGTCTGACCCCACCGCCCGCCTCTCCATCTGTCCCAAAGATCAGGCTCACGACCTGGTGGGCAAAATGCTCCTGGATGTCAGCATGAGCACCTGCAGGGAGAGTGACAGTGGATGTATTTGGGACAGGGTGAGGAGGAGACGCAGCCGGTCTGCCTCCCCTTCCCCAAGTAAAAGTCGGAAAAGTCCCTGTAGTGAGAGTGTTAAAGGTACAGTGTTGTTTTTGCAAAGTAAAGAAGCTTCAGTGTGATGTTTTAGGACATGTGAGTATGTCTGGGATCCCTGTGCGCAGACCAATTGAATTTTGTCAGCAATAATGCACTTTGTCTTTTGTTTGGATTGTCCATTACCGCAGTTAAAACTGAAGAAAATGTTGTGTAAAATCCAGAGATCTTGTGGCATTGTGTCAATGTTTAAATCTTGTTCTTTGTTACATTCAGTTATTGCAAATCCTTTCTGATATGTTAATGCAAACATAGCTCTCCCATGTCAATTCCCGTGAAAGAACATCTGTTTGCAGAGCTAACAGTGATGACGATTGATTCTGAGCTCGGGTTACAATGTTGTGTTTTGTATCCAGCGTCAGTCACAACCTGTTTTGTCATTCACTGAGAGTGGGAGCAGCAGTAATGAGATGATGCTGTAATCCCAGATGTTCTAAGCCCCTTTCACACCCACAAACCCCCCCCAAAAAAAAAAAAAAAATGTGTCAACCCTCTCCAAACAGAGTTTGTAATAGCCATTAAATGGAGGATTATATAATTAGAGGAACACCGCTGGCCTTAAAAAGCCCCAGTCTTGGATTTCAACTGGAACTCTGGGCCAATGTTATTCATTTTTGTAAATGTTGAACTGCTATCAAACCAGCTTTCATAGTTTTGGCACACATATCATTTGTAGCCTACTTTACGTTCAAAAAATGTTGTCCTAGTCCTTTAAATTGAATGAAAATCCTCTTACAGAAGTTTAGTTTATCTTTGTATCAATCATAACTCTTTGTGATACACCGGCTGTCTTGCATAAACTCAAGTTGTTGTGTCCATCATTTTTTTTTTAAAGGCCCGACGTTGCCCATGGCCACAGTCGACATCAAAAACCCAGAGATCAGCAACGTGCAGCGTTACCATAACAACTCTCAGGTGAACAACATTGTGCACTCCTCCTTCGCCAAAAGGGAGAAAAAGGCTAAAGGGAAGAAGAAGAAGCTGACCAAGGCAGACATCGGCACGCCCAGCAACTTCCAGTGAGTCACCGCTGGCATGACCAAGATTATACATATATATATATATATACACACACACACACACACACACACACACACACACACACACACACACACACACACACACACACACACACTCGTAACATGTCATTCTAATCACCAAATTAGCATGTGACCTCTCTGGAAAAAAAAATCTATTTTGTTGCATATTGCATATATAAAAAGAAATCGATGATACAGTCAGTCAGACGTTTACTGATGTTCACTAATTTCATGCTTCTCATGTTTAATGCTTAATATGTTAGAGTTGTCATGATAGCAGAATTTAGACTTCGACAACTTTATTTATGCCAGAGGGCATTTCCGTTCCACAGAATTTTAAACTTTGATTCAAAAACTAATAAAAACAAAGAGTATTGATCAGTCTTTTGATTATATCATGACAACAAAAAATACATTTGAGGCACCCAAAATTGAAAATGACTTAAATTACCAATCTGTGCACTGAATATGCTGGTACCGAAATAAAAAAAAAAAGAAGCTTTGACACAGTTCAAACTAATCATCTTAATTATGAGCTTCAATTCAGAACAAGACAAAAGCGCTGGATAAACATTTGTCCGTTTGATTCTACAAGGTAACAACAACGACTCTGTCTTTCGAGTTTATTGCTTTCAGGTTTCCTATGTGACATAGTGACCCACACTCCTACTATAATACTGATCCTGTAGGCTAATTAATGTGATTGATTATGCAGGACAATCTGTGCAGTGAATAGTTAGTGGCAGCTCTCGTAATCTTTTATGAGATGCTGCAGGCCGTGTAATGGTGTCCAGAGTTTAACAAAAACAAATCTGCTTTTAGGAGATATTTAAAATGTTTTTCTTAAGCCTTATCCTCCATTTGTGTTTTCTTAATATGATCTCATGTCCTCTCTCTCTCTTTCTCAGGCACATTGGACATGTAGGCTGGGATCCAAACACAGGCTTTGATGTAAGTGCACTAAAAAGAACATAATGTGCATGCTGGTGTTGTACTTGTCTCTGCACATGTTGGGAGTATGACCTCTAAAGGTTCTTAAATCTTGCCCCATAGTTTATCTGTTAAACAGCCACACAGCCCTCTCCCAGACCGATTTTTCACATTTTTAATACGATGTATTAAGCCGAGCTGCGTGGCCAAGTCATCAGAAGAGTTACACAAGAAGATTTTGGAAGGGAAAGAGAATCAACCTGCATCTGCATAATCCATGGACTCGTTCCCAAAAAAAGAAAAGCGTGGTCAGTAATCACGCTGGAGGATGGGTATGAGATCACACAGGTCAGAGGGCTTACTCAGTCAGAAAATGACAAAGATAAAAAATAAAAAAAAACAGGTGATTCGGTTTCAGAAGTCAATGCTTTCAAAGACTTAGATCGATTTGAATAGTGTGACGTCAGCTGAACAAATCTTTCTCAGCTCTTGAATCCTCAGGCTTTAAAGTAGAGTGCAGATGAGGGGATATCAAATGAGCAAAGGATAACTTTAAGTCTTAACAGTCTTTAAATGTATCTTGCCTTTTCTATCTTTACATCATGGAGACTTTAGCTTAAGTAGTTCATAGAGGAGCAACCTTTTTAAAGTCATTATCCATTCCCATAAGCAGTAGTTAAGTTCTGATACACGGCAACTGAAGCAACTTAAATTCATGATGGTTACAAAAAACAAAAGTTGTTTTGGAAGGAAATAAATACACAATTAAGCTTACAGTAAGAGAAACATTGAACTGTGTTATGTGTGGCTTTACTTCTTGTCTCTCTTTCTGAGACAGGTACAATTAAATCTGTAAAATATGATGACAAAATCCCTGATTTTACCTTAAACAACTTCGGTTACTGAGAATTTTATTTAACCTGGCGTTGCAGCCGCACACCACCAGGTGGCAGCATAATACCTCACATTGTTGTCTAATTTTGTACCGTTTCTTTTTTTTTACTGGGATACTACAAGTCTCTCAAAACACAAGAATGTAACATCACAAGTGATATCATTTCTATTATCACATCCTCCCTGAAGGACCAGTTGAAACACTTTCTTATATTTCTAACATCCAAAGTCAAACATGGCCACCCCGGTCTTTCAGATGTGACTTTTCTTTTAATCCAGATTCCATTTATTTGTCATTTTCCTCATGTATCTGCATACATAAAAAATATGAAATGCTGTTCTCCCGGCCCCAAGCAGTGTGACGGAAAGAAAAACATATAGACACATACACATACATAAAAATCTACTAAGGAAGAAAGTCAGTTCTAAAAGTACAGTAAAAGAAAATTTCTAATATGAGAAAGCACAGCTTGAGACATGCCAGCCAAATAATGTGTTACTGAGCTCAAAGCTCATAAATACAGTTTTTAAACCATTGACATCACATCGTAGACGTTAACATATTGGGCATGGAATTATGCATGTGCCGGAGTGCAGGGATTTCCACTTACTTTTTCGATCACCAGCCAACATGGCTAGTAGATTTTTAAAGTTACCAGCCAACCAGATTTTTTTACCAGCCAAATTTGCCCAATCTGGCAACACTGACTTGTCGCATCATTTCCGCAGCCTGCCGATTCAAACAGACGCAGTGATATTTGCTGTTATTCATCACCAGCAAAAATGACTAGTAACTCTACAGTGTTGCCCACCAAAGTTAATTTTTACCCCCAATTGGACGGTTGGTGGGTGTTAATTTAAAGCCCTGCAGGAGTGTGCTTGTATATTAGCAGATGAGGCCATATAGCGCCGCTCAGTTACAGTATGAAGCTGATGGTGTTTTAAATTAGAGAAACTGTATGAACACTACAAATATGCTTTGTTATACGGCTGCAGTCAACTTTCAGTTTTTTTAGTGTCACTGCATCCTTTCACCATAAATCAGAGTAAGGAATGTGTTTTACTGCTGTGGTTATAGCCATATATATTGATGCTCATATTGATGCATGTACTCTCTTCCTCTGTGTTCTTTCTCCAGTTGAATAATTTGGACCCAGAGCTGAAGAACTTGTTCGACATGTGCGGCATCTCTGAGGCTCAGCTGAAGGACAAAGAGACCTCCAAGGTCATCTACGACTTCATTGAGAAGAAAGGAGGTGTAGAAGCTGTCAAAAATGAGCTCCGGAGACAAGGTAGGAACAAATAGGGAAATAAAGAAAAAAAAAAAGATAAAATCCTACAATTTTTGCAAAGAAACAGACCAGTAAATCTAACTCTGCTGGGTTCAGTGTGGAGTTCTGGCATCATGTTTTTCCATGAGACTGTGTCATTAAATAAGACAATCTAACCAGTGTGGTGGTTCTGTCCCCAGGTCCGCCCAGATGGAGCGGTAGGTTTATTTTGATGCATGACCTGCTGTGACAGCTCATGACTGTGCATGTCGAGTTGGACTGTAATCTGATCAAATGATAAAGAGTGCAGAACTTGCAGTAACTGAACTGAAGTGTTTGCTGTGTTTCTACTTGAGTCGTACGATATGTCCCTTCACTCTGAGGCGGTATGACTCCTTCTTGAGCAATTCAAATCTTTACATTTCTACATGACACATCCTTCCTCTGGTAATGATGTCATTTCGCAAAAAAAAAAAAAAAAAAAAAAAATGATGTTCCAATTTCCAAATGTGCTCTAGCTCTTGTCCAACATGTTGCCAAATCTATGCATATACTCTGCTAAAAGGCTGCCCCCAGTGGCTTCATTATGTAACTGCATGGTTCATTCATACGCGCAAGAATCAAGAAATGGAATGCATTTTCATATGCAGTGAAACCTACATAAACTTAACATGCATTTTTCAACTCTAATGTTTTTTTTTTTTCCCCTGCTTAACTTCCCTCTAAGCCAAACTTCCTTTTCTGATCCAGTAGATCCAGTGGATCCTATTGTATCTATTTTGCACTTGCAGTTATTCTTCAATGACCGCAGAAGCATCCCTCAAGTTTTCATTACAATATTGCCTTTAGACCAATTACACGAAAACTGACCCTATTTATATTCACAAATGCAGCCCTCAGTTGTTTTTTTAACATAACTACAAAGTGCATTAAAACAGGCAGTGATTCTAAAATGTAGCTTTATAGAGAGAGATGATTTGACATCCAGTTCTTCCAGCTGTCCCTTTAAATCTTGATGTTCCTCAAGACCTCAGTGTGAACGATCCAGGATGATGATCGCAACTTTGTAACTTTTTCTTCACGTTTTATCCTTTTCAGCTCCTCCACCCCCCTCCATCCAGAGGCGGCCCTCCTCCCCCACCACCACACCACGGCTCAGCCCCACCTCCTCCTCCTCCTCCTCCAGCCCGGGGGAGAGGCGCCCCTCCGCCTCCTCCACCCTCAAGAGCGCCCATCTCGGCGCCCCCTCCTCCCCCTCCGTCCCGACCAGGCATGTCCGGTCCGCCGCCGCCTCCCCCGCCCAGCCGTGGCTCCCTCCCGCCTCCCCCTCCACCGGCACATGCTTCGATTCCTGCGGCGCCTCCCCCTCCACCGCCTCCCCCCTCATTTTCGATGTCATCCAGTGGAGGTGCCCCGCCTCCTCCCCCTCCTCCGCCACCGCCTCCTGGCCCTCCACCTCCGGCTCCTCCAACAGAGTCTAACGGAGGGGAGAGTGGCGGGCCCGGGAAGAATGCGCTGTTAAGCCAGATCAGAGAGGGTACCCAACTGAAGAAGGTGGAGCAGAAGGAGAGGCCGGTGTCCAGCATTGGCAGAGACGCACTTCTGGACCAAATCCGACTAGGAATCCAACTGAAACCTGTCAGTAGTGACACATCCTCTCTTTGAATAGACTGTTTCCATCTCTAGCTTGTGTTTTTTTAAACTGAACTGCTCATTGTGTTTCATTTACAGAGGGGAGAAAACCCAGACTCAGCCCCTGCCGCCCCTGCCCCATCGGCAGGCATCGTTGGCGCTCTGATGGAGGTGATGCAGAAAAGGAGCAAGGCTATTCACTCCTCAGGTACATAAAAAGACAGAAACAGTGGCCACCTGTTAACTAGCTTATCATATCATTATTCATTCCTGTTCGTGTAATTGGTATTATTTCCCCCGGCCTCTTCAACCTTCAAAGAGTTCATTGACACCAGACGCAGCACTCAGACTTTGTGTCATTAACTTAACGTCAGATGACACACAGTCAGCAAGAAATACAACAACTTTCCCTACTTCCTCCTTTGTCTTTATCGACCTTGTGATTCATTTTCTTCCACTTTTAGTCTCTGGAAAAAAGGATGTTCTTTCAGAAGGTTATTTTCAGTCTTTCCTGAAACCAAAACTTCTGAGATCCCGATTGACTGGGATTTTAATCTTCAATATCCTTTAAATGTATTTGAGTTCCTCAAAAATGTTAATCTCCTAATTTCAGCCTACACTACATCTCTTTCTTTCTTTGACAGCTTGTGGATTTATGCCTTCTTTTTCTTATTTGCTGCCTTTGTAAGGCCATTGTGACTTGGAATATGAGAAGTGCACTCTATGTTGAGGTTATTATTGATGAAGAAGTCCTTTAAATAGATACATAGAATTAACAAACTGAAGGTATACTCTTGAACAGACATGATACATTTGAAGGTAGCGCTGACTTTGCTTCAAACACTGATTCTCCATTTCATCTCACAGTGTCTGCAATTTAGTATGAATGTATCAGCTGGTGGTTACGCATGACAACAATCACAAATGTATCGTCAGTAACGTAACAGCTGTTATGTTTTCTGTAGCTGCAAACAGAACGCATCGGTCCAAACACTTAAGATGCACTTTCTAAACGCACACGCCCCCCTTTGGCCCCCCAGTGCACACACACACACACACACACACACACAAACGCTCAATGAACTGTGTGTGTGTTCAACATACTTCACTGAAAATTGTTTCTGTGCATCCCTGCAAACTTTATTGATTAGCTGTTTTTTTTTTGTTCTTTCTTTGAGTTGACATCCCTGATTAGAGACCTCAACTTTAACAAACTGCTGATGTTGAAATGATGCAGCTTTTTATATTACACACTGTTGAACTCACATTTTAATAAGAGCTTCTAAATGAAAAGCGAGTCCAGGTTTATCTGGCTGATTATTTGTATTGGTATTGTAGCATATGTGTACAGCCCAGAGTAGTGAACAAAGCTGAGGATGTGATTCATTATTAAGAGTAGTGAAGATGCATTTTGATGTGTAGTGCTGCACAGTTTGAGTCGTGGCTCACTGAGGAGAAGATCGGAAAAAAGATTTGAAACCGAACCGAAAAGATTTGTGATCCATTGCACCCTTCATTTTAAGGCATTCATGCTACTTCTATAAGTCAATGTCACTTTAACTCTGTTGTTTTTCTGTGTAATCGTCCAGCTGTTTCAGTCGCTCTCATTTTTTCCTCTTTTCTTTCACAGATGAGGATGATGAAGATGATGAGGATGAAGACTTTGAGGACGATGATGAATGGGAGGACTAGCTATGTTTCCTAGCTCCCTTACCTCAACCCCGGGATGATCATGACACTAAAAACCGTTCATGTCTTTTAAAAAAAGAAATCTTTAATTTCACTCGTAGAAATGTAAATGTTCTATCAAGTTGCTGTATATTTTTGTTGCCTTTATGCTTTTTTTTTTTTTTTTTTATTATTATTATTAATCTGTGCAATACCTCATTTAATCTGTAAATGTTTGTCATTCTCATATCTTAGGTTGTTGTTTCTCAGTCCTCGTCATGTCTGTCTCCGTCAGCTCCATCTTTTGTCTCTTTATAGCAATATTTCACATATCTGGTTTAAACTTTTGTTGGGATTTATCCATCTCTCTATGCATCTCTTCCTCCTCCCACGTCCCCCAAACTTTTTCACCTCCATCTGTCACTCGGACATCGTTCCTATATGTGCCGCCCTCCTATCAGCCCATCACACATTTTTTTCCCTCGCTGTCACTCCCCCATGTTTCCACTTCCAAGATTAACATGTGCAATTTAACATCAAGCTGTTTCTTAAACCGTAGAGTTGAATGTTTTCTTCTTTTCTTTTGGTCAGTCGTCGAAGGAGAAGGCTTACTAAATAAGTTGCCATGAATCCTTCATCAATCATGTGTCATCATTGTTTGTCAGGAGAAGAAAAAGAACTATTTTCATACCCTATTGCTCTGTAGTTTATTTTTACGTATTAAATGATCCTAGCTTAGAACTCATATTTTCTTAAAACAAAGAGAAAAAAAAATGGAAAAGGCTCTTTTTGGAAATGTTAGCTTCATTTGCTGTCGACTGTAAATTAGCTCCAGATTTTGAGTCTTGTTATATTTTTGCACAGAAAGAGGAGACTCGCTGCATGGATACAGGACATTTTGGGGTCTGTATTATAATGACATATACATTTTACGCTTTAAATAAGGAGGAAAACACTTGGTTAGTCAGCATATTAAGCCGCTTTATCCTTTAATCCATAACACTACGTACAGTACACACATGGAGGTAGCCCACTGATGGCTATCTGTTTGGCATTTTAGTTCTTTATTTAGTCACTGTCACACTACAGATTCAGTTGAAAATTGTATTTTTCCTTTTCTGTCTTTCTTTTTTTTTTTCTACAGTAGCAAACATTAATGAATGCCTGTTTGTTGGAACCAGGTCATTGATCATGTAAAGCTTAAGGAATAAAGATATTTTAGTTTTACCCACCTGATGCTTATAATGGGTCCTTATCCTGAGTTACTGAACAGAGACAGCTGGGTAGGCTCTCCTGTTGTAGATACTAAGTGCTGCTACGAGATCCAAGGTGTCTTTCAGACAAGGGTCAAAGGTTTCTTCTGCTGAATAAATCATGAGGTGTACAATATAATTTGCTCACTGAAACAAACAATGGTTAATTATTCCCTATAAAAAAAACAATTGTCAGATGTTGACATGTGCTTAAACCAAACCAACAAAATTTCCCTATAATTATTCCTTTATATTAACTTAAAGGTGGATTTTTACTCTATTTTAAACAATGCTTCAAACGCTAAGTTTTTACTTTGTTTCTACAAAATTCATTTAATTGTTTTAAAAAATGAAAGAACAAAGAGACAGCTAATGGCGGCGTTTGAGTCTTGTTAGCATTGAATTACAGCAGTTTAGCAGGTCAAAACCATGTTCAAAACTTAAACTGAATGATTAATTTATAGTATAATTTATCTAAAACAACTTAAAAACAGTCCAAGCTAATTGGTTGTCATGCGCTCAACAGATAATAATAATAATTTAGCATTTATCTATTGTAGCATTCTAATACAAAGGAGGGTAACTTTGCGCATGCTGGTAAGTATCACCTTAAAGAGTACATATTATGAAAAATCCAATTTTACAGGGTCTACCGACCGGCTCATTGCATTTAAAGAGACACACACACCAAAACAGAGCGTAATGACAGAGCTGGTTTATACAGGGTCACAAACTTCCTCTGGTGCTTGATTCATGTTATATTTTGACCAAAGCACAGCACAGAGGTTTCTTTTAGACCACAGGGGGACTGTTTGAAAAGGTGGAGAAGGGGGATAATATGTCCTCTTTAATGCTGAGATGTGGTCTGTAGGAGAGGTAGGGCAGAAACGTCTCAACGCAGTGTTAGAAATTTACAGCAAAAGTATCAGAATTAATTGTCAATATAGTTTAAGACTGACTTTCTTTTATTTACTTTTTCATTAGAAGCCACCAGAAGAGTAATATTTGCATCTTCTTGAAAATCTGTCTTTGAGAAACAAATAGCTATTTTTCGATGTACAAACGGACCTTTTTGTCAAATATCGTGTCCATGCTTCTGCTGACGTTAGCTTCTGAAGGTGAGTCGGTTAATAAGATGGACAAAGTCTAATCAGTTAGGCTTGATAAATAAAATGTTACTTCTTATGTTCTTTTTGTATTTTGGCTTCTTTTGCCGTTGCAGCCTTTTTACAGGTGATGATTCCCTCGTTTTAGGATGCACAATTTAATGTCATGTAACGCGTCTGACTTATTTTTGTGTTAAGAGGTCTAACTTTGAAATGACCAAACTTATTTAAGTTATATAACTTGATATAGAAAGCAGAATCATTTCAGTCGAGCATGTAATTTGAGTGTGCATTTATTTGTGTTGTGTCTGTGTGTATGAATTATAAATACAGGCCTCATCACCAGGAATAGATAGACAGACAGACAGACAGACAGACAGACAGACAGGGAGCTGGAAAGAGCTGGAAACAGCTGAGAAGAAGATTATCACAACCTTACCCCGACCATTTCATCCACTGAGCCAGGTACGAATGAAAACTGGGTGAGTGCTGGATAACAAGTAGCCTACAACTAGTAGATCTCAGTGTCACAATTTGTTGAAGCGTGTAATGTAACAGTCCTGTGTACGAACTCAGAAGACCTCAAAACGTCTCAGTGAGAATTAAACATGTGACATAATAGTGACCACATCAATTCAACGCCTCCACTGTTTATTTTGAGTTGTTGTGTACATCAGCTGACACCGCACTGACCCTGTATCAGTTCTCTCTGCTGCAGAGTTTATGGGAGGGATTAGAGCAGGTATGGCACTTTCCACTAGTGGGGCAGCACTGTTTGGGTACAGTGCTTCCATAGAGACCCTAAAAAAACATGGGCAGGGGCGACAGGGTACAGTTTGTCTTGGACTGAACTTACTCTCACAATCGGTATCTACATTGTGGCTTTAAGGTTGACCAACAGAATCTAAAAATAGCATTAATTGTGAATTTCTGTTTTCTGTCTTTTTAGCACTACAGATATGTCTTATAGAATAAATGGAATATAGAACCAGTTATTTAAATTGCACTTGATGTTAGATTTGCATTCTAGCTGTTCAGTAGTATTAGTTTTAATCTGCAATAGTGCATACATCAAGTGGAAAGGAATGCATAGGTTAAAGGGCCTTAGCGTTGTGACTGAGAGGCTTAATGGATATTCAGTCCTAAAGAAGTACATGAAAACATACATATGGTAGGTATTACATTTCCGTGAAAAACCCTCTATCCATCCTGAAAATGAGCTTGAATTCCACATGAGTGAGTATGAGTTCAGGGACCCCATTTAGAATCTACACACGTTATGGCTGATTTTATGGAAGGATCCCCACATTGACGGTTTGACAGATGTGACAAAGTGCAGTGCTCGAGTCGAGGACGTTTTATTCTTAGGACACTTCGCTAAAGGAATGCATTGTGCATACTGAGTTGTAATGCTATTTGAGCCGGATGTTTTCTTGGGTACGATGAGTGTAATCTACATTAGTCTTGTTCAGGTCAGTCTTGTTTGGTGAGATTTTCTTTTTAATTTATTTTTGTATTCAATAAACAGTGTGCTCTTCTGTACTGCCCACCATTCCTTTGTCTACTCTACTCTCTACTCTACTTTTGGAATAAAGTCTTTTTTGGAACTGAATTTTTGCTCATCTTCCTGATGTCCATTCGGGCAAGTTGTAATATTATTTTAATATATTTTGTTCAATGTATGCTATAGTAGTTGACATTATGTGTCATTTTGAAAGGTCCTACAATTCCTGCATTGTGTTCTGAGGGAAAGGTATGGCTCTATAATTTCAAAGTAAACAGAAACACTACATTGTATTTTTGTATGATGAGGCTGTCGAATAGTAAAAACCAGTAAGATAACCATTTCCAATTTGTAGGTCACTGTTGTCCGATTTTTGGTCTGAAATATCAAAAATCCTTGCTGGCATTTTCATGCATCATAATACAAGAGAGAAAAATAATCAACTGCTATCACTACGATTCAAAATGTTGAGTTTTTATCTTTCAACAACATTTTGTTTTTTAGCTTCATGGTATGTTAATCTAAAATGATCTCTGTTTTGTGTTGATGTGATGAGTAGTTTTCTGACTGTTCATGAGCCTCTGCGTGTCGTCCTTGAACAGCTGCACTGTGGATTTAGGAGTCAGGGAACTTTTCCAAGACACAAACAAATACACAACCAGGATTAGTTTGAGCAATACTAATAGCTCACATCACTCAGTCACTCCATCTCACACTCGTTTGCTTTGACTCTCTCATCTGTCACCCCTCCTCTCACTTGCTCTTTGGTCCACTCTTCCAGACTTGTCACAGCTCTCTCTCTCTCTCTCTCTCTCTCTCTCTCTCTCTCTCTCTGGAGAGGGCTGGTCATCATCTGCCTCTCTTGGTTCCTGCCTCTCTTTCTTTCATGTCAGTATGTCGGTCTTGACTGAACATCAAAGTGTCCTCATCTGGTAAATCCATCATTTCGTTGGTCTTGTCTTTTCTAATGTGATCTCACTGACCCAGAATAAGACTGTTTTGATTGTCACCATCATGCACTTGAACTTGCACTTGACACACACTTGAAAAGTTCATGTAATTAACACCAGAAAACATCACACACGACTGCTAAAAACTAAATAGTGAAACTGTAAAAACCAATAGGCTTATGTAACAAAATGTTTTTGTGTTAATATTTGGTAGATATTTCCCATTGGCATGCATTTCTTTATTTGAATCCCTTTGTTCTAATGTTGAAGTGCCTGCGCATAAGGGCAACCAAAAAGGGAAAAAATGGATTAGCGCAAACGCAGATCTCTCGCTGTTGCTTGTGTTCCTAGACGAGGAGGGCGCAAAATGTTTGAGAGTTTAGGTACATGAAATTGAAAAAAGGGAAACAGCATGGTGAATCGCACCATCTCCTAAATGACTTCTGTCTGGAATTAGTAAAGCCCGCCTCCAACTTGATTTGATTGGCTGCTTTGGCCAAAACGACTGTTGCGTCTCCGTGTCTTGAGATGCAAAGTATTTTGTGCTTATTTTAATTTTTATGCGTGCCCCAAAATTTGTCTTGCAGCAGCAGAGAACAGCGCCCAGCATTCACGCTGTACCAAAGGAAAAGAGGTTTTACTGGGGCGCTTTTCCATCGACGCAGCTCTGTGTGATCGGGCCCTTAGTTTAGATTCACCACAGCAAAGATTCACAGTGAGTGGTATGTTTAACTGTTAGCATAGAGCAGTTTGAGATTTTTCAATAAAAAAATCCTTCAAAAATCTGCATGTAGTTAAGAGGTGTTTTGTTTACAGGGAGGGCCAAAGTCCACTCTTACTGAAAGTTCCTCTCAGGCGCTTTAAGTAGCCCTCTGCTTGAGTTTAGATCTTATGATTTTCTATGAAGTTAATGTCTCATCTGATGTACGACTAGTGAGTGTCTGTACTTGTAATGCATTGTGAATTGTTCCAGAAAAAGTGCACAAAAGGCCTGCTCTCATACGTGCTAACTGGAGTGGGTGTACTGTGAGTGTGTTTGAGTAGGAAAATGCATCAGTGGTGGCAGTGCTTGACCGGTAAGCTGACTCACTGATGAAAACAGTGGCTTTTGTTTGCTTTCTATTCTGCTACGTAACAGCCGACCCTGTCCTTCAAACTGAACTCATCCAGTAAGCAAAGAAGAAGAAAACAGTCTACATGCTGAGACAAGTAGCATCGCAATCGCCACATGGCTATATTTAGTAATCGACACAAAAGTCAACCAACAACAGATCATATTTACAACTTTACAAGAAAAACTGTGAATTATAAAACGTATCAGTAAACAGTTCTGTCAGCTCATTTTAAAATTGAAAAAGATACACCAACCTGAATAAGGCAAAAATACTTTTAAAAATCTGAAAATGTAAAGCTATTTTGGCAGTGCAAATCTCCAGCATATTTTCTTTTTCATGAGTAAGAATGAAGTTCTCGCTTCTTTAGCAATCCCGACATGTTTTCACCTTGTGCTTTCATCACAGATGTTCACTTCATTGTCATCATTATGAAGGCGCCTCTCGCTTTCAGTGGCAATGAACAGATCTCTCATTTTCTTGTTTGAATTATTGTAGATGATGTGGGATCTCCACCTGAAAAACAAGATAAAATATAGTTACAAGCCGAAGAGCGCTGGTTTAGCTCAGTTGTTTGAGCAAGCGCCCCACGCCCAGAGTCCACAGTCCTCCTCACACTAATCGTTGGTTTGACTCGTCATCCTGACGCTGATTGGTGCATGTCATCCCCCACTATCTCTTCCCACATTTCATGTCACTCTACAGCCAAGTGAAGGCAAAAGCCCCCCAAAAAAAGTAATTTGAGGCCATTCATTCCTTTTTTGGAAATACTATGTTGATGGCAGGATGACAGGAATGACAAGAATGCACATGAGTCAGTGGTCACGACTTAGTGACATCAAAGAGTTCGCAATTATAACTCTAAAGCAAATGGTACAAGAAACCACACACTCGATGAAATGGTTCCTTCTTCAGCTGTTCAAAGTGAATTCTAGCTACCAAACAACATTAATGGGTTGTCAAACTTTCATGTTGTGGTCATGTAAAAGACATTCATTTACATTTCAGCACATACGATGTTTAAAAGAAATTAGAAAATCAGATTAAGCCTACTGTATATAAATCTAAAGTTACCAAGTTAGCTTAGCTGGTCTTAGTAGAGAAAAACTCAAACTGGGGAAAGGATCAAGCTAGTATGTTTAATATTGTTGGATTATTCAGTAGCGTGTAAATCAAAAAGGTTTTAGTTGAATATACAGACAAGACATGGGGGCGGGGGGGAACTCCAATGTAAAATCTTGATTGTTTAATCTGATAGGCTATAGTTTAACATAAAAGGACACTGGGATTAATAGTTGGCTCTAAAGTTGAATCCATTTTTTTAATTTGTTCAAGTGTACATCTACCAGGTTTGGGTTTTAATAATAGTGAGCTTTAGAGAAGCTGGAAGGCAGATGTTCTTTGTTTTTTTAATAGTACAAAGTGTTCAGTTTTCCTTTTTTTCTTGTCTTTATGCTACGATAAGCTAATTGTTGCTGTCCATGTACACATTCTTCCAGTTGGCTCTTTGGACTGTGATTTTTGTTGATACCTTGAAAATAACATGATTTCAGTTTTTCATGGGCTACTCATATATCTTTTTGAGATGCTAACAAAGGTTGGAGATTGCATAGAATCGTTTGAGTAATATCCTTAGTTGCATCAACAGATGAAGTATGGGGCGACTTTGCTGAATTAGTGTTGTTGGTGCTTGCTGTGGTGTATATCGTGTCATATCTGTCTTTATCAAAGCTCCCCTGAAGAGTTTCTATAAATATGTGCGCTAAGTGGCAGGAATGTCACAGCTAGGAGACCCCGCCATCGGAGGGCAGAGCTGATTTTCCAGTCTAACAATGTAACAAGTTTGTGCTAACACTCCAGCCAAGGTACCACTTGTCTCTCATCCAAAGAAAAATAATTACCACACTATTATGCATAAGGCTGGATGCTCTCGTTTATGTTTAATGCTTGACTAATAATATTATCAGCTAAACTTGAGCTTTCCTGTATCTATCTTTCTGGCTGTAAAGCATTGTGATCATACTACATTACCAGCTGGTGATAAGCTGCCTTTTGCATGCCTGCCCCAGTGTAGAAGGACAGCATACCATGTCAGCTACAGTGATGACTCAGACGCCACAGGCTCTGTCTCATCCTCATCCAAATTAAACTTCCTACTTGTTCACTTTGCCTCTTGAGGCACTCTGCAGTTTTGCAATAAGTACTTTGTTGACTGCTGGTGGGGGAAGGAATAGTTTTAACTTTCACCAGCTTCACTTTCACAATTGGAGGAACCAAAGCACTTACTTATAAAGCTAATTGCAACATGGTTGTCAAATAAACCCTTCAGCTCACCCGTTTCAGGTTGCGGAGGCTACAGGAACGGATGGACTCCATCAGCTGGTCGTGGGCCGACCTCATTGGCGTAGACGGCCTGCTGCCCTCCCCTTCCCTTCTCTCCACCGACACAGGCTTCAGAGCGTTCTTCAGCTCCTTCAGGATGCTACTAGTTTCATCCTTCCCTGAATCCTTCACCTTCCCCTTCTTGCCCTTCTTAGCCTTTGTCTTTTTTGTCTTCTGGCTGCCCGCCTCGTGGGCCCTGATGACCTCCGCTATCATCCTTGTGGGCTTCTTATTCTCCCTTGGGGGTGGAGGGGGAGGAGGTGGGGGGAGGAGGAGGTGGGGGTGGAGGAGGAGGTGGAACAGGAGGGGTCTGTTTTTTAGCCAAGTCCATCCTGGGGAGTTTGGGTGAGGACCAGGGAGAGACCCTTGGTGAGCTGTATGGTGATAAATGAGGAGCTCCTTTCTAGGGAAAAAGAGGACATTTCGATGATGACAAACACAGTTTTTACTACAAAGGTCTAGTGTGCTTGCTTTCGGTGAAAGTTGAAGTTTGAACAATTAACGGGAAAAATGTACGATAATGTGTTGCATTTGAAGTTTCCACGGTTGATGCTGTAGCTGAAATGGCAGCTGGAGAGTGTGTTAAAGCGTAGGTGAGCTCAGTGATCTGTTCGGGGAATCGACAAATGATTGGATGATTACTAGTATTTTTGTGATTAACATTCAACAGTTTGTTGAAGAGGTCAAATTTTGTCTAAATTGATTAGCATTGTTGCATAGGTTGTTTGCTGAAAAGCCTTTTAGTGTCCATCAATATAAGGACTCAGAACAGGCAAGTTGGCAACCAGTGGAACAGGGTCTAACCACACCATTAAAGAAACATGACCATATTTTGAAGCAACTTATCGAGTTACACACCAGCGCAATGGTTCTGGGCTTAACAGCTCCCACTGGTGCCCCCTGTTGGCCCTGCTGTTGTTGCCTCTGCTCCTGCATTCGTTTTTGTCTCTGGCGGTCCTGGTTCCTGGTGAGGATCCCTGTCATGCTCATCCTGGGACCAGGCAGGTTGAACTGGTAGCCCAACTTGATCAAGGTGTGATTTTCCCTCAGAATCTTCACCATCTCCATCTCTACCTGTGGGGGCAAGGATTGTGGAAGGGGGGCATTGTTACACCAGCAAAACACTTTGTAAATACAAGAAGAATGGAAGACCTACTGAGCAGATGATGGTTACTTGGTGAATATTTGTTTGAGTCAAACGTTGAATAAGAGAGCTGTACCAACCTGTCCTCCACACATGTGTCTCTGGTTGTGGAAACGAAGCTCAGTCAGGGTGTTGTTTCCTGGCAGTGCTTGAACCAGCGCCATCACGCCCTTTCCAGTCACATAGTTGGACTCTATATTCAGACTGACGATGGACGAGTTCTCCCTCAGCATCTTAGCAATGGCCAGAGCAACAGGGTCATCTGCTTTGGTGTTTGCTAAGTTAAAAATCTTCACATGGGAGTTGGATCTTAACGCTTCAGCAAATCTAATAAGTGTTCCCTAAGAAGAAAAATAGTATGTTAATAATAGTATGTATGAAATATTTTTGAAAAACATTGGACATTTTGTCAACTAAACAAAGACCAGATTGTTACTTCAAAACAAAGATGTTACAGGTTTTTTATTGAATGATCCGACCATTGGGAACCATCTACCATCTACTACAATCCCCATATAGGGGTTATAGCATCCATTTAACAATTAAGCAATGTTTGACAAGTGGTCAGCGGGGGCTTGAACCTAGTTTGTAAGTGATTTCTCCTTTTTTTAATCGTAGAATGACTTTCTTAGCTACTATTTGCCAACGGGCAAGGAAAACATGTCAAAGCTTTTAACTGACTCTGTAGTCATTTCAGTGTGTTTAACCATGGCCTTGATTATATAACCATGGCAATATGCCTGGTTGTAAAAATAAGAACGTAAATGGTGGAACTTCAATGAAAGTCTAACATAGAGTCAGAATTGTTGGAGTAAGATAGTTGAAATATTGAAATCTGACATCTATAATGATGGAAACAGACCATTTTTGTACTAGTACCTGTGCGATATCGTCAATGTTGTTGAGATTAACTTCTGTGAGTTCAGGGTCATTGCTTAGAGCTTGTTGGAGAACTTCGTCAACAACTGTTGGGTTTCCAGTGGCGTTTGGGTCGACAGGTGGAGGGGGCGGAGTCAGTCTCATAGGCTCCACTCTCTGTGGCTTCAGTAGCATTGGGGCGTTTGCTTGGGGCGCTAGCGCCTCAGAATCCCTGAAAGGTTCAGGTTTTAATTTATTATCTTCCTCCTCCTCCTCCTCCTCCTCCTCCACCTCCTCCTCATCTTCCTCCTCTGTTACAGCTTCCTCCTCATCCTCACTTTCCTCCTCCTCTTCCTCCTCTTCTTCCACCTCCTCTTCCTCTTCTTCCTCCTTCTCCTTTAGTTCGTCATTCTCTTTCAGTTCTTTTTCATTCTCAACATCTTTTTCATCATCTTCCCCACTGCTTTCTTCGGTCACACACTCTTCCTCTTGATCTTCATCCTGTATTTTGACACAATTACTCAGTGTTTGACATGCAATGCTGTTTTTGGAGGTTTCCTTTGAAACTTTGGAACCTGTATACAGCTGAGCTTAATTAACACATTTTCTACAAAAGCTGGAAGGCAGGTTGTTATGGCCTTCCTTCCTATTAATACTTTAAATGACTTATTACTTTTAGCTTATAAAGGAATCTGCCTATAGTTCCATCTAGTTCGTCCAACAAGCTTGCTTTGCCTCTGGCACATTAACCAAATGCCAAGGAAAATCTAATTAAATATCACTGACCGGTTTCAGGCTTCCTCCACCTATCTCGTCCTCCAGCAGTCTACGTGTCTCATTTTCCCAATACTTTGAGAGGGCCTCTCTGCTAAAGGTGCCCGTCGGGGTCTTGTCCGTCTGGTCCCTCTGCCTGAGTCCTATTGGAACGTTGGCGTCAGGATCAATGTCTGCCAGCTCCTTTTCCAACTCAGCCAACTCCTCAGGGCTGAGGGAGGCCAAAAGCTCGTCCTCGTCCACGTCTTCATACTTACTCAGCTCTCGTCGGTAACCGAAACAGCTCATGGCCAAAATGTGTTTGGGACACCACGGTCAGACTGAGTTCAAAATACCACAGAAAGACCACCTTATGAGTGGCATAGATTTAATGAGATGATAAAGCTCTCTGTGAGAAAAGATACTAAAAAAAATTGAAGTCCACCCTTTGGTTGCTTGAGATCCACAGGTTTAAGGGCTTGTTGCAAATTCAGAGTCCAACTGATGTTATCCTTGTCTGTTCAAGGTGTTTGGAAGAAGTGGATCCAGTCAAAAGGGTATTTCAGACGAGCCGTGTCCAGTCTGAACCAGATCTGTCCCCCCAGTTGTGTTGCTGCGAGGGAGCCTATGTGCTTGTGTTGTTGGTGTCCTTTCCTCTCTAATCTCACCAGCTGCTGTTAAGGCCTTAAGAGAGGGATCAGAGGGGCGAGTACCAAAGTGTGGGCCCCATGATGCTGTATCTTTTTTGGGAGACACTGCTCTGAGAGACACAGCCACAAAAAGCATGTGAGCTCAGAGACTAGGGCCTGTCAACGTAGCAGTCTGTCACCAGGGCCTTAGTGGCTTTGTTAATCACCAAAAAAGACAAGCTGCACCCAACAGAGATGAACAAGAACGATAAACACAGATAATGTTTCACCCAAAAAGCAGCCCAGGCGTCATCGCAGCATGTTCATCACTAATGATGTGTCCACACTTTGTAATTGTCATTTGAGCTTAGATTATTACAAAACTCCAATAACATGGATGTGATACATGTAGAGGCAATGCCAAAGCAGAAAACTGATTGGCTTTATTTCCCTTGACTCAATGGCTGTCTGAAAACTGTGAAGATTTAAGACTTTTTGCAATAATCCAGCTGACTGGGGATATAACATTGACTGTAGCCACCTTGATGTTTATCACTGTTTTATTGACTCCCATTTTTAAAGAATGGAATTCAGAAATATGGCTGTCATCATTTTGGTTTTATGGAAGAGGGGACCATATTTAAATAACTGAATTGAGATGGAGAGGAGCGAGCTGTTTGCAAACACTAAGTTATAAAGCTATTCATACTATACTCAAAGTTAGTTTAACAGCTGGCAAATGAGCTAAGAAGAAACATTGTTTCCCATTAAAAAAGATTGTATTTAATGAAATGGTAGCCAACTGGATTTGTAAGACTTAAAAAAACGTAGTGAGCTTTGGAAATGTAGTAAACTTTTAGCTCAACCACTCATGTCTACGGTTGAAGGGTGATCATGAGGTTAAACAAAGGTCAAGGTTAGTTACAAGAACCACAAATCTCATCACTGTAGCCCACTGTCTTGTCTGTCTTGAAAAACTTACAGCAATCCTGATTTCAATGCTTGGCCAATCACAAATGAATTGATGAATAACAAATAACTAACCAGAGAGGTTAGCATAGACCAATCTACATGTTTATAAGTGTAAAAACTACTCCTTTGGAGCCAGCCTCAAGTGACCAGTCAAGGAACTGCAGATTTGGGGATATATACATGTTTTACCCCGAGACGTTGTCCATTGGTTTTAGTGGTTTTGGTTTTAGCCAGCATGGCTCTAAGAATCTCAATGGTCTGATGATCAATCCATTATATTATTCCATGCTACAATACAATATTGTCTCTAATGTTTCATAAAGAAATGTATGTTCCCCAGAAGGTCAATCCTACTTGCTTTAGCGATCCCCTGCCTTTGCATTCCAATCAGCCACAGCTAACATCAGTATGCTAACATACTAGATGGTAAACATTTCAAACATTGGTATACATGTCAACCATTATACCTGCCTTACTAAAAAAGGGTTAGCATTTATATTATTCTACCACTTGCATTGATCTTATAATACAGCCTGACAGAGTTGATAGCAAAGTTGTGCACCTCATTTAACCTTTCAAATAGATTTCAAATAATTGTTGTATCACAGGATTTGTGTTAGAAAGAAGCTCAATCTTACTAGTAATTAACTAGTAACTATACTCTCTTTCCATGTATATTTTCTCTTTTTGAAGATAATGCCTGGTGTATGGCTATATTTTGCCCTAAAGCATAGTTCAAACCTGCAGTGAAGCTAAACATCTACCAGTAACATACTTTTAATGTCCCAGAAACATACACATTAATTGAGTGATTCCCAACCCATTCCCTTTTTTGGTTTGTGACCCCAATTTCTCTTCACAAAACTTTGGGGACCCCAGGGATCTAAAACACATGCAGCATTTTCTCAAACGATTAAAATGCCATGGACTACTGAGGGCCCATGCTAAAAACGACTAAACTTGTCATTTCATTTTTTATAGTTGTCTTAAACAAAGAACAAAATCAAAGTCAGAAAATAGAGTTTATTATAGGCTTTTAATTAGTTAACTTAACAATTGGTATCATTACAAAATATTAAAACACTCAAACACTGAAATTCCAAAATAAGAAAAAGCACTTTTATGTTTTCTTGTTGTCAAACCTCAGATTGACTGTACAAATGTGAGCACTGAAAGCTAGCACAAAGTGAGAACAATGTAATTCACCCACACAGGTGTTTACACTTAACCTGCCTGTTTAGACCTCTGCTAAGGACTGTGTGGGCATGAACGCACTGCCCATGATTGGCTTTTCTATTACAGGCTGATGCACCTGCTAGGGCAGGATAACCAAAACTAAAATAATTTAAATTGGTTGATGTTGTTTTAGACACTCTTCCAAACTTCTCCTTCGAGCGGGTTTCTACTTAACAAGAAGTAAAAATGCCTGTGTGGGTGTACCTAAAGCTTTTAAGGCTTCTGATTTACACTCATGGGATGTGTTTTTCAAGTTAACATTGCAATCTATCTAGTTGATAAGTGATATATTAATACATAAAAAAGGTTGCAGTGCATCTGTGTAGGGATTTCAGAGCCGGTAGTCCTGATATGTATCATAAAAAAACATGATAATCACAGTCACATTTCAGCAAGGCACTCCAGTGTATATAATATAAAAAATAAAAATAAATAAAAAATGATTTAAAGGCCTTATATGCATTTTTTTTCGCAAATATAATAGAAATCAAGTATATCCTCTGAAAATGACTCTATTGACTGTCTACAATGGGTGTAACACCTGAGTCCCACTGTCTGTGATTTTTTCCGAGTTTTCCAAGTCCTATCTTCAATTTGTTTACATCGCCTGGACAGCGGCTGACTCCTCTCCTCGTGTATAAAAGTTGTTTAATTGAGGGACTAGAGAAAAGAAGAACAACATACTGTACTCACTGCTTAACTGCGTTTCTAGATCACGCTCATTTCGGGTAAATTTACATGCAGTGGGACGATACGAGCATAATAAAGATCGCTAGTATTAGCATGCTAACCCAACAATGCACCGCAAGTTGTTTTGGTTTCATGCTGGTGCTCAAGGGCGACATCTGCTGGATGAAAAAATTGCATATAAAGCCTTTAAGAGAGAAAATATATTCTCATTTGGTATATTTTAAAGTGTGACCAGTGCATTTTCATTAGTGCCTCAATTACACAGATATAAATTGTATGTTCTATATGGAGGAGAGTTCTCCATAAAGGTCATAGTCACTGTAGGTCAGGTATTTCCTCAGCCGTGGAGGAAAAGGGACTGCAGCCATTGCTTCAGGGTTATTCAGAGTCCTGAGGCCCATGTGACCTCGGATAAGCAGGCGACACAAGTGCTGCAGAGACCGTGGTTTACCTAGGTACACACAAATACATATTATTTATAAATAATAAATTTATAAAAATTATAAATAGGCATACAAATAATCTAAAACACAAAGGAAATGATTCTAAATTCTACCCAGTATTTCAGAAATCTCTTCCCACTCTGGTCTCTTTTCCAGGATGCGTTTGAGGTTTGGACAGATGTTCACATGGCTGACGTAGTCCAGGAACATCCTTACAATGCCGCCAACCAGATGTGTCAGCCAGGACACCGATACATACTCACAGAACTGTAATAAAAGAAAAAATAAAGTGTATGATTTATTGAACAGTATGTACTGGCTTAAAAGCTCAATGATTGGTTAATTGGTGGGATTTTGTGTTTAGACAACCCAACAAAGTTACACTCAGTGTGTATGTGTCTGGCTGAAATGACTCTTACTGAGATGGCATTAGGTTGACTATAAATCTGGTAAGCTTGGTTGTGGAGCTCAGTCCACGTACTGTCTATTTCTTCACAGTTACCATGGCAACACTGGAAACACCTAAAAGAGGAAGAGTTTCACGGCTGAAATGTTTGAATTAGTAAACATCAAATGCAACTTCAGAAAAACTGAGCCATAGCTAACTTACATTTACTTTATTGGAACCAAATATTTTAGAATTATTTTTAAATCAAAGTTGGAAGACTAACTTGTAAGCTTGATATCCGCTGTTGAGCAGCAGTCGCAGCATCACTGGATCCCTCAGGCTGTACTGCAGGGCTGTCGGGAACAATGTGTTGCAGATCACACTGAAGTTACAGTTCACCTCTGCTCCGTAGGACAACAGAAGCTGCACCAGCTCATACCTGGCAAGGACCAGACAAAGATGTCACAGGTAGCATCAACACAACCTGGCTAAAACGACGACAGGAGTATAATACAAACATTTGCAGCACACCTCTCAGCTCGAACAGCGACCAGGATGCACTGAAGTGGATCCAGGTCGGTTCGTGCTCCAGCTGCGAGCAATATCTCTGAACAGGTGACATCACCGTTGGAAACAGCAAAGTACAGAGGAGTCTTTCTCAGGTCCCCGTAGTTCTCTGCAGCGAGATTTCATCACAATCAGGGTAAAAGTTGCATGTAGCCAGTTTTAATGGACAACACCAGTGATCTGAATTGATGTTTTTTTTACAAAGATGGAGTCATAAAACACAAGATTTTAGAAATATAAAAGCAGGAAAATCAATTGAAGCCCCTTTTACCCATGCACTGCACTCTTGACATCGTCCAGTTGGAGTGCATGTGTGAATATAAACAGCCAAATTTGATAAGGAGAGTCGATGTGTGAACATAGTAGGTCATGGACATTCACCACGCGACAGTGGGTGTTTTGATGACACCATTCATTTTGAGTTTCTCTGCTTTACACTCTGCTCACTTTGGTTGCTCGTAATAATTTATTGTATTGTCCATACATCCTTGTACATGTGATATTGGCACAAAACAATCAGTCAAAGATTTTCTTTTCATCCATGTTGCGTTTAGAGACAGTATTGGATATCTTGGTTTAATAAGTCATATTTTTTTCATCAAGTGTGTCTGTCTGTGAGGAATGTTGGCATCCATCAGATCTTACCAGAAATGTGAGTGTCTAGCATTGCATTGACATCGTATCCTTTCTGGAGAAGCAGCTTCAGACACTCAACCTGTCCCCCGTCTGCTGCAGAGTGGACAGGGTTCTGGCCTGAGAGACGGATAGCTTTCTTTGTGGTGATGGGGATGAGAGTCCTCAGAGCTCTAAAGAGAGAGAGAGAGAGAGAGAGAGAGAGAGAGAGAGGAGATAAACAGGAAGAGGACAGAAACAGTTGAGAACAAATGCTAAAAGAAGAAAACAGGACGGAGAAAAATGTTCATTAGATTGTGGTTTGAGCGACTGTTATTTAGCGACAGAACTGAAAAACAGTGATAAACAGAAGGCTCTTTGTGGAAATGAGAAGAGTGAGAACACTGCAGAGCTGTGAGGTGCAAATGCAGACATGTTTCTACAGTTTGGTCAATTTGGCTGCAGAATTGGAGTAGAAGAATGTTAATTTGACAGAAGTGACGTCTCTTTGTCTTGGACTGGATTATCTTTAGAAACTTCGATTTTCTCAAGCTGTTAGGATGAGAATATTGCAATATCTGAAGGCTCGGTTCTACAGCTTGAGAACACGGATATCAGCTCACAGTATGTGTCCCTCGTATGCAGCTCTGTGGATGGGCAGCTGGCAGGCATAGCTGGCGACATTCGGGTTGGCGTTGTGCACCAGGAGCAACTTGATACAGTCCAGGTTTCCGTTTCCAGCTGCATCATATAGCACTGTGTCCCCATTGCTGGCTTGGGCATTTACGTCACCACCTGGTGGAGCACAGTGGGAATACAACAAGGTCAAGATACTGTGTTAGAAAAGAGAAGTTGAGGTGTCTTGACATAGACAGACAGAAAGTGATTCAGTGCATTGAAGAGTGTTTCAGTATTTCACCATGATGTATGAGGATTTCCAAGGCTTCAGCGTTTCCATATTCAGCTGCAATCCCAAGAGGAGTTACACCATGAGCACCTCTGGTGGTTACCTTTGCACCGTGTCGAAGAAGCAGCAGAAGAACAGCCGGACATCCAACCTGATGTGAGAAAAAGGAGGCAAAGACACAAAACAGGGAGGAAAGCCTGTGAACGGCTCTTTGTTCCTTTCACAGAGCCGTTCAAAAAAAATAACAGAATAAAACAGTTTTATTTCTCTGATTCACTCAGGTTATTTGTTGTCTCTATATTCAATCTGTAGCTCGCTCAACCACCGTGCCCTCTCTCTCTCTCTCTCTCTCTCTCTCTCTCTCTCTCTCTCTCTCTCTCTCTATATATATATACGTATATATGTATACATGTGTAGGAGGAAGATAGGCTACAAAAAGAGTGTTTTCTTTCCTGAACCTTGACAACATATCTGGTCTAATGACTTACTGATTCAGGAGTGAATGGATGGATTAGGACGGATCATGATACTAAAATGAAAACTGTTCCCAGGTCCGACTCGGATCCCTACGTTCTTCCTAAAGAGCCTTTCAATAAAATCAGGGCAGTCGGGAACGTCACAGCACAACTATCGATGCTGCTGCTCACCTTTGCTGCTTCATGGGTGGCTGTCCACTTCGATTGACACACCTGCTCCACAAAGGCCCCACCCATGATGAGCGTAAAAACCATGTCGTATGATTTCTTTCTCACCGCTAAGTAACAAGAACAATAGAAAACAATCCTAGTAAAAAACCCAAACTGACAACATTCATTATCATTTCAAATGTTTGTACAGCTGATAACTATTTAAAAAGTCTACTGCCATGCAAACACTTTTTTGAGACTGTTTTTAGGATAAGCTGTACTATGAGCTTAAAGCTAATGTGACCTGCCGAGGGACTGCAGATGGAAACTAGCTCTAAGCTAACTCTGTTACAATGCATCAAATGGCAACATTTATGTTTAATATTGTACAGGTCCCTTTTAAAAAATGTTAGCATGCTGACATAGGCCTAAACGCAAGATACAAGTTTGCTAATGTTAAGCCATCTAATGTTTACTCTCTTCATGGTCTGAGCTAGCTTGTTGTAGCTAGCTAATATTTTAATAATTAGCACTAGCCAAAGAGTATACATAGAAAAATATAAATGAAAAACTAAAGTTGGAATTTGACTGTGAAGTTTAAAGACAAATACTGACCTACTTTAGCCGAGACTATACTCTTACAGAAAAGAAATGACAATCCCTAAAGCGTGTTGAATCTACGTCTGATATAGCTCATTTTTCCGGTTAAAAAAATGACATCATGTAACTAAAGTGGATATACATTAACCAGCTCTGTTCAGGAATACAGGAATATATGCTGTAAGTGAGGGCCAATGAGGGACTATAACTATTACTTATGAGTTTGTGTGTGTTTATGCTACCAATCAGCAAAGGAGACTCGTTTCTGCTGTTGTTGTTGTGTGGTGAAGCCTGGTGCTGCAGCAGTATCTTGACATTTTCCACCAGGCCGGCCTCTGCTGCCAGAGTTAAACATGTGTCCCCATCCTCTGTCTGCTCCTCCAAGGTCAGGTCTGTGGATGTCAGCACTACTTCAAAAACACAATATAGAGGTAAGTATGAATTGAGAAAACACTCTAACATGCATGATTTTAAACTGTTTTTCCCTTTGTTAATGGTTTCCTTCATTGCAGATTATACTTTTTGTTGTTTAGATGTTACATGCTGCTGTGATACTAAGCTCTCACCCTGTAACACAACATGTAGGATCTCCTGTTGAGGCTGAACTGCTGCTGCGTGCAGAAGCAGCTGACCCCTGCTGTCTCTCTCTCTGAACGCAGACGTATAACCTGACAGCTCCTGCAGTGCACACACATCACCTGCAGGGATACAAGCAGGACCAACACAGGTAAAACAAGGCAACAACTATCTGTATTTAGTCTATACAGAGAGCACAAACAAACAGCTAAACAAAAAAATATATTTACTGCATATAATGATGGACGACACATCTCCACCTCAACCAGCTGTACAAAAGTGAAACCAAAATACCCCCCCACAATGGGCGCTGACACAATTGTGCTGGTGATGTCAACAAGAGCCAGAAAAAAACTGTGCTGCAGTTATAACATCCCCACTTCCCCACTTGAACACAAAATGAACTTGAGGTATTTAACGACAAAGTTCCCTCAGGTCGGAAAAGTCCACAGCAAAACAGATTTTCTTTTGGGAGCTGTTGTCCATATTTTTATCCAGTCTATGATACAAACAGTTGTATTTGTTTGTAGCTGCCTCTGCTTTGTAGAACTGTAACCTTAGTATAGATGTAATTACTCCACATGCACAGATTCTTGTGATTAGACAGTGACTCAGAGAGAAATAGAACCTTACCTGTGTGAATAGCTTCCATTATCTTCACAAATTCCTCACTGTTTGATTCTTTTCTAATGAAGAAATAGAGAGTAGTGGGTGCAAAGAAAAACTTAAACTAGAAACACCATCATACGTCTTCAAACCAGTGTAGCAGTTGATTATTCTAAAGTTGTTTTTTACAAGGAATCCCCAAATCTTTTGGAAAATATGTCAACCACATCAATCGATAAGTATATGTTACAGTTATAACAATTAATAAGTACTTATAATGTATTCATGAATCTCTCAGTGAAAGCATTGTGGACATGTTGACAATTTGGACTGTCTCAAACCTGTGAATTGGTGCTGAACATGGCAGCTTGGAGGCGTCTTGAATGCTTTCACGGATGGCAAACTCGATAAATTCTTCATTTATGCCTTCTTGCTCAAGGTTATCCATTTCTATATCAAGTGATACAAACAAAAAAGGTTACATGGCTGTCCCTCAATGATGAGCTAGATGAGTGTTGGAGTCTTGCACCAATCAAGTTCAACGTTTGGTAACTCTAAACAAAGTCGCCTCTGTCTGAACTTTTTGCTTAGCTGCAGACATGCAACTTGTTTATCAGTGGAGGGCTGCTGGCACAGTGTCGCCCCTGTTCATGCTTGTCAGATGTCATTATAGTGAGTGCATTAGTGAACGAGAGAACGCCACTAAATTAAGTCACCCTTTATATTAGTCATATTATTCTGTCTCACCTGTGGATCTGAAGTTGTGCCCTGTAGCCCTGCAGCTTGTAGTTTTAGTTTGTGTTTTAGTTTTGCGGGGTCCTAAACTGTCTGAGTTATATTTAGATATGACCCGCTTTGGATGACCTTACTCAACTGATAGTGTGTCTATCATGTTTTCATTCTTAGCGCCACAGAACAAAGCGCTCCTTAACTCTGATTTCTACACTGAAATCACATTTAATTCAGTCCAAATTAATTTACAGGACGCTATATGCAGGGGGTGGGTGGGGGGGGGGGGAACCCATGCGCATTACTGTTGATATAAGTCTTTAAGGTCCTCACGATAGTTCACACTGAGGTTAATGTGTCTTCTTCTTTTGACTGGTACTGAATAAATAATGTAAATCATTAATATTGTATTTGCTTTTACATGGATTTATGATAAAGAAGGAAAGCCTGTGAATTAATTCCATATCATAAAAGTATTTAAATCATCACAATGTTTTGATACCACTTGGGCCTACGTTAGTTCAATATTTAAAAAAAAAAAAAAGAAGTTAAGCCATACACATTCAGATTATGCACAAGCTCTTTGATGGCAAGTGTGGAATAATCCACAAAAAAACCTGCAAATAATCGTTTAATGACATACATTCACAAATGAAAAACTGTATTTTGCTATTTTTATAATAGATCTACTTATAGAAAACATATAGAGTGAAGGAAAACTCTTTATTTATGAAAACAGATCATAGTGATTATTTATTATCTAAAAGGTTAAAACAGATAAAACATTAACAGCAAAAAAAATTGCAAAATTATGTTTTAAATAGTTAAATAAATACAGTTTGAAAGTAGACATAATGATATAATTTCTAAACAAAAATCATGGATGAAAATCTCTGCTATCATCAGTTTTAAGCTGACACCACCAAAAAAAAAACCTCCAAAACTAACAAAGACATTTAATGATCACATTTTCTCACAACAGCGTTGGAAATAACCTTGACATATTTCTAAGCAAAATATTCCCTCGAGAGAACAAGTGCCCACTTTCTCCCCCTGACGAACAAAACTGAGACGTGGGAGTTTATGGAAAAAGTCTCAGACAGCGTCAGTGTGTGACACAGTGACTCAGCCTGTAGGCGGCCTCTCCACCGCGTCAAAAACGACTTCACCAATCTGTCTGGAGTGAAAGCAGACTGCCGGCCCATCCTCAAGTTTCACTGCACGCTCATTCCAACATCACACACTTGCACACAATGAGCCCTGTCTTTGAACTGAAAACACTGAATTTCATGCATCGGATTTGAGCAACCACGGATTGTTGCTCCATATGAGGAAGAAAGTAAGTAGCAGAATTTAATTGTTCTTTTTTTTGATTTTGATGAGTTAGTTTTATTGTGTGTAGTTAATATGTAATTACTGATAAATCAATGTGCATGTATACCATAGATCAATATGCTTGTGTTGTCCTTTTTCTCTGAGAATGTTTTTAATGAGAGGTATAACTTTAGACCTTTTTGTATATTACTGTGACAAGTCATGCTAAATCTTTTAATTTAATACAACTGGAAGATATGTAAAAAAAATCTTACAATGTGTCAACTTTTACAAGAGTTGAATAAATCAATTTGATCTGCGGACACTATCAGTCAGTCCCATCATCAAATATTAATACTACAATTAAATAATCCTGTAGTACTTAATTATGGAGTTTGTTATGAAGTAAAGCGTGCTCATAGAGAAGAGGACTTCCTTTTCAGAGGGGCATCATTGTTGCATTAAGTAAGAGGAATGTTTAAGTGTTAAAAGCTCTGTAGTAATTGCCCCACATACTGCTGGTGCTGCAGTCTTTTTAAAAGGGGGAGTGAAGTGAAAGGACACATGGATGCAGTTTGCATTCACTCAATATATTGAACAGGGAAGATCAGCATGTGTTCTCCTAGACGTACAACTACACCTCCTCTTTATTCTTCAGCTAGATGATATTTTAAAAGATTATCCTTTTCACATAAATCACAAATCCTGCCTGAGACACTGACAACTTGAAGCCCTTTATTCATCCTATTTAAGCTCCTATGTTTTTTTTTTTTAATTTGATATGATATTTTTTAATGGAAGTAAAAAGAGTCATTCATGCTGTCACATGATCTTACGAACTTTGCACTTGTGTGAATATGAAAATGAAGTAAAAGGCATCTGCTGTGCAAAGAGTTATGGAGATTGGCACCTTAAAATAAATCACACATTAATCCGCCTATTACGCTGGAAAAAAAATAAAAAGTGAAAGGAAACGTCAATCAAATATTTGTCATTATAATAGTCAAAACCTTGTGAAAAAATGTACCTGACTGTAACGTCACCAGGAAATAAGAAAATCTTCTAATATGAAAAAGACAGTCACTTAACAGGATATCAAACATGATTCTAACAGTATTTAGAAATCAGTGTCCTCTATAATGGGGCAGATATCAGTCCTTGATAAAGTCTTACGAATACATCATGGCTCCTTTCCTTCATATGAAACATGGAAGATTTCAGTTATTCGTGATGTATATGTGTGTACTTGTGCAGTTTTGTGTGTCTTTTAATGCACTGTTTTAACTGCACACATACATCTACACTACCATATTATACTGTTAGCCCTCTACCTCCCCTTTGCAACACAAGTCATGCACATTAAAACACACACACACATTATCAGAACAGTAACGAGAAAACAAGCTGTATTGGTAACAATAGATTTCTGTAATGTACAATGCATGTATGGAGAGGGGAAGGGGGGAAGGGGCGTAAAAACCACAATTGCCCGCAACAGGAAATGAGGTTGGAAGAGTCAGAATCTCTTCTGTTTCACCGGCCAATTTCCAAGTGTGAATACATAACTGTGTACTAATGTTACAGATCGTCATTATTACAGTATCTAATGTATAAATACACAGCATGTTTGAATGTTTCACCACCTATTTTCAGATCTTGAAAGCACCTTGTCTCCTCTTGAGTGTGTTCACAAGTTTGAATCTGTGCTCCGGAAAGTTTGGGACACCGATAACTGATGATGTGAGAAACCTGTCACTATTGGTGAGGTTATTTTGAGTTTCCTGAAGCCTTACGCATATCATATTCGTATAAAATATCATATTTTTGACAAATGATCTCATTGTATGAAATGATCCTTGTATCACTCTGATATTTTGTTGCTATATTCTTTGTCACTGTGTCCATTGCAGAAGCAGAATATCCCTTCTGATTATGAGATTCCTGTTAGCTACATCCCCAAAGAAGTGGTACGTTCAATAAGTGAAATGAGTGGAGGAAACCCAATTTAATATTCAAGGAAAGGATGTTAATGTCTTTGCTTTACCTTTTTGTCCAGGCTGGCACGTGCTGGGTGGTGTTAAATATCTATCCTTTGGAGCAAAGTCTTCGGAAGCTGGCGACCATGTTTGGTGCCATCTCCTCCAACAAAGAGAACATCATAGTTTTTATTGCAATGCTGAAGAGTTTACGCTTCACTTTTGACCATGAGGAACTGGTAAGTAATTAGCAACTGCAAATAAAAATACTAATAATGATTAACACTACGTTTTCCAAAGTGTCTCTATCATACTTTATACAGAAAGTTAAGGAAAAATCTAAACGCAGTAAACGCATGCAGTCTTAGGGCATTTAGGGCATGTTTTGTACATTAAAATGCACAATTATGTTATTCAAGGATTTCTTGTTGTCTGATCCCCCAGGAAACAGCGATGCAAGTCTTCCAGTGTCACTACCAAGAAGGGAGCTTAATGTCTGGGCTTTACTTTGACTACATCAAAGACGTTTTAACCACCGCCTCTCAAGGAACATCTAGCTTCTCCTGCAAGCCGCCACCATGTGTTAATCCAAACCAAACGCCAGGTACCTTGTTTATTTGTGTTTTGAATTTCTAAAGGATGCTTCAAAAGCCATGGCAGCTTAGAAGCCTGTTAGTGTTTGGGTATTGATTTGGGGTCAGGGACACACAGCTCAGGGATCAGGGATCAGATAACCTTGAATCAAGCCATGACAGATTGTTAAAGGAATTAAACGCTCAAAAGCTGCATTCAAAGGCCTCATGTAGGTACAAATAAACACTCTACTTAGTATTTATGCTGATTAAAATCTCAAAGGGGTATCAAAGCACAGGGTAAAAGTTCAAATCCACAGTTGAATATCAGAACCTATTACTTTAACCATTGGTCCGCTCTGCTAGTTCAATGAAAATCAAGGAGCGAGGATTAGTCTAACAGCTATCAGATGTCTACGGTGTAATTGTAGTCAGGAAATTTTCCAATATTATTTCCTTCTTCCAGGCGGTCAGAAGGAGGGTCGTGATTACAGCTGGTGGAAGAGAACTCCTTTGCTTTTGGCTCTCATCCCCTTCACAGCTTGTGTCGTCATGTTAGTGTGGCTGGTGAGTTAGAGAACCAACTCAATGTGTTTTTTTTTAAATATTTTTTGAATTGGTCTAATGGTCTTCAAACAGGGATTTTATAACATTTATTTACTGTATAGAAGAAGTGGACCAGTAATCTTGATTTTCGGTCAATTGTTTTGAAGCACTGATTTTGTCATATCTACCATCGCCATCTTATGTTTGGAGCCTAAAGAGACCATAATAAGATGTTAGGCCAAATACACATTGGTACATATCTTTTTGATTGACAGTTTGCTATGGTTGCAACCTGTCAATAATAGTCACACCCTGAATCATCCCCTCCTTTATCTTCTATTTTACTTTAAACGGTCAATTATTTAAAAAATTGAAAGTCATTCTGAATTACAGATTTAAAACTATGGATCATAAACTCAAAAGTAAATACATTTACATTTACAGTAATATATCCAGATTTTCTCTTCTGTTTCCTCTTTCAACCAGTTGAGTCGTACCTTGCTGGCCAAATTAAGGTCACTCCTACATTGGAATTACTTTTAAAACCAAGAATATATGATATATGTCTTTAATATAGTTTATGCTCTCTACAGGATTATTTTACTTTTTATTTTGCATTGGAATCTCATTGGTTGTTACCACAGAAATTATTCTTCCTGCCCCTGGGGTCCATACAAAAAAAAACACAGAAGTCAAATTAACAACATTAGTGAAGAAAAATAAAATACAATCACATACAAACCAAAGACTGACACAATTCATAATGTCATAATCACATGGTTAAAACAGTAATTTACCTAAAAGTATTCAAAATTGACTTTTTCTACCTAAGTCAATCAAATATCATTCACATTCATAAACATGTTACATGCAGACCAAACTGATTTCTTTTTTAATATCCCTAAACTCTTTGTTGAACTCATCTTTTCGGTGATCTGGGTTAAATGTATTGGCAGTTTATTCTAGTTCAGCATCGCCCTATACACAACAGTTCTCTTTAAAGCATTGGATTTAGTTTTGTGTAGGTTTTTAGGTTTTAGCCCCTTTCTTCCCTTCGAGGGAAAGAGTCTAATAATGGCTACTGTAAAAAAAAAAAATCTGTTTCATAAGAGGCATTAAACTTCTCAAGGGAGTATAAGCTTTCTTTTTTTTTCTATTACCACCAATACTGGAACAAAGCTGTAGATCTGTTCAGACCAATAATTGCATGTATACATGAAAGGTCAATTACCCAAATTGTATGGATTGTTTATATACCGCAATAATCACTTAATGCATTTTCTTAGACCCTTCATTTTTAGCATGATGCACATGTTTCCTGTGTTTCAGGAATAAAAATTATATTGGGAGCCTTTCGCAATCTTTTATTCAGAGAGGATATGGTCTTGAAGTGGTTCTAGTGGTTTGGCAATAAAATGAGAAAATGTAAGGGCCCAAATCTAAAAAAAAAAAAAAATGTCCTTTGGGGGTAATTAGTCCATCAAGTACACTGACTGTTCTGCGTTATGGTCTCCAAGGGTTGGTCTCATATATGATAATGCCTTCATTTCATGAGCACTTCCAGGAAGGCAGTTCTTGTAAAGTCAACATCTGCTCATCAAAAATTCAGTGGTACTTTGAGGCTCCGTTACTACCTAATGCAATGATTTCCGCTTTTCAGATTTATTTATGATCTGTCACGAGTGTGTCAAAGAAAACTGAATAAAAGAGCATTGTTTAGGCTGTGAGTGTGATTTTCTAACATATTTTCTAATTCTAGGTCACATCTGGAAGGCATAATCCAACATGCCGCACTGAAAATAGCCAAATGGCACCTTCTGACATGATCCCAAGTGTGTCTGTCTCCATCCCACTTCAAACACTCACCCACGCTGCTGACTCTCTGCCAGCGGGGGAGCTGATCCCAGAACACGAGAGTGGATGAGCCATGATTAATAGCAAAGAGAAGTCTCTTACGCGGCAGTGTTAACACTGCAGGTTGTTCAGAGTCCTGCTGGGTAAACGAGTGTGGTCTGACACTCTTCTTCTGCTTTCTCTTATCCTGCGTGCATGGACTCGAGCCACAAGAAAAAAAAAAAAACTCACCTGCTGGATAGGCAGGTTGTTCTGTCAAATTCTTCTAGCACTGAGCAATTCTAAGAGGTTTTGTGGGACCAGAGGAAGAAGACTTGACATTATGGCTGTGTATCTGTCATGAATAGTGTCACCTCAGCCGATGTTGGACAGCCAAGTTTATTTTTACAATATTACACCGTCTTAGGATGTTTCATTTCTTTGATGTAACCCCCTTTACTGTTGTGCTGGCTGTGTCTGTGGTTACAGAGATTGTTCTGTAATTGCTGTTTTAGGAATCCTTCGGTGCTAATGCAGAAAAGTGTATTTCTAAAACACTGAGATCCATCAAAGTAAGAAGGCTCATTGGAGAAGTTGCATGTGCTCTTCTGCATTTTGTCTTCAACTTGTTGTTGACATTATTCTGATCTGCGATCTGTCACAAAACATGAACCTATAGTCGCAAACAACAGTTCAACAAGCGACCTACTTTGTGTATCAAAGATTTGACCAGATGGCAGATAGCCATGACCAGAGGCACTTTGAATCCCCTCATTGTATTTCAAAGCTGTTGCCCAGTGATCTATAGCTGCTACTCAGGCCACAGTGAGTGTGTTAGAGTTTTTAATGCCTCATTCACCGAGTCAATCATGTTCAGTCATGAGAACATGACTCCCGAGTGTGAGCGCTCTTGCACTGCATGTGTCAGAGGAAGGGAGCAAGAGATAGGACAGACAGGACAAGGGAAAGTGAGGGAGATAGGGAAGGATAAATGGATGGACGGATGAGCTCAGTGAGGAGCATAAGGAAGGCTTGTTCTCGTCACAAAAGGACTGGCCGTAGGCTGGAGGAAATACCAGTTACAAACACGACTGATGTCGGCAGATCCCTATGAATCAACAGACAAAGAATCTTTCCCGACCGCAGGCTATGCTAGCCTTATCTACAGAGGATTGTTAGTATTTCAACAACAGTTCTAATGATTTACTTCCAAAACCCATCATTGAAACATGGACAGACATACTTTTATTACAACATTTGCTCTTGGAGAGAAGGTCTACAACTTTTGTGTTTTACTGTATTTGTGAACAATTTGTATATTCTGCCATTTTTTGTACTTTGTGTCGATTGATTGTGAGGTATTGTAAGTTATTTTGGAACAAGATAAACCACTTAAAAATTTGAATAACGTTTTACAGTTGCAATTATGAATGCACAGGGGGAGAATAAATGACCCTGGAATGTTTTAGAAAGCAGAACTTTTGGACTTAGCGTTGCATATTGTTAGATGTACTTCTGTCCATGTTTGAGCTTCTGATCATTATTTCTAATACTCTTATGACAAACCTATAGTTTGTTTGACTGAACCCCGTGAAGTGTGACATCACATTTTATGAGCCTTGTATATATAAAATGTCTAATGTCTGGCTAATTCATTCATATCACTGCATTTGCAGTAGTTCATTATGACAGTTTTGTCAGTGGCTTTAATGAAATGTTGACATTATTTTGTCTGCCTCCTGCAAATGTACCACGAACAAATTCAGCCTGTCAATGTATATTTTGAATGTATTTGTCAGAACTGTAAACTGAGATTTTACATGCACATATTATTTCTGTTGGTGAAATTGTGAAACACAAAGCCTGAATATATTCTTGAAGATCTTTCCATTAAAAGAAATTAATAACAGTAAAGTCAGTTTGATTTTTAAAGGATGCAAATGTTGCTCAACATAGACAAAAGCACACGTTTCGTTCTTGAAGTAACTTTTACACAAGGATATGAATGAGTTCACACATTATTGTATACAGGTTATCACAATACCTGAATTCAAAACTTAGTAAAAATCAAAAGGTATCAATAGCGAGGCAACAAATAGAAGTCCTAAGCAACTTATATTGGGTGATTTCTTGTTTCTAATTACTAAAAACTGCAAGTAATCTCCTGCACACCACAACTTGTTGGTGCTGAAACGTTGCCCATGTCATTTTACACTTTTGACAGTGTTTTTGAAAAAACATTGGTATTTGTGCATACTATTGATAATCAAAGTAACATAGATTATGTTTAAAACATGTCATATCTAATGTATCAAAGTATATACATGTTCACAACCATATCATTTAGAATAATGTCCTTTCATAAAATCAAATAAACTGTATATCTTATTAAAATGTGAGGTTCAGTTTATATGTTAGTTAATCTAAACTCAAAAGAAAGTGTTAACTTAACTTTCCTTTCTGATTTGTCCTTTGATTTACAGTAAGCCTATTTATGGTTTGATTAAACTTTGATCCTTCTAAAGAAACTTTTTTTCTCTGGCGCAGCCAAAACATTATTAGAGATCATTGTGAAGTAGATTTTTATTATTTATTCATAATTTCCCATGAGGCCGGTGCTCGTCTTATTCCTTCTGAAATGCACTGTGCTTTTATTTTGTAAAGAAACATCCGCCGGACAGTCGGACTTTTGTTTTGGAAAGCCGCTACCCAGCGGTCGCCATTATTGTCCCTGGCTTGACGGTGGAGAAAAGACGGTTTAATACTTTAAACATTGTACTACGGCGTAAACTGCAACATCGTGTGCTGTACTTGTGCCTTTTGTTGTCTGACTCATGAATTAGCGACACTCCTGAGCACAGGATGGAGAGACGATCTGATACTTCAGGTAAGTTGCTAAGCTAACGATAGCATGCTAACATTAGCTGCCGATTGGCATGGTGGTCAGAAACGGAGGAGCAACCTTTGCCATCTGTTGCAGCAGGGGGGTTTTCTTCCAACAGGCGCAGGATGATAGGTGTAAATACATGTCTTTTCAGCTATTTTTGGGGCTGTCTGGTGGTTAGCTGGTTAGCAATCGATGGCAGGGACTTTATCTGCTCCTTGACTTGAAATGACACCATCCTCCTCTCCGGATGTCCCGCCTGTAATATACTCTTTCAATAATGATGGGTCCCATAGTTCAAACTATACCGCCTGCACGATGAATTCAAGTTTGAATGTTACCCTGCCACTCTTTGGCGCTCATTCTCTCCACATCTTCACATGCACACGCAGACGTGCACACAGCTTCAACCCCTTTGCAGAGAAATGCATCAAAGTGTTGGCTCTGCTGCGCCCCCTGCAGCTGCTTTCAGCCTCCACCTGCTAACATCTGCTGTTGGTGGGTTCAATATATTCACCTGCTCGTAGCCAGGGACCCAGTAGAAACAAAAGAAATCGAAAACAACACATCGTATCCATCATTGCACTACGGTCACTTTATTTATCTCATTTTTACCTTTATAGTTATATTGTATATATTAGTTCTGTTGTTCCATTATAAGATAAAGATAAGATATACTTTATTCATCCCAGCAGGAAATGTAGGTGTTCCAGCAGCCAGCATACATACAAACACACAACACATATATACATACATATCCCACCCATACAAAAAAACATGAGCCCTCAATACAGTTTGATATATGATATATATTATTCACCATGCACCTTAATAACTTATCATTTAGTATTTGCCTACTTGCACATAGCTCTGTATATATATATATATATTTATTTCTCGTTTACTGCACATAGTTCTGGTTACATCTGTTAGTCCGATCACTGTCCACTCATATCTACTCTTTTTATATTTTGTATTTTTAAGTTAAGTTTAAGCTTTAAGTTGCATTTAAATTGACACTTTATATTTAGGTTAAAATGTTTTGTTTACTTGCACTGTTGTTAATTTAGTGCTCTGTGTGCCTTTGAATTGCCCCCCCCCCCCCCCCCCCCGAGATCATTTTGCAGATAAAACCGAGTAAACATATTGTGTCGTTCTGCTACAGCAACATTGTCCTTACACAGCTTAGATAAGAGGTAGTGCGCAATGTTTCAAAAAAAGTTCTTATATCTACGTATTTGGATGTAAATGAGCTCTCAGAATATCCAATGGATGAGCTGACACTTTAGCTGGAGGCATTTAACACCCTTATTTGTTCGTATGTCAACTGGATAGCAACCTAGAAAACTACAGATACATTTTTTGACATGACTGTATGAGAACAGATCGTATAAACCAGTGGTCACCAACCTTTGTAAGCCTAAGATCCCTGACCTCAGCTTTGGTGAAAGGCAAGATCTACCTGTTGAGGGAAAAAAAAGACAGTTACAAGACACTACGAAACGCCTTAACTTAATGTTTTGTTCTGCACAGGTGCCGTCCCCCTGGCCTCCCTCCGCTTGATGACCTCCCCTCTGCAGCTGACTTACTCGTTCATGTGGCAGGTCATACGGCAGAGAAACGTGAAGCTGTACGGCAAAGTGGAGGAGTTTGTGACCATGGTGACGCAGACTGTTCCGGAGCTCATGGGCTTCAAGCAGACTGCCCAGCTCCTCCTGGGTTTGAGAGCAAGGGTGAGAGTTAATCATCTACTTTGTGTGCGTGCGTGAAACATTCAAATGTAATACAAGCAGCATGTATCAAACTTCACTTGCGTTAATACTCATGGTATACTGTGGTCCATACTTGTAAAGGTGCAGGCTCGGTGTCTGCTACAAAAACAGATTACCGTAATACTTCTGTTTTGAACCCTTCAGCTAACCAGCTAGGTTTAGTAGCCACATACCTCCATCATCAGTGATGTGTGCCCTTCGGGCTTCCTTTAATTCAGTTAGATTTGTTTCCTGTGTTCCCTAATGGATACTGAGCATCAAAGTGGGGATCACATCAAACTGTGTCAATTAACTTCATGTGTTTTCTATTACATATCCCTCGGGTCAAGAAAAAAAAACGAACGGCTTAAAAATGGTCATATTTGATTTTGTGTCAGAAAAAATAACTATCCATTCATTAAAGCATTAACAGCATCTCAACAACGACGAGTGAATAAACCCTTCTTCATGTTCACTTAAAGATGGTTTACATGATGCTTTAAATCTGTGCTCTTTATTATAGATCATTTTGGATTTGCTTCACAAAGAAGGCCCAGCTGATGCAAAGGCTATCCAAACTCTCATAAACAAGTTGAAGGTCTCTGCATCTTTAGGGGTAAGAATGCTTTTTTTTTCTCAGTTGTACCCTATTCATATAGAGCATATGTTTATTTGTATTCAACAGAATCTCAAGGTGTGCATTCAATTCAGTTAAAGTCTTTCATGTGTTGCAGAAGGACTCAGAGGTGGAGAAATCTCAAACAAACTTCATGGTGCTTGTCCAGAATCTACTTAAAAATACTGCTGAGAGGAAGCGCTTCTTCCAGGTATACACATCTGCCTTAATATACTGTTAGGCAGTAGTTGGTTGTCATTAGATCAAGCAATTGCAGCCCATTTAGACTTCATCCCATGAAATAAATCAAAGTAGCAATGGCATCTCGTCACAAATTCTTCATTATGTAATTTGTAATTCCTGTGATATAACAGAGGACAATCTTGACCTAGTCTTTCGGTGAAGTGTCTGGAGATAACAGTAGTTATGAATTGGCGCTGTCCAAATAAGTGTTGATGTATTGATTGAATGATGAATTAAATTTCACACCTATTCCTTTGTTGGTAGACAGAAATGTATAAACATGTGAATAACAATACCAAACATTTTCAGATGCAAAAACACACAATGCACAGGGAGCTGCACAGAAGTTATTAAATTCATACGTTCCTTTTTTGGCTATAACAATTTCCATTTCCATTGCTATGTGACTCATTCATATTTCCCTGCTTGCAGGAAGTTTTCCCCGTGCAGTACGGCACAAAGTTTGATACAGCGCTGCAGGCTCTGACTGCCGGTCTGGTGTGCAAGCTGGAGCAACTTCTTCCTGTTCCCAATCTCACCCAGGTATGCACATTCACTGTCGTTGCATTATCACTGTTACTATGGGGTGGGCTACAGGGAGGATATAGACGATGTACCACTTACCAGGCTGACCCTGGTTTAGTAGCAGAATGCTTGAGCAAGAGGCATAGTTCCTCTAAGCTCCATGATTTTCTTTCACTGATGAATAACACACTTGTTAGCTTCTGGGCACATTTAAGGGCTAATGCAAAAGTGCTAAAATAAAATGTACTTCCCTGCACACATGAAGTCTTAACCAATTTAACCATGTAGCTGAAAAGTCAAACTTGCAGTTATTTAAATAATGCAAATAAACAATGGACTCATTTTGCTCTTAGACCTGAAGACATTGTACACAATGTCTTCATACAACTTTTCAGGATCCTGATTATGGATATTATTTTGGTTACATTTCTTGTGTTTTTAATATGTCATCATTTTACAGCAGTTTGAATGGCACGTTTCAATAAACTGTATAAAATAGTTTTGGTTACATTTAATGTCCCACAATAGGGACAATGATTATCAAGTTTCAGCGCGAGTTAAATAAAGTATAGCTTGCAAATTCATCTCATCTGTGCCTCAGCTTGGAGCCATGATCTCAACGGCTGCTGTCCTGGAGGCATGTGGAGGCTTCATCCCCACCCATGGGGACCTAAAGACTCTTCTGCTGCACCAGCAGGCCAAAGGACTCCTTGGTGTCAAAGGTACAAGTTACGTTTCTTTAATGAACATAGGAGGAAACTCCAATAGGAAAAGAAACTATTACATGAAATGATTTACTACTGTGAACATGACACTGACGAAGCCTTCTCTTTTTGTGTAGCTACTATCTCGTCCTCTGTGGGCGACTGTGTGCTTTCTTCACTGGCCTTCAGACCCAAACCGGTAGAACCACCTCCGCCCCCAACACCACCACCACCACCGCCACCGCCGGCCCCACCTCAACCACCAACAGAATCACCAAAGCAATTAGAAGCCACCCTTAACCAAACTAGCTTCAGTGACACAGAAGACATGGGAGTGATGTCAGATGACTCTGACAGCCCAGCAGTTCAAACTACCGAACCACAAAGTGAAGGGCAAAACAGTTCTGATGTTAGTGCCTCTAAGAATAAGAATATTGAAACAACAGCTCAGAGCAACAAATCAGTGCAAGAGAAGAGTTCTACACAGGAGCAGTCTGCAACAACTGTAAAAAACAGAGAGGATGGAACACCTAATAAACCTGAAGGGCAGCGTGTCCCCGATTTAAAATCAATCCCGTTGCGGGTTGTCAAAGTTCCGATCAAAACCGTTCCCTTACAGAAAGCAACAGATGGCCAAAAGCCCCAGACTCAGCGAGTCACTCTGCACCAGTGGGTGTCTCAGATCGCCACTAACTCTCTCTCACTCCCCGCCCTGCCACCGCTTCCTCCACCTAAATACGGCCTAGAGGATGACATTAGACCAAGCATAAGAAGAAAGAAGCAAATCAGACCTCCAGCTGACAGATATGCCTGCAACGTGTGTGACAAGAGCTTCCCATATCAGTCCAAGCTAATGGACCATGAGCGAATTCACACAGGCGAGAAGCCGTTTGTGTGCACGGCATGCAACAAAAGTTTCAGAACCCAGGCATTCCTGAACAACCACCTGAAGACCCACAACGCGGTGCGTCCGTACGCATGTGGCCAGTGCGGCAAGTGCTTCACCAAACTGCAGAGCTTGACCAAGCACATGCTGGCCCACAGCGGCCAAAAGCCCTTCTACTGTGAAATCTGCAACAAGGGCTTCACGCAGTCCACCTACTTCAAACGACACATGGAGTGCCACACCAGCGAAATGACGTTCCCCTGCAAGCAGTGCGACAAATGCTTCCCAACGGCTTTCAAGCTGTCCAACCATGAGCGCTGGCACACCAGAGATCGCCCTCACATGTGTGAGCGGTGCGGGAAGAGATTCCTCGTCCCCAGCCTGTTGAAGAGACACATGGGCTATCACATCGGCGACCGCCAGTATCTCTGCTCCCAGTGCGGGAAGACCTTTGTCTATTTGTCCGACCTGAAGAGGCACCAGCAAGACCACGTGCCCAAAGCTAAGATCCCCTGCCCGGTTTGCCAAAAGAAGTTCTCCAGCAAGTACTGCCTGAGGGTTCATATGAGGATCCACACCAGAGAGCGCCCCTACCACTGCTCTATTTGCGAGAAGACCTTCACTCAGGTAGGCAACCTGAAGGTCCACATCAGGTTACACACCAACGAGCGTCCATTCAGCTGCGACGTGTGCGGGAAGACCTACAAGTTGGCCTCCCATCTCAACGTCCACAAAAGGACTCACACGTGCAAGAAGCCCTGGACATGCGACACGTGCGGAAAGGGGTTCTCCGTGCCCGGCCTCCTTAAGAAGCACGAGCAGTTGCACACAAGGGATGCTAACCCCGATTTCTCTGGTAAACGCAGACACAGGGGTAAGCACAAGAAGCACCCCCTCAAGAGGAAGTATGACGAGGAAGACGAAGGCAGTGATGATTATTGATCGAAAAAAAGATATTTTGTAATAAAAACGATTGCCCTGATTAGATGGTTACAACAGCTGATCACCCCTCATCACAATGACCCTCTGAACCATGTCATTTGAACATTTTGATGGTTAATGACTGAAAAGAAACGGACAACCATAATGGTTTTAGTTTTTAACTTTTTTTCTTTTTTTTTTGAATGATGTTAGGATTTATTTTCTGATCATTGAATTTAAAGGCAATCGCAGCACATTACTGCTGTTTTTCCTAAATCTAGATGATGTGACACAGTAGGTTAAAATGATGGAAGTAACCTAAAGCCAACACTTACTGAGTTATGAGGTAGCAGTAAATGTATTTCTGATCTGTTTTGGAGTTGTAGTAGTTGATGTATTTCAAACCCAAATAAACTGAGAGTTTAAACTGAGTATTCAGAAGCTAGCACAGACATTTAAAGAGAAAAGCATCATGTAAAAAGAACACCAAAATAGGATTTCAAAGCGTATGACTGTAGATAGCTTGTCTGTGTAATACATGTTGTAGTGTCACTAGGAAGCATTTCATATTCGTTCATGTATCTATGTGGACATTGTTGTGACTCTCATACTATAACATCACGCTTTGTTGTGTAACCCTGTACTGTTAACATTACAACTTTGAATTACAATTTGTTTTGGTTAGAAGCTTTTTGAAGCTTTTCTTGAAAAATGAAACAGATGTTTTGTTGCTGTTACAGTGTGTGGGGAAAAAAATCGAGGAAACAGGAGTGGACACGATAAAACACCCTTAACATAATGCAAACACATGACGAGGTTGCTCTTGGTTTTTTCCTGAGCTATGCTGTGTATATATTGTAAGCCACTAATAATTTGGCCATCCTTTTTTTTTTTTGTGTGTTTATTAAAAAAATAAACTTCGTGAAAGGACTTTTGGCTGACTGCTTTTTGGCATAGTGAAACGTGATTTTATTTCACTACTGTCTACCAACCTTTTGCCTTTTAAGCTTCATACGGGACTTCGGTGTTGCTGTGAAATGACGATGCCGTAATGACAATTATTTCAGAACATATATATATATATAAACGGCGTTAAGTTTCCAGTACAGTCCTTGAGCCTTTCTTTTGACTTCACGGTAACGACTTCATTCGGTAATGTGTCGGCGGAAACGCTTTGGCGTCTTGGAGGTATAAAAATCACATTTCCACTGGTCTAGCACGGCACGGCTTTGCCCCGCTTCGCAAGCCATAACGCTATCAGAAATTCGGTTCAGCCTCAGCAGCCTCGCCTGGCTCCGCCCTCAACCGAGCCATGTATTACGTAAGAGCCGTCTGATTGGCTAGAATAACAGGGCGTCATATAGGCGACGAGAGGAAGGAGCGCCATTTTGACAAAAAAAAAAAAAAAAAAGGAGAACTACTCACCAGTTTTCTTTAGTGTTGTTATTGTGTTGACCAAAGAGAAACGGGGGAAAAAAAAGGACATGAACTTCCACGTAAACTGGACTGATGAAGAGACTCAGGAACTCCTCAAAGTGTGGTCTGAAGAAAAGATTCAGGTGGGCCTGGGGGAATCTGTTAGAAATGAGAGAGTTTATGGAGAGGTGTCCAGAAGACTGGCTGTTATGGAGATGTATCGTTCTGCAAAACAGTGCAGAGACAAGGTCAAGAAGCTGAAACTTGAATACAGGAAGACAAAGAAACACAGTGAGGAAAGTTGGGATATCAAAAAGAACTTTAAGTGGTACGATGCTTTGGACTCTATCATGAGGGAAGAGCCAGCTAGCAGAGAAGACACCATGATACAGAAGTTCATGATCTCTGACCAGGAAACAAGTAAGTTCTCTGAATTACTCTAATAGAAAATGAACATATTTAGCTTCTTGCATGCTCTGCAAACACGCCTGCCCGCAGAAATGTCTGGACCCCTGAAAGGCCCCGTGAATAGGGCCTCCCTGGATATGATTTAACTCTGCATATATTCAGACATAAGTTCCCTCTGCCTCAATCTTTGGGGCTGACTGGGAAAAAAAAAAAAGTTTGTTAACAAGCACGGTACTTGTTGGGGTCAAATGCCCGAGCCGACGCCCTCCTTTTCTTCTTTCTTTCTTTATGACATCCTAACTTTGTGCAGGTCTTGATTGTAACACTACTGGCACGACAGGTAACATTAAAAACAACAACATTTTCAGAAGAGGGGATTATACGCTGGAACGAGCTACAATTCAAATAAAATGTGGGGTTGTGTTGCTTCTAAGAGGTTTATTTGGTGTGTATTTAGATGTAAATAGATGATAGATGGAAGAAGATTATTAGATTAGATTAGATGATAAATGATGTAAATGTAATTGGGTCATTGTTGGTTGTTTGTTGTAAAGGACATTCTTGTTTTAACAATCCGTCTTACAATAACAAAATAATGATTGCCTTTGCTTATTATGGTGTCCTCTGCAGATAAATAAAAATAAGAATGCAGTGTAAAATTAATATTTACAAGAGAGCGGAAATAGTGTGTGGGTCTGTTTTGAGTTTTTTAAAGCGATATCATTTCCTTTTAAATTGTTACAAATCTTCTCGTGGTGTGTAGCCCCAAAGTAACCCCCTTTTATGAAAACCTGTTTTATTTGTCTTCTCACAGATTTAGCCATCAAAACAGAAACTCCTGGAAGCTGCAGCAACTCCTACACAACCTCTCAGTCCGCAGAAGAAACGCCTTCACCCGCAGAGACCAAAGAAGACCCAGGTCTCTACATCGTTCAAGTGGAAGATGTTGACGTTCCGTCCACGAGCACATCAGTGAAGTCCGCTGCCATGCGAACGTCACTCAAAGGCAAGTCAAATCAAGTCGTAAGAGGGATACAGCCTGAGAAAAACAAAGCTATGTGTTCACACAATACTAAACTATTGTACTATACTCAGCTTTAATTCATTTCATAAAAGTTTTTATACATTTCCTTTGGGAAAAAAAATGTACCTAGTTATCTACATGAATCCTAATCTTTTGCTTTCACAGATTCGCGGTGGTCAAAAAGGGAGGTCCAAACGTTGTTGACACTTTGGGCAAATCCTGCGGTTCAAGGGGAGCTTCTCCTCAATGTGAGAAATAATCAAGTGTATGCTCGCCTCAGTGCCGCACTGGAATCCCTCGGGTTCAGTAAAACGCCGCAGAAGTGCAGGGAGAAAATCAAAAAACTAAAGCAGGATTACAGAAGAACGAAAAACAGTGAACAGCAGAGAAGCCGCACGATGTGGTTTTCCATAATCGATGATGTCCTCGGCTCCAACGCTGCCGCTCCGAGACGTTCGGAAACGACGGCGCTCTCACTGCCAAGTCCTTTAAACCCTCTAATGGATGTCACCGCTGAGGGTAAGTGAAAACCAAACACTAAAAGAATAACCAACTGCTATAAAGCAGAAGTCATCTTCTGAGGATTGTTTCCATTTTGCTCACACCAGTTCTGTTTTTCATTCAATGCAATTTCAAGCAACCCACAGCAGGTGTTGCTAGAGAACACATCAGCTGAAAAGTGAAGCACATGAGGGTTTATTGTGTAAACGATACAGTTCAGAAGCTTCCTCTTTTTCAGTTCCCCTGGCATTTTATTGTTAAAAAAAAAAAGCCAAGAGAAACAACTCAATGGTCAATGATTCACTGAGTATTGCCCTGTTTGAGAAAAGAGTCGGTCATTAGATGAATAATTGAAGAGCCACTCACTATACACAAATCTCCTTTGTTATAAATTAGACTTCCTCCTTCTTTTTTCTTGGTTCTATTACAGATGAAACCCCGTGGCTGCCCGATGAAGTCCAAGTGCTGATGACCCTCTGGGCACAACCCAACATTCAGAAACAGCTTCTCCACACAGCAACAAAGACTGAAGTCTTCAAGTACCTCAGCAGTGAGCTGGCAATGGTGGGCTTCAACAAGACGGCACATCAGTGCAGTATGAAAGTGAACAGCCTTAAAGAAGAGTACAAAAGAACCAAGGCGACAGGACCAAACGGGGACGTTAAAAGCGAGTGGTTTGCTATTTTGGATGGAGTCCTCGGCCAGTGTACAGGAACTTTTTCGGAAGTGGATTCATCTGTTGTGCGGTCGCAAACTAAATCACCAGAAGAAGAACATGAGAAAGGTATGTCACTTGAAACGTCCTGACTACAGTTCGTCTGTGATTGTATAATAACGGGTGACATTGCTTTTAACAGATTCCTTGCAGGCTGTTTGGACGTCAGATGAAGTCAAAGCGCTGCTCACTCGCTGGGCAGAGCAGAGCGTCCAGCAGCAGCTCACATCTGCTCCAACAACTGAGAGAGAGTTTGCTCTGCTGAGCTCTGACCTCGCCACGCAGGGCTTTGATAAGACCACCAGCCAATGCAGGTCAAAGATTAGACTGTTGAAAGAAAAGTACAGAAGGATTAAGGAACAGAAGGACTCCAACAAACAAAAAGGGGACTGGTTTGCCATCATGGATCAAGTCCTTAGTTATGGAAACCAAGAGCATGCAACCAAACAAGCAGCTGAAGTCAGACATTTAGACCAGACGTTTCTGCAGACGTCACAGCGAGAGCTTTCTGGCACAGTGAAAGTCTTGGGTAAAATCCAAAATGATAAAAAGTTGTTTTCTACTTCACACTGGCTGACAACTTATCGTTTAGAAATCTCAGTTATGCTGCTGTAGTTATCTTCCAGACAGGCTCAACAGGATTCCACAGTCATTCGGTGATAATTGCAGCAGAGATGAAAAAACAAAACTGCAACAGCAGTTTCTTCAAATGTGTGCATTTATGAGATCTGTTTTGAGGAGATTTGCAATATTATTTGATCAGTTAGTTGGTTCTTAAGATAATAAATGAATATCTAATCAAGGCAAAGACATATGAAGCATGCTGTTTTGACATGACAGCTTCTAAAACTTGCTGTTGGATTCAGCCATCTTGATTCAAGCCAATTAAAAATTGGGTTAATCATTTGCATGGGTCGGTGAGCCCGTGTAGCTGAGTCAGATGAGCTATGTTGGACCGGCTGCCGGTTTGACCCCTGATTCTGACACCATTTGGTGCATCCTTCACTCTCTCTCCCCCCACATTTCCTATCAAATAAAGGCACAAACAAATTATAGGGGTCATTTACCCTAAATCTGGTCTTTCAGGTTCCGTTTTTTTTACCCTCATCGAGAGTGCAACATGTTCTATTGTGGCCATGATTAAAAATGCCACTAGGAGATTCATTAGGCGCATTACTGTTGCATGCAGTGAAAACCTGCTCCCCTTCTTTAAGTGTCCAGCTGCACAACTGAACAGGTAATAAAATGATAAACTACGCCTAAGTGCAAATGACTGGAAATTTAAGAAAACCCTTCAAAGGAATGCAACAGAAGTAAAATGCCCTTTCCATGGCTCATGCATTAAAAGATTTCTGTCTGATATTTCTAAGTATATGGTGAAAATTGATGGATCTTCATATTATTACGGTTATTAGTTCATGACTCGTTCCCCATTTGCAGATCGCAGCTTGTCCGTCTCCTCGCTGTGTCTCCTGGTTCCCACGCTGCGTCTCATGTGTGGCTTCGCCTGGCAAGTGGTCCAGCGTTGTAACGTGATGCATTATGGGAAGGTGGAGGAGCTGGTGAGGGTGGCGACGGAGCTGGCTCCAGATCTGCTGACACCCCGGGAGAAAGTACAGATCCTGCTTCGACTTAGAGCTAGGGTAAGACACGATGCATGTCTTTCTCTCCAGTTATCTCTTTGTTTCTTGATTTCTTTGTAGAGCGAAAACATGTTTGTTTGTTTTTTTTAAGGTTGGTTGAGTGGTTTTCAAACTTTTAAGATTTTCAATTCTGTAAGCCAGTCTTTGAATATTAGAACACTCCTGTTTAACATTTCATAAACCCTTTTTGAGGTTACACACAGTGTTAGACAAACAACAGCAGATCTACAGTATTCTAACTGCCTGGTATGCTCTCTGTTTCAGGTGGTGTTGGACTTGTGTGCCAAAGAGATCACAGCCAACCAGTTGAGCATCCAGCCTCACCTGACGGTCATCAAGAACATCACGACTGGCTGCACATGTAATCAGGAGGTAAGTCTCCAGTTCTGGTGGAATATTAAATTCAGCTAGAGTGACTCAGATACATATAAAAGCTGCCGACACAGCAAGATGTTCGTACTGCCTCCATGGCTGCTCCCGTCATACTCTAAAGAACATTTACATATTTTATATATGATTCTTTAATATCTTTAAGGTTTATTGTTTTTAAGTGTCTTGACAGTAGGAGTTGCTTCATTTCTGAAAAAAAATGTGTTAACTTTTGAGTTGTTCTAGGCGGCGGCGGCTAACATTAGCTTAGCTCCTTTCTAGGTGCCCCTTTTTTTTAAGATAACAACTTCTCCAGTGTATATTGTTATTTATGGGAGCCAAATGATCAAATGAGGTGTCCCCTCTCCAACGCAAAATTAAAACGACCATAGGTTGTCTTGAAATAAAAAAATCTCAGGCTTTTCTATAGACATGAAAGAAAATGTTCCAAAAATATGCATTCGGTAAAAATGATTTGATGTATTCCTAGATTTATGAGTGTTGTTTTTTATTTTATACGACTGAGTATCAAACTAGACAAAGGAAAGTTGTTTAGCTTTCTTTCTCGGTATGTTTTTGTTTCATGTTTTACAAACGGTTTGACCGGAGCCAGATCATGCTACAACCATAGCAATCACATCTCCACAGGGTTAGTCGTATCAAGCTGTCATTTCCCTTTAGATCGTCACACTGCTCAATGGTCAGTGATCAATACTCAATACCAAATTCAGGTATCTGAATTTAAAAAAAAAAATGGCTTCAGAGCACCTAACTGAGAGCAGTGTAGTGTTGAGTATAAACTTTGTATCAGATCCAAATTGCTCTACTGTTTCGTAATTTTTAAATGCAACTTTGAATGTAAGTATGTTTTGAAAAAGAAAACTTGTGATGTTGAAAAGCTTTTTCTACAAAGAGGGAAATAATAGTTTACATTACAGCAAAGGTCACAGCAGTAGATTTAAATAGAAATTAGGACACTCCACATGTCACCTTTGTTCCCTCAGCATGGCTAAGCTGTGTCTGTAGACGGACACTGAACTGATGCTGTGATTTGTCCGCTGGGAGGACAGACTTGTATGTTTCTAATAAAAAGGAAGGAAAAGGTTGCCGAACTGTGCATCCGAGGTCAAAGGGCAGCTTTTGAAGTCCAAAGGAGGTTGTTGTTCTTCTTTTAACCTTTGTGGTCCTTTGAAAGGTTATTGAGGACATGTCCAGCTCACTTTGCCCAAGGCACTGATTCCCCCCCCCAAGTATAGTCTAGCCTTTATAAATGCACTTAGTAATAATAAATTAGATTTTTCACCTTTGCCTCTTTATTCCCAAAGGATCTCAGCCCAGACGGATATCTTCTTGATGTTTAATTTATATTTCCTGACATCTAGATTTTGGAGATGTCATTCGCACTGCTCTTAATCTAATTTCCTGTGTTAGTAAATGTTTCGATTCATGGTTTTTATGGTCCAGTTCCTCTACAAGTGGCAGTAACTGCATTTATTGATGTCATTATACTGAATTTATTACGGAATATTTCAGCAGGAAACATCTGTGTGGAAAGTAAAAACAGGAAGAATGCATCGGCCGAAATGTGGTCATCAGCAAACATTCAACAATAGTTTAGCTTTAATTCATCTCTTAAAAGATTTCTGCATACAAGTACAGTCAGCATCCGTGTCATATGCGTCGACATCATTGTCTACCTCAGTTTGCACCTTTTTAAATGAAAATGCAAAACCATGAAGACGAATATCAGACGGATTGTTTTGATTTCCTAAGAGATGTGCTTATTTTGATGAAACTCAGAATCATTGAGTGCAATGTGTTGATTGGTCTCTAGGGACACAGAATCTATCTCAATAAACTAATATGTTGAACGTGTCATCCCTCAACAGGAACGAGAGGAGCTGGAAAATTCAAAGACAAACTTTATGGAGGTCATTCAGAGGCTGCTGGAGGACAAAGAAGAAAGAAAGATGTTCTTCAAGGTCTGACATTCTCATCTCTGTTACCTAAATTCAAGTGATTTCATTGATTGTGACTTTAATAAATAAAAATAGTCAACATATGGTCGAAATATGACATTTGTTTCATTTTTCTGACACTCTAAAAGACTACAACTAGGCGGGTTCACTAACATTTCACCGTCTTCTTCTTCCAGGAAGTCTTTCCTCTCCATTACGGCCAGCAGTATGAAGCCAAATTAAAAACATTAGCGTGGAAGTTCATCTCTAGACTTGACAGTCTTCTACCTGTTCCAGATATAAAACAGGTACTGAACACTATTGGTTATTTAACGCTGTTTCACGGTTTGAATCGAGGATGTTTCTGTGTATCACATCATGTTCAGAATTATTCAAAAACATTTAGAATGTGCAGTCACCAAACGTACTGTAACTGTATGAGGAGCCCGGAATATAAAGAGTTCATGTTTATGATGTGTTCTGCACATTCTTTACAGACTGCTGAGTGGCTCGGCTCTGCCCCCGCTGTCATGGAGGAATGTGGACGGCTGGTTTTGGAGCCAGCCGAGCTGAAAGCCCTCTTCAGTTTTCAACAACAGCAATCAGGAATCACCAACAAATGTGAGTCGCCTTCTTACTGTACAGTGGTAAAGAAGAAAAAGAAACTCAGCTGCTCTGAATCATCTAGTGCAGGGGTGCCCAACCTTTTTTGAACCAAGATCTACTTTTAAAGTTGCCAGTCTGCCGAGATCTACCAGTCCACATAGTGAGCCATAGCCTTTACCGACAGCCTACAAACGCATTTAATACTCAAACAACAAACAGAAAATAATATCAGATATAATAAATGAGAGTTCTGTAAAAAATAATGCAATATCGACATACTTTTTTTAAAAGTCTTATTTTAGGGTAGGCTACATTTTAATATTACGTTTGTATTTATATCACATATGTTTTTCCCTTAATTTTGTTTACAACAAACAACTTTAATCTGTGTGGAGATGTTCACAGACTACAGCAGGCTGCTGTGAGATGATTTTGTTAAATTAGCTGCAGGCACGGTGAGAGTGAACGGAGTAAAGTCCAACCGACTGTTTGACCGGGTCACGTGTGTTCCCACCTCGGTCACGGATCAACTGTGTGCTGTAGCACTAAAAGTAAAAAGGTTTGCGTGGTGGCTGGCACTCCAGTGCAAGTGTGTGTGTGTGTGTGTGTGTGTGTGTGTGTGTGTGTGTGTGTGTGTGTGTGTGTGTGTGTGTGTGTGTGTGTGTGTGTGTGTGTGTGTGTGTGTGTGTGTGTGTGTGTGTGTGTGTGTGTGTGTGTGTGTGTGTGAGTGAGTGAGCGAGCGAGCGCTGTATGTTGGTGTGTCTCGTCCCCCGCGATACTCACAGTCATGACAGCAGAGAGGAGCAGAGAAAAGTAGCTTTTTGTAAAACATTTACCCCCCCGGTTTTACCTGCACGTCCTTGCGCATGCCTGCACTCTCTCTCTTGCGCGCGCTCTCTCTCTCTCGCTCGCTCTCTCATGCACGCAGCAATTTCATGGATAAATGAAAAATTAAATACAAACAGGTCGGAAGTATACTTGGGCTCCCAACACAGGTATCGTGTGTGGGAAACAGTGCAATGAGATGAAATTGAAATCACTTTTCTATTTTACAATTGTATTTTATATTGACTAAACATCTCACGATCGACTGAGAATCAGTCAGCGATCTACCTGTCGATCGCGATCGACTGTTTGGGCACCCCTGATCTAGTGGTACATGAGAGAAACCATTCTTCCAACATTTACTCAAAAGGGATGTTTGTCATTTTTGAGACAGAAGCTAGAGTATGACGCAGGCTTGGCTCATGGGAATACACCAAAATGTTTAAACTAAGCTTCTTCCTATTTGTGTAAAGCAGAAGAAACGAGTAGATTAAGAAGGACATCATGCATGGGCTTTTTTTTCTTCTTAAAAACATCAAATGTCTTAAAATATAATTGGCACACATCCACTTCCACATATGTGTGATACCCCAAGGATAGAGTGTTGACATGAAATGAGGCTCTGGATTCAACCGTGACATCTGAACAACATGCTGTTACGTCACCTTTATGAATGGTACGCTTAGATAGTTGTATGCTGCTGGATTTGCTGGAGCTTTATTCTTCACATTATTTTTTAAATACTTTATTAATCCCTGAGGGAAATTCTGGTTTACACTCTGTGTTTTTTAGAGACATGCTTCTCACACACATAAACAGGACCCTTCATATTTTTGTCCGCACTGGGACTTGATCCGGCGACCCTCCGGTTCCCAACCCAAGTCCCTACAGACTGAGCTACGACCGCCCCCATGTTATGCTAACTAACATGCAGATAATCTAACATCTTGACCCTTAGCAACGAATGTTCACCTTCGTTGTTGTTGTTTTTTCTACCTTCACAGATCGTTCACAAACTGGAAATATGTTTTTGCCAAGACTTTCTCTTCCTCCCAAACCAAACCAAGAACGTTCTTCAGAGCGACAGGATCTGTCTGCAGTTGACAAAGACGGTGGACTCTTTTATTGTAGCAAGGACGAGGAGCCTGTTGAGGAAAACACAAATGCTGTCACACCGACTCAGCAAGACTGCAACAAAGCAGATGAAGTCCTGATGCTGAAGGATGAAGAAATGAAAGAGCCGACCACTGAAAACAGTTCAAGTAAGCAGCCAGTCTTCAGATCATTGTTTCTGCAGTAAATATTCAAATATAACAATGGTGACTTTACATTTGAACCAAAAAAACTTGCAGGACTTATTACACAGAAATATGCAATCTTTAGTCCAATAAATATAAAACTAAAATATAAAAATTGTCTCTTTCAGATTCCACCAATCATACGCCTTCAGGAGAGCAGACTTGCTTTCTGTGCTCATACTCTGACGACCAAGTCACGGGTCTTATGCGGCACATGAGGGAGGCGCATCCCGTTGAAAAACCCAGCAGACTTCAGCCAAAGGAAGAAGAGACGAATAAAGCCTCTAAGAAAGCGAGCGCAGAAACGTGCGCGTCTGAGATCAAGAGCACGGCATTCCCTGCGAGTACTGCGGGAAGGTCTTCAAGTATGTGTCGAAGCTGCGGGGCCACATGAAGACACACACGCTGCCGTTCCACTGCGACAAGTGCGACAAGAAATACGCCTCGATGTCCTCTCTGTACGTCCACCAGATGAACCACACGGGTGAGCTGCCGTATTTGTGTTCGCACTGCGGTCGAGGGTTCAAGACCTCCGGCAGCCTGAGCGCGCACGTCCACATACACACAGGAGAGAGACGCTACAAGTGTCACATTTGCGGGAAGACGTCGATCCAGCATCTCGCGAGACACATGCGGATGCACCGCGGGGAGAAGAACTACCTGTGCACAGAATGCGGGAAGGCCTTTCTCTCCTCCGGGGAGTTGAAGCTACACATGAGGTATCACACCGGCGAGCGTCCGTACAAGTGCAAACACTGCGGGAAAGGTTTCGTGGCAAAGTGCCTTTTGACGGTTCACATGCGCAGACACACAGGGGAGAGTCCTTACAAGTGTTTAGTGTGCCCGAAGGCGTTTCATACTTTGAGGGCACAGAAAAAACACATGAAGATCCACTCCAACTTAAAGTCGTTCCAGTGTTTGAAGTGTGGTAAAATATTCAGGCATGCGGACACTTACAAAATGCACGTTAAAACACACAAATGAAAGAAGACGCTGGGGTTATGTTAGGAGAAGATGAAAATATTCTGATCTTATCTATCGGGCAGTGTGGGTAATTATCAGGAGTAAGCCTTTTAAACACATGAATACACTTAATAAAACGCTCCCTGCATAAGTACAGTAGCTCAGTGAATGCCTAAAGGAGCAAGGTAGTTTATGCAAAGCCGCTCTTCAACAATCTTCAATCTAGTGCCGAGTTAATTTTAGGATTTTACGTGAGCCACAGATATTATGAGAGAAATTGTTCTTTCCCTAGACCATGGGATGGGCAACTTTGGTCACAGCAAGGGCCACATTCATTTAATTCTCATTGCCGGGGGGCCAAATTGTAGACTACAAAAACGATTACAGTCTCAAATTTAACTCAACATATACCAGTGATCAAATATTATTATGGACATATTTCTGGTTTTCATGATTTCATGGCAGATTTTGTCATGTTTTTCTTCATGTTTCCAATTCATTGATATGTAAAAATTGACCTGAGGACCACGTTGAGGGTTGATGGGGGCTGCTTGTGGCCCCCGGGCCGCCAGTTGCCCACCCCTGCTCTTGACAATCGGCATCCTCGTTCATGCACGGCCTGCTCCGACCCCGCCTCAGCGGCAAGGAATTGTGGACAACCAGAACTCGAGGAATAACAAGGAAAAATCTTGCCTGCATAGTATCCTACATGCTCTTTTTATAAAGCGTCTTGAGTTGTTATGAATTGGCACTATTCAAATAATGATTGATTTACATAATAATAATGTTCATGATTCAAATGATGTGTTTTTAATTTGACAAAGTCAAATAAACAAGCAGACTTCTTTCATTCAGGAATACCAGTGCAGTTTTTGAAGGAGTGGAAACTTTTAACTGCTTTCATACAATACACAATATGCCTGTGCAAATAGTTTTGATTTCTTTTTTTCCTTTTTTTTTTTTTATGTCTGCTCAAATTTTGCCTAAACCCCAGTTCAGTAAAGATGAGAGCACATTTGTTTTATAAAGGTCACTTAAAGGTAAAACTTAACTTGACTTGCTCTTCACTTGATAAGCCAAAGGGTTCCATGCATGCTGCAATGTTCAGTCAATGATTCAGCAGATTAAATATTATTTCACCAAAACTAAAGTGTACTTCACTGATTAAACACACACTAAGTTCTGCTGACTCAGCATGAGGAGTATTGTTGAACCTGTTACTGTTAAAATATAACTGCAAATCTATGCCCTGCCTTAAAGCTTCTGCAGGGAACTTTTGGTTTGTGTTGGTTTTGGCAAACCCAGTGGAAAATGATGTGGGTTAAAAAATGAATCTAGCGTCTATTTAACGTCAAAGGATTTGCAGTGAGTGAAATGTTTTAAGTAGTAAGTAGTAAGAAACACAAATACTCTCCTCACCTGACACTGACCGGTGACTCGGTCTTGGTCTGATGGTTGTTTGCTTTTGCAGGGCAACTACAGGCATTTGATGAGTTTCAGTCTGTTTCATAATCAGCCAAAAACTCCTCCCAATGCGTTGGTGTGTATAGATGGCTAGTTGATCTTTATTAATTTTTGCCATCATCTGCCCAGGACCAGATAGAAATGAGCTTGTTAGCTAAATCTGGTAAAAAGCATCTTTTTCTCTTCTGAGACTCATGTTATTTTGTGCATTGTCCCTGATTAAAATAAACTACTAAATTAGAGGAAAATTCAGACCTGCAAAGAACTAAAACAACATACAAAAGCTTTTTGTAAAAGTACCCATATATTCATAAAACAATAAGAAATGAAACACCTCTCGCTCTTAAAGCAACAGTCCACAGAAATGATTAGTTGGAAGAAGAAATCCTTTCTTAAAAACACCATAACAAATCCCCAACATTTGTCCATGTACTCATGGCTTCATTGCAAGGACAACTGTGTCTGTTCCTCATTTAGTTTCTCCTGTTCCTCTACATCCATTCGGAGTGGTACCATGGCATGCAAGTTTGGGTCTGCCTTAGCGTCCCTTTTCCCTCTCTTCTCACACAAACACACAGCAAGTTGTGACCCTAGTAAAATAGTCCCGATGGTAATGAGCATGATGGCAGTGCGAAAGGGGAACAAGCGATATCGGTGTCCGTCGTCCTGTATTTTATCCCATGGCAGAGGCAGCAAGTCAGGAAGCCCGATCATAGGTTCCCCGACCAGAGCCCTTAGTAGTACTGCTAACACGAGACCAGATAAGGCTCCATATTTGTTTGCCCACTTTGAAAAGTAGAAGATGCAAGTCACTTGGGGAGTCATCATCGAATACAAAACATCCGCACTGACGATCCAGAAAAGGTGGATAGACCTTGTTGTCATGGCCAGGCCTGCTCCCATCAGCCCGCACAGGAAGACTGAGACTTTAACAACCAAAATAATTGTTTTTTCTGATGCCTGAAACAGGAAATAAGCCGTTGAGTTAATTTTAATTTAAATAAAATGCAGTTTATAACACGTTGTTGACTTTGTAAAATAAAAAAGGGAGTGACACATGCCTGAAATACCTGTAAACGTCACGCATAAAACACCATGAGATCAATCAATTAGTCGATTGGTTAGCATTAAATTCAGCAAAAGATTAGCATTTTAAATGATTTAGGCTCGTAGCATTCCCTTATTCCTAGGCGGGAATGTGTGTTTTGTGCTAATTAGCGAGCCAAAGCTTGAACATGGCTCTTGCTTGATAGCATGTTAGCATTGTCGTTTTCAGCATTTAGCATCTCAAAGTTATGAAGTCTTTCTTTGGCAGTCCATCACAGCTTTACTATGCATTGTTTTCACAGTGTAGTGCTGTGAAATCGGTCAGTATTTTTTCATACAGCTCCAGATCTTAACTAATAAAAAAGTTTTCTCATGACTTTTAAACTATAGCACCGGTAGTCTACAGACAGAAAAAAGTCTGAACAATGAGGAAAAAGATAGAAAATTGCCAATGTTAAGACACTCTTTGCAGCGTGGATCTGCAAGGAAAAGGGGACAAAAAAATAAAGCAAAATCACAGCATTCAGAAAATATATGCTGAATATGCAAGCAATAAGCAGTTATTGGCATGCTCTAGCCCACTTTAAATACCCACCAAGATCACACACACAAATACACACACAAAAAAAAAAACCTTGTGTGAGGTGTTACCTGTTTGTAGATAATGTTCTTAAATATATTTCGGCTCAGTTGAGATGCAGCAGACAGAAGTGCAGAGTCAACTGATGACATCACAGAGGCAGCAAGCGCTCCCATACCAACAAGTGAGACGAAGAAGGGGCAAAGATGCTGAAGGGCGATTGGCAAGATCATACCAGATTTGCCCTGTTCAAACGGGCTGGGCGAACCGTAGGTCGTCTGGTTCCAATCTGACAGACATTAAGCACATGTAAATAAAACAACAACATGAGACTTGAGTCTTAAAGTAATCTTTGAGAGGGATCATGTCGGAGATTAAGACCACACTGGCTGCCAAATATACTGAATGGTTTGAAAAAGACAGTTGAAAATAGGTACTGGTAGATGCTGCTGCTGCCCCAATGATAAGTGATGGGATTCCAAGGAAGGGGCATAATACTGCTCCAACATAGCAGGTGATCTTAGCTTGGGTATCTGTGGCTGTGGACAGGACTCTCTGGTAGAAAGCCTGGTAGCAAATTCCTCCAAAGGTCTTTGAGAGTAAAAGAGACAGGATTTACTGGATAATTTAACAATGTGATGAAAAACTTTAGTTAATGTTGTTTATGCTATACCAATGTCGTCTATTGACCACTAAAGAGATGTGAACGGAAGATATGTTTTTAATATATGTAATCTGGCTATTAATATAATATATCCCTTACTATAAGCAGAACGTCATCTATCCATCGACCCGATTGTTCCAGCTCCAGCGTGCCGAGCCATGGCTCCTGGTACAACTTGGTGACCGCAGCAACAGTGATGTTAGCTGAGGTGGGGCTTGTCAAGATAAAAGGCACACAGAGCCACTGGAAACAAGATATAGAGTTACAAAATCCGAATATAAACTGTGGTGCTTTGAGCCAAGTATTGATGTCTATGTGCTAACAAGGGCAATGCTCACAAGTTGATGTTTAGCAGCTCTGATATTAAGCACGTAGGCATGAAGAAGTTTTGCCAATTAACAAAAAACACAATGATGTTAAATTCTTCTTTCTTCCTTTTTGGTGCTGGTTCATTAGCGTAGCCTGGGTACCTGTGAAATCTTAACGCTATGCTGCCAACTTCCAAGTGGAAATTTGAGGAACCACATTGTTTTTGCACTTTGCATTTAGATTAATGGTTGGAGTTTGTTGCCATTTAAGGTGGGGAATGGATTTCTGCACCATACTCCCTGGAAAGCCTTTTTCAAGTTTTCAAGCTTTGAACCAAAATCTACAAATATGAATCTTAATGTGGTGGTAGACAAAGAGTCATGGAGTAACCAAAATCAGTAAGATTAATCGTCTGAGGATCTTAGGCTAATAACCATCCTTGATTTCTTTGAATTTCCCCAAAAATCACATTTTTGTACCAAGCCCAGGAGCATGAGGATGAGCTGGATGACATCGGTATAGGCCACGGAGTACAGCCCTCCCATCAACGTATAGAGGATTGCCACAGAAGCAGAAATGCTCACAGCCAGTGGAGACGAGATATCCATGACCACACTTACTGTCCCTCCTGTAAACATAAACAGTTTGACACCCATACGTTTCTCCAAACCCAAACTCAGGTGTTGAAAGAATAAAATATGATTGATGCAATTTGATAATAATTGACTATGTAGACCATTTTAAAACCTAAGTTGTTTTCATTGATAGAGAAAATGTGTCTCTGACTCACCCAGTGCACCAAGAATACATGCTATCCACAAGATATCACCAATGAGGGCAGGAATGAAAAGAACAGCGGCTACAGTGTTGCCATATTTCTCTTGAAACGGGTCCATGAGGGTGACATAGTTCTTGGACCGGATCGGTGTGACAAAGAAGAGTGCACCTGAAATCACAAAAAAAAGAATCCTTATCTTAACTTTGAACATTTTTAATTAATTTTTTTTTTTTCCAGAGTACAAACAAAACCCTTCAAAATACAGTTTGAATGTAAACAGACAGCGAATAGTTCAGAAGTAAATGTCTTCATTTACACTTGTTAATGCCCCATATATTAAAAAAATTAACCAAATTAGCAATATATATCATCCGTGGACAATTTTGAATGAGAAGTTCTGTCAATATTCATAGTTTTTATTGAGCAGTTGTTTTGTTTCATCTTATTGCACCCAAATAAGGGCTGCTGTGGCTCTGTGGGTAGAGTCGGTCGTCTCTCAACCAGAAGGATGAGGTTTCAATCCCCAGCTCCTGTAGCAACATGTCTGAAGTGTCCTTGGGCAAGACACTTAAACCCGAATTGCACCCGCTGCTTCGTTGGCGGCGTTTGAATGTGTATGAATGGGATTAGTTAATTCTGATGGTCTCACTGCATAGCAACCTCTGCCATCAGTGTGTGAATGGGTAGGTGTGACATGCAGTGTAAAAGCACTTTGAGTCGTCAGAAGACTAGAAAAGTGCTATACAAGTCCATTTACCATTTACCAAAAGAAGAATGTTTTTAACCTCACTCACCTATAATCATGTTAATGGCAAAAGCAATGGGTCCGGTTGCCCACACCAACCCCTTTGTTGGATCGTAGACCACTTCAGCATTTCCCAAAATATAACCTCCTCCCACCCAAGTGGCTGCAAAACATCAAAGAACAAAGGTTGTATTGTTTAAGGGGTAAGTGTTCTGGCCTTCCTTCATTTTAGCTTAAAGAAAACACCAAGGAGACATTTTACACAGTGTTGGATCATATGAAATACTGAGAGAAAACAGCGCCTATGGCTGGCAGACAAGCTAAAACAATAAGCTACTATAAAGTTACAGCTCTCGCTTTAATTCAATCTAAATCAATCAATCTCTCTATCTTTATTTGTATAATGCCAATTAGTAACAAATGTTATCTCAAGACACTTTACTCAGTAGCGGAGCGAGTGTGGGGGCAGAAGGTGCAGCCGCCCCGGGCCCACTGTTGTCTTAAGGGGCCCACTTTGAGCCAAATTTAACATGCATTTTGTTATTTAGTTGGATTTTCTAATAAAGTTAGTTTGACGAGGTCTGAGTCTCTCTTTCTTTTGCCGCAATCAAGACACGCAATGTATTTTGTAGAGCAGAGAGGGGCCCCCCTCCACTGCCAAGGGGGTTCTCAACTTCGGCAGCAAACAGCACCAGCAGGGTGCTGTGGCCTGTTTGTAATGTCACTGATTCCTTAGCACCCCCTTTGCTGGGCCCCCGCTGCTGTCTGGAGTTTTAAAAACCTAGTCGTCTGTCTGCTTTATTTCTGTTTACCTCGCAGTTTTTCGTAACATTAAAAGTGTAAAAAACGAAATAAAAAATGTTTTTTATATTTTTAAATGTTTTCTCATTGACAACTCGACCTGGCAAGTCTCCTCCCGTTGCTAGCTCCACTAACGTAAACACTACTAACCAAGCAAATAAACATGTTAGGAGGAGCACCCATCTAGCTGCAGGAAAGCAACAGTGCTGATGAAAACTTAATTGGTAAATTGTTTCATCATTATTTGAGATTACGTTTAGATGCTGGTCTTTTGTTTGTGGGTGCATGTGTTGTAGACCGCCGTGTCTGCTTGGTTATCATACTGTATGAACGGCAGGCCATTGCTGTCACACTGTTTACAAAGTTTGTTGTCGTGCGTGGGTTGATAATGTGTGGTTTTATTGTATTGTCTGTGTGGCTGGATGAGCGTCCAACTTCACTGAATGTCAAACTGTAGTTGCCTTCTGTCTTTGGTTTCCCGTCCGGCTAATGAAGTCTGCTTTACTTGTTTAATCGGTGGAATATGCGCACAGACATATCAGCACTTGTTCTGCTTAAACATCAGCAGGTCACTCACTGATAAGTCCCTGTCACTGTAATAGCACCCTTTGTAATCTGCAGCGGCATTTCTCTATGTCCCGCCCCGTCTTGTAGCTCCATACAGCCGATACTAAACCATAAATGCTATACTATATTACTATATAGGCTACAGCATATGCTATATAGCCTATAGGCAGTTTAAGGGCCCACTATTGGTCCCCGCCCCCTCTGCAATGAGCCATAGGCTCCGCGCCTGACTTTACTACAAGAGCAGGTTTAGACTACACTTTGTTGTATTAATTCAAAGGTTTTATTTGCAATTTTTTCTGGATATCAAAGTACAAAAAAATAATATTTTTTTACAATATACAAAAACAATTGTGTTAGTAGTATCAGGTGAAGCAAAATAATACATGTAAAAAAAAAAATACAAACAAAGAGAAAGATAATGAATGAAATGATGTTCATCACTTGTTAATTCATGGAATTAAAGGCATTCATACACAAAAGACATTTCTGAGACCACTGAAAAACTGCTGCGATTGACTTTGAAATTCTCAGATGATTTTTATGATTCATTTGATTTATTGGATTTATTTGCCATTATTATATTATTACGTTATATTTCTACCTGTCATAGTAAAGATGCTGACCCAGATGTTAAGGTTCCGCCCTCCAACCATTGTCACTTCACTGCGTTTTCCAGTGCACTTCTTCTCTTCTCGTTTAGACTTCCTGGATGCCCAGATACCTGTGCCCAGTACGATCATGTAAAACACTCCTATGGACACCAGGCCTGGCCAATTCACCGCCATCGTTAGTGTCTAAGGTATGGACAGAAAATTAAAAAATTTAAATTTTTATAAATTAACATTGCCAATACCACTGCCATTGAAATAAAAACCAATGAAAAACGATTTTACACTCAATCATGGCGTCAGAGCGAGTAAAACATACAGTTGAAGTTATGGTGGGGGGCCCGCAATGGTGAAACCGTAACTCACATCTATTTTGAATAGCGCTCAAAAGCTACTTTATGTTCGACACATATCATATATATAGTTAATTAATCATTCAGAAATACAGAATAAAGACTAACATTAATCCAGATAGTGTATGGAGGAATGGAAAACTCTGGAAACTATTTCTTGGCAGTGCTTTTCTCTGATCACGTCTTACTCCCTGCCCTGGCCGCTCCGAAATGTTACCTCGATGAGAATAGGTAAGTCTGGGAACTGGTGTTGACTATTAACTGCATCTGCAAAATCACAAGTTAGCTCTTTGGCTTTGAATCAACCAAGTTGTACCATTTGCACGTATCCCTTTTACCTTATCAAAAGACATTTTCATTTAAAATAGAAGAACAAGAGGCAGAATAAATATACTTTCAATGTGGGTTTATTTTGCTACTGCAACACAACTCACCCAAACACGTATGAACATGCATGCACAAATATGCCTTCAAGCGGAGACATGTAGAATACTATATGGAAAAAACAATTTGACGTTAATTCAATTGACATTGAAATTGGCATTATTTGAGTAAGGCAGATGATAGCAGATTTTTGTGCCAAATGTGTTTTTTCCATTGATAAATATAACAATTCTAAATCAAATATGCAAAGTTCAATTCTTTTAAATCTGCTGTGAGATTCTGTAGCATTCTTGTAAAGTTGAGACAAATGAATCGTTTGTTAAATTTTAGTTTTACATATATTGTGCCTAGAAATGATACCAACATCAATCCAAGATGCAAGATGAACTTTTTGCAACACACTTTACTTAGAAAATACCACAGGATTGAAGATGTTTTCTGGAATATCTGCGCCTTCTGTTTGCTTTCTTATACAACAGTTGGTCTGAACATTTGGGATGAATTTTGAAAAAAGTCATCTAAGATAAACTAATGGTCTAAAAGTAATAAAAGGCTGTTATTCATACAAAGATCAATACTGTCCTATCACTACAAGATTAAAGGAAAATATTTCTCTGAAAAATATAACTATTCAGTGTTTTCATTACCTGTATTGCTCTTAGATTATGTTGAGATTGGTAAAAGTATGCATATAGATCCTCAAAGCCAATGCCTACTCCTCCTGTGTCTGTAAGGGAGCGTTGTTGTAGTTTTAACCCTTTTTGCTCAACTCTAATTTCAGAGCTAAATAGTGTGTTTGAACCAACCACTCCTCTAGTGTAAAGTTTTGCATTTCTGATCCCACCCACCTTTACTATTGGATTTGAATCCTTCTCAAGACATGACGTTAAAGCTAGCAGAATGCTAAGACTGCTTGTTTTATCATCAAGTGTACTTGTCAAAAACCACAGTAACTTCTGTCAGTCACTGTGAAAATGAGAAAGTCACATACTTAGAACATGAAGGGAAGTTTGGTTTGTCTTACAGTATCTGCTGTCAGGAGGCTTGAGGCTTACTTCGAAAAACCCAGTCTGTAGTTCTTGTTCTTGTTGAGTCTTGCCAAATTTCACTTCAGAACTTTAAGTGAAAAAAACAGCAGGAAAGGTTATCTTTGGATTTATTTGAAGTGTGTGACTCCGGTATATAGTGTTTGTTTAGAAGCATCCCCCTCCCAAAGACATAAAATCCCCTTTGCCTTGTGTTCTGTAACATCTTTGGTTAGGTAACACTTTTTCCCTGTATAGATATTGGTATTTGTTGGTCTCTTACTGGCTGAACTTCTCATTTTACTGTTGTACCAATAGTTGTGTCATTATTAAGTGGATATCTTTTCACTGACTCTTGTTCTTCCACATTATGCAGGTTTGACTGTTAGACGTTCTGCCTTTAGACATGAAATGACGTTAAAAATGTCATATGTATGGAGGCTGTAGTCCTCCAAGCGGGCAGCCCAGGTTCAAATCCAATCGGTGGCTCCTTTTCCCACATGTCGTTCCCCACTCTCTCTCTCCCTGATTTCCAGCTCTATCCACTGTCCTATTTCTCCATTAAAGGCACAAAAGCCCAAAAATATATCTTTAAAAAAATAAAAACACAAGATGTGGAACAGCATAACATAATTTTCATGTTCAGCACTCTGTGATTTGGTTTTTAATTATTTGTATTATCTAATCATTATAGTTTTCATCATTTAATACTCTAGTGACTTTATTAGCAAAAACAAATGTTTTTCTTTTACTTGAGGAAAATAGGGAAGACAAATTTTTACATTGTAGAATCAAATATTTCCAAATGAAAGCAGAACTGATAGCAAAGCTGTTACCTTTTATAACTTGATATTGATGGTTGTTGAAGGAGTTATTCTGGAGTTTTTGAAACCGGCTCAGATTGATACTTAATGCCTTTGTGTGAGCTACAAATGCAAACAAAACCATCAACAAGAAGATTGACTGTAACTACCTTTTTTTTTAAGTTATGACTCTCTGGGCCACTTTTGCCTTTATTGGATATGAAAGCTAAAGAAATACAGTAAATGTTTGGACGAGAGAGTGGGGGATGACACGCAGCAAAGGGCCCCCTAAAGACATGTTTAAATGACTGCCATCAACTCTTCTTTTCAGCAGTAAAAAGAGTTTTCACTAGAAAACACTACTTACACATGTACAACACAAGATGAGCAAAGACAAAAGACGTACCTCTTTGTCCACAGGTGTCACCAAGATGCAAACTGGTCAGCAAACTGCACACACTGCAGGTAGGAACCCCCCTCTGTCTGTGGATCCAGGACTGTCTAACCAACAGACCTCAGCATGTCAGGGAGACAGCACCATCATCCTCAACACCGGTGTACCCCAGGGCTACGTCCTCAGTCCAATCCTCTACTCCCTGTGCACCCACGACTGCACACCTACCCACAGCTCCAACGCCTTCATTGTAAGACTGATCTCCAACAACAACGAGGCGGCCTACAGAGAGGAGGTCCAAACATTCTCTGGGTGGTGTAAAAACAACAACCTGCACCTCAACACAAAGTTAAATAATTATAGACTACAGAAAAAAAAAAACAGTCTGCACATAAACCAGGAAGAGGTGGAACGTGTCATTAAATTTAGGTCACCAGCTTTAAGTTCCTGGGAGTGCACATCTCAGAGGACCTGAGCTGGAGCCTGAACACCTCACACATAATAAAGAAAGCCCAGCTAAACTGTGCAATAATTACTTTACTGCTGCTAACTGTCCACTACTTTCTCGTGAAATAACTTTTAATACACTGCTTTAAAACTGTTATTTATTTATTCAATCACTGCACTATATCTGTGCAGTGACAATAAAGCTTCTGTCTATTTAAAAACCCAACAGCTGATGGAACAATCGACCTCAGGACAAAATGCTAACGTTCTTAGCAAATGTTTGATAACAATTCAGCGTTAGCAAATTAAAAGTGTTTTCCACACTTCTTTCTCCTCAATTAAGTTGATATAAGTTGATACAGATAAAACACATTGGTTTATCCTCTTGATACACAATTAATCACATCTTTCTCGACACAACACACATCTGTAACATAGTCATTTGTTTTCCCTGTCGTTCATGCTTCATGTTTCCGTCACAACATCAGCCCATATGTTCTTCCATTCATTCAGCTGTTGGCTTTCTTTCAAACAAGGTCAAGTCATTATAACATATGACTTCAGTGACTAAGCAGCCAGAACAATCCCATATAGTCATACAGAAGTCACCAGCCACAGACTTACCCAATGAGCTCACTGTAGCCTGGCTTTCTGAGTCACTGTGGCGGGCTCTATACGATCTGGGGGGTTTCCTTCTGGTGGGGTCACAGGGTCAGACGAGTGGGAAGCAAAGTGACAATGTTCAAGGCTGGGACCACAGCTTCAGTGAGGGGTAAAGTGCAGTGGGGATGATTAAAACAGCAAGAGAGCATTTTCAGGTGCAAAAGTTCTCACTGTTGATATTTGTTCAGGAAGAGAGGTTGAAGGAAACATTTCTGTGATCAAGAAATACTTTTTGTTGTATCTGATGTAATCTCTGGTTTACAGAGGCAGTTTGTTTAATATATTTCTTGAATGTTTTGAACTGTAAACCGGATGACATGCAGTCAAACCCAACACATTGATCTACGCAAAGTTATAACTCCAGGAGGGATAGAAAGCAGTCCCCCTTGACAGAGATGATACAATTTGAAGAGACCTTTATTTTGCGGTTATGTGTGTCAGAGGGAAACATGAGACTGTAAAAAAAAAAGGTGCTTGTCAGAGGTGGATTTAAACGCTTTCTTTTGTGTAACTGGAGAAGTAGCAGCCTGTGTGCCAGGCCATACAAGCTCAGCGACATTCCCGAGGCAACTTGAACATTTCTACTTGTAGTTTTCCAGTCTAGTATACGTTGCCAATCAACTCTAAGCTTCTCTTGTTGTTGTGATTCTGTCTTCTGTCTTGAAGCAGATGATGTGGATTCCCTTGTTGTTGATGATATGTTTGATGATGAAGAAATTCGCCGTTGACACTGACTGACTTTCAAAAGGATTATTTATTAACAAGATACAGCATCTCCAGGCTCGCCATGTTCGACCTGGGAGAGACACGAAGCCAAAAGTGATCTCTGTCGAACACACAGACCTCTGGTATTTATGGACACACCCCACAGGAGAACAACATGGGGACATCTGTTTCTCTTCAGGACAACCCCTCTCCATACAGCTGCGGGGGTTTCTGTCTTAGGTGTATGTATGTCATAAACTCAAAGGACAACACAGGTCACAAATACAATCTCTTGTCCAGACGTAATATCCAAGCCCTTAAGGAGTTCACCTATGTCTCAGTACTTCAGATATTTCAGACACTTCACAGAAGCCATGGTGGTGATCAAACGGATACTTTGGCT